TTTGTATGTTTGTCCTAACTATCCAATAGCATTTTAGTTGTAAATAATTAATTTAATTTGTTGAAAATAATATTGGAAAATTAAACAAATTAATATTCTGTTTTTTTTTGTGTTTATTTGGAGTTAGGAATTATTGCTGTGTTAAAAATACAATCTAAATGATCATCTCAATAACTTGTAATGCCCAAATCGAAAATGTAAAAAAAATATTATTTTCCCATAAATAATTAAAAATGCATCACCCTAAAAATCGAAATATCTCAAAAATTGCTAACTATAACGAAAACTCACAGGAGAGCTGTTTTATGCAGAAAAGTGCGAAAAATCAGTTTTTTTATTCAAAACGCAAAAAATTGCACTAAGAAAATTTTTTCGGTCATTTAATACACTACAGGTACAGTAGAGAGCGCCCTCTAGCGGCTACAGTAAAACTATGCCCATGGTTCATTTTACGTACCAAAAAACCCTAGTATACCAATTTTCACTGTTATACATCAAATATTGTTCGAAATATTTAAAAAAAATATTTTAAAAAGTATTTCAGAAGCCACGCATTTTTCGACCCATGTTTATATAGACTTTATGCATTAATTTTAAAAGTACTATCGAATCTTGAAGTTATGCAATAATAAACTGAAACACCCTGTATATTAAGGTATCATTTAATTCAGGAAAATGTCCAAACATACATTACGAATGCAAATTGTTTCTGCTCAGTCGTCCGCGAGATAAATGAGTTCCAAGATACCCATTGTGGGATGCGCAAGCTACACTACAGTGTTATGCTGTGCGAGGGCGTACCCAGCTTAAAACGGCACCTTCAAAATATTTTTTGGTAGAAGATCCACAAATTATATCTACATAACTATGCTTGATATTTTTCTCTATAAAAACAAACATGATGTTTTATTCCGTCCGACCAAAAAGATCACTAACCATGGCGCACTTGTTTCGTTCTGCTTGGCTACTCATCAGCATGGTCTAGGCTTGGGCTTTTGTCTCTGGATGAATCAAAGAAAACATCGCAACTATCCTCTGTACCGGAAGTACGGTCTACCGAAACAAGACCGCCCAAAGCGCCATCTATCACACGAGAATCGACCACTACGGAAAGCACATGGCTGCTAGAGATCTCAGCTCGCTTAATAGCTCAGTCACCACGTGACCGCTAGATCGCTGGCGATTCTGGCTGTAAAGTAGATGTGGTTTACTTGCCATTGAATAAACTAAATATAATGTTTTCGTCCTTCGGACCAAAATGACAGCCAACCATGGACAGCTGTTTCGTGCTTCTTGGCTAACCATCAGCATGGTCTAGGACCAAAGCGTCATGTTTGGTTTGTTCAATGGCAAGTAGGCCACATCTATTTTACAGTTAGAATCATCCGCCATCTAGCGGCCACATGGTGATGTTGCTATTAAACGCGAGTTGATGTCCGTAGCAGTTCCAGCTACTCGTAATAGCAGCTATGCGCTTTCGGCAGTGGTCGATTCTAGTGTGATAGATGACGCTTTGGGTTGTATTATTTTTCTTTATATTTGCATTGCATTTATTTGGAGCCTTCCACGACGATTTGAAAATTCATATATACATGAAAAACTACTGGGATTACGTTTTTGAAACATTCAAGCAAATATTTCGCGAGGTGCTTTTTTAAGTAATAATTTAGTCGTTTATAATTCTTGAAAGAAACATGAAACAATATATGGCAAGTGTTTGATCTACTGGAAATTTGATATATCTGTTTTTTGGGCGTACATATAACTCAAAATTCAAAAAGGGTGTTCATTTTTTCAGTCAAGTCAATAGGCCAGGGAAGTTTTGTTATCAGATGTAATATAAGAGGTACATTTTTGGGGAAGTTCGTCAGGTAATCGCTGGCCTCTATTACAGACAGAAAAATATTTATAGTTTCTGTTAATGGGTCCTGATGCAATAGAGCAATCGTCAAAAAAAAACTAATCATTTGTCCTGTCTATCACCTGGAAAGTATCACTGGATTTTGAAGAAATTTTAAAATGCCTGTCTAATGGTATCAGTGTTATGACCAAAAAAACTATAATTCCTCCAAAACTTGAGGTTATCCTTTTTTCATTTCTGATGATTTTGAACACAATCAAAAGTTTCCTTAGGGGAGAGAAAATTCAAAAAGGAGTGAAACTTCGTTGATTATATTTCAAATTTATTCGAAGGATTCAAAGATTGTGAAATCTGTCAAAACTCGTTTTTCGAACTCTAATCATCCAGTGACTTTTGTATAACTCCAAACACAACACGAGATGTGCAGTTCGAAAATATGTGTTGAAAAATCGGGAAACTGCTGTTACAATATGTTATCTAAACACGTCTCAAAACTTATTTGATCAGACTAACTAGACAAATGTAAACCCTGTTGCAAAAGAAATTGTGCAGAAGGATTTATATATTTTTTAAAGTGAATGCAAAGACCCCTCATCTCGAAATACAGAATGCTGGATAACGCCTTTTTATCAAACTTCAAAGCTATAAATGTATAGAAGAGAAAGGTGTGAAAACACCTTCAAAATGGGTATGTCCAGTTTGTTGCAACAGTTAATTGGTTATTGCAAAAAATTATTCATTTTTGCCGAGAAGTACATAAGAGTAAACATGAAATAGTAGCCAAAAGTAGCCAAAAATCTTCAAAAATCCTCAAGCTATATAGCGACGTAACTGCTGCAACATACTAGACATATAGGGCGAGGTTTTTAGTATCTAATCGGACAATATCTCCATTACTATTATAAAACCTAATCAAAAATTGTGAGTCTACGCTTCCTACTTGGAATATACCGCTCAATACAGAGTGTATAGTATAGTATATTCTAATATGGGGGAAGTTTTGATATAGCCGGGGATTATAGCATATTATACTAATTCCGGAAAGAATTTCTCTTTGTCGATATTTATTCGTTGTTTTTCTTCAGTTACTTGAAATTTCGTTATATAAACAAAAACAGTTTTATAGAACATGTACAAGAATATGTGCCTAGTTTGTTCTAGGATGATTTGAAAAACAAATTTGTCGTATTTTCGCCATTGTGTTTTTCGAAACGGTAAGAGATACGGCTCGGTTGAATGGTGGCAAAGTTACATATTTATATATTTTAGAAAATGTATTTGTAAAGTTTTGAAGGTTTCTCCAGAGATACAAGAAAACGGGAACGTTTTTTTTCCTGAATTTATCTGAGATACGATTAAAATAAACAGCACATTGAGATTGCCACTTTGATCTGTGCAAGGTATCAAAAATGTAACATTAATATGATTTTTTATCTCTAATCCTACATCTCAACTTTGATTTTTCTTATGTATGCCATTTTTGCATAGGCGGATAGCTTCTAATTCTGATTTCAAATATCATAGCATGACATACATTGTTTTAAAAATATTTCTTTAGTAAGCCTTGAAATTATCATACAGTCATTTATTAGACAGAATATCATAGATGATAACATGCTACGCATTAACATAAAATTTCAGATACGAGTATTGATTCAGCTTGTGGATGTTCTCTCCATTTAATTTTTGCCAAGCTTGGTATGCCCTTGAGGTTGTGCATTATCAAATATACTAAGTGACATATAAATCCGATCACCCAGTTTAAATAGTTTTATTTTAATAAAATTTTGTATAAGTACTTAATGAAGCATAATAAGTAAATGATAAAAATTTCAAAATGATTGCACTGCTTTAAAGCTCTTTGACCTTTAATAATGTGTGGATGCACCCTGATGTGCTACGCATTCTCCAACGCGCCTAGGCATGCTTCTGATCAGGTGGTCAATGTCCTCCTGTGGTATCTCATTCCAGGCAACCAACTCGAAGTGCTTATAGAGTCTGAGGAGGACGTTGCAAATTGAGCAATCTCCTACCCATCATATCCCACACATAAAGGTGACCTGGAACCATAAGCTATAGCACCCCAAACCATAACTCCAACAGTGTGATGAACATGTCTTTCAACAAAAAACTGTGGATTCCTTCTTTCACCACGCCGCCTTCTAACCCTGGCACGACCATCGTGCATGCCTAAACAAAATCGAGACTCGTCACTAAAGACAATACTGTTCCATTCCTGATGCCAGAGTCACCGTTGTCTGCACCACTCAAGGCGATTACGTCGGTGTTCTCGAGTTAAAGGGAGGACCCAGTGTGGCCGGTATGAAACCAAGCCAAAACTTCTCATTCGTCGGTAAACACTTCGCATGCCAATAGGTCTTCCGTGTTCTGCAAACCATTCATTTGCAATGGACCTGGTAGTGGAGAAACGGTCCCTTAAGACCAATAATCTTAGGCGGCGATCTTCACGGTCTGTTGTTCTACGGCGGCGTCCAGTGCCCCTTGCTCTTTGCGTACGGGCTTCTCGAAGCCATGCCTGACAACACCTAACCACAGTGTCTACACTTCTTTGCACTCTAACTGCAATTGCCCGAAAAGAAAGTCCAGCTTCCCGAAGCCCCACTATACGGCTCCTATCAAATTCACTAAGTTGACGAAATCGTACAGGTCTCCGTACTCTAGGCATCGTAACCGATCGTAAAGGATGTCAAGAACCAAAATCCGCCAACGTTGATTCTTTACTGCGGCCGAAATATTCATTTTTAGAGCGTTAGTGAATTAAATTGTTATTTACAGTAAGATAAATACATTCTTCAACTTTTATTAAAATAAAACCATTTAAACTGGGTGTTCGGATTTATATGTCACTTAGTATATGCACTGATGATACGGTAGGATGGATAAAGACTTGATATCACTACAATAAATCATTAACTTTCAGAAATACGTTTTTTGCGAGTTGGATGATGATCTGTGGCACCCGGTAGGGCCTACTACTCGCAGGTGTGAGGCTTTAGATGAATTAAAATGTAAACCAATCTACAGTAAGCCCCATCTGCCTGTTGAAGAAATGGTCGCTCGGGTTCTAGAATATCTTTACAGAAATTTATAATGGATCTGTGATTCAAAATACCATATGTACAATAAAGCCATCTATATTTTCATCTTTCAAGGATACTGCATTATGGAGACTTGTAACATATTTATGACAAATAAAGTTAAATCCAACTCTTCGGGGTGGTTGAGCTGAAAAAAAACAATGTTGTTATTAATTTGCAAGATATTAAGTGATATTTTCCATACCCAACTTTCCAAGCGAGTGGTTCTACAAGCTTCAATGAATCCTTTTGGTACCTTAAAATATAAGATAAAATGTTCATAGAAAATACCTATGTGCTATATATAGAGAGACAAAGAGCATAATCCATCGTACGCCACTGGAGAAGTGGTGTGTCTATATAATTATGTATACGTGTGCGGGGATCACTGTACACACTTGACTATAGTAGTAGTAACATCATGAGAAATATTGAGATTGGGGAGATTGTTTTTTATTTAACAGTACTGACTGATTCCATTAAATGAATGTAACTTGAAAGTAGTGTATCTATGGTTACTGCGGACTATACGAGGTTTTTCCGGAAAATACGTATAAAAAAATTGGGGCGTCTTCCCCTCTATGCTCAGTTCGAGCCGGAGAGCTCTTCGAATAAGTAGGATTTACGTGTGCTTACTAGAAGTAACCCTTTTTTGTCTGCCGTCTGCATGGAGCTCTCTCTGATCGAGGAACAGCGCATCAACATCAAGTTTCTTGCAAAGCTAGGCAAGAATGTCGTGAGATCTTTGAGTTTTTGAAACAAGTTTACGGAAAAAATTTTCTGAGGGACTAACCATCAACAAGTGGTTGAAAAGGTTTCGGGAACGCCGAGAATACATGAAAGATTACCAACGCTCAGGACGCCCCTCCACATCGACCTTTGAGGGAAATGTTGAACGAATTCGGGGCTGTGTTCTTAAAGACCGTCGATTGACATTTGGAATGATAGCTAAGAAACTGTCAATCCCCAAAATAATCGTCCTCTAAATTCTAACAGAAAAACTTGAAATGAAAAAAAATTGCGCGAAAATCGTTCCAAAGTTCCTAACCCCAGAATAGAAAGCATCGAGGGTTGCTTTCTGTGAGGATTGGTTGGAAAAATAGGAAAGAGGAGACTTTTTCAACCGGGTCATCACTGGAGACAAGTCTTGGTTCTACGAATTTGATGAGGAGCTGAAATCTGAAAGCATAGAGTGGAAGCAAGCAGGGGAACCGAGAACAAAGAAGTCGAAAAAATCAAGGTCCAATTTGAAAACAATATTGATTGTGTGTAGTCCAAGTTCGACAGGATTTGGCACAAGGGGGCAGGTGGATTCGTGACAACTCGCGTGTTCACGTCTGTCGTTCAGCGTGATGTTTTGGCCCGAAGCTCAATCGCAGTGATATAATATCCGCCTTTTTCACCCAATTCGGCGACTTCTTCCTGTTCCCAAAATGCAAAATGGTGCTTTGGGGAATGTGGAAGCTATCAAGGCAGAAACGACACTGAAAATGAAGAGCCTCACAATTGAAGACTTTCAGCGATCTTATCAACAGTGGAAACGGCGTTGGCAGGAGAGCATCTTGTCTCAGGGGGAGTACTTTGAAGGAGACCATATTGAAATACCTGAACAATTATAAAATAAGATTATTCCACCTGTATACGTATTTTACGGACAAATCTCGTACAATAAAAAGCCAAAATATATTTTAAACATATCTACCTACCTCTTTGGACTCCTTGGCTTGATTATCCGGGAAAATTTCCTAAAAATTACAAACAAAAGGTTTGTTAGAATATAAGTAAAACTCGCTGAAACAAGCTATCGTCACTTGGAGAATGTTAGAAAAAAGTGCCACGAACTAGCTCCCCATTTTGATTTCGATTCCCACTTCCCAGGCAACGCCGTCATCAATTCATAAAGGATTATGTTCAGCACAAGATGGATTCTATCTAAAGAAGACAGCGCCATATACCATATACCCTGGATAGAGAATAATTACTATGCTTTCGTTAGCTGTCTCAGAGGCCAAACCTAGACCATGCTGATGAGTTGCCAAAAGAGCACGAAACAGCTGTCCATGTCTTTGGTCGGATGGAAGAAAGCAGCATGTTCAAGTACCTGATCGCCCGATGCGTCAGATGCGGCACAGTGTCTGTCATGCGAGGCGATTTACGGGGACCGGTATGCCAGCTGATGAATCCAGACAGCAGACGCATGAACCCATGCCGAAAACATTTATCTACCGTTATAAGCTAAGTTTTCAGTGCAATTATTCTGAGAAATATATGATGTGCGAAATATGTCTGGTACGAATTAGAATTTTCATGACCCACAATCCATTGAATCAGCCTTTGATTAATTATTTATTTAAAACCATATATAACGATTCACCTGTTACTTGTGACATAGACCAAGAAACATGTAGTTCTGAATCTCTCTCAGTCCCTGTTTTTAGCAAAGAATGTATAGTAAGAGCCTGCAAAAAACTAAAGCGTAAGCCATCTAGTGGTCCAGACGGAATCCCGACATACATTGTAAAAGACTGCATTAGAGCTTTTGTTAAGCCTCTATGTCATATTATCAACAAATCGCTTCAAGATCGTGTCTTTCCGGACTGCTGGAAGGCCTCCAAGGTATGTCCTATTTTTAAGAGCGGAAAAGTGAGTAATGTAAAGAATTAGGTATAGGGCAATATCGCTCGTATGTGGTTTTTCTAAACTTTTTGAGATGCTGCTTTATGAATATATATATATATATATATATATATATATATATATATATATATATATATATATATATATATATATCTTAGTGTAAGTAACATGTTATAGGAAAAACAACATGGATTTAGGAACAAAAGATCGACAACAATTAACTTTATGCTGCTACATGAATTATCTGTCGTTTGCTGTCGATCAACAATAACAGACCGACGTTATATTCACGGATTTCTTAAAGGCATTTAACCGAATAAACCACTCCATTTTGCTTTAAAAATGTATAAATTTGGTGTTCTGAGAGCTTGATGTTTTTCCCTTCCCATTTATCTGATCGCGTTCAATCTGTGCAGTATAACGGCTTCAAATCAGAATCATACTCACCAACTACGGGAGTGCCACAAGGTACTAACTTGGGCCCCCTACTATTTTTGATTTTTGTTAATGATATCAACCATATAATAACAGTAGAAAACCAAATGTTTGCGGATTGCTTAAAAACTTACTCAGTAATTCATGGACAAGAGAGCTTTAGACAACATTCTTGACTGGTGCCAGAATATTGATTTAATGCTTAGTCCCAGCAAGTGTAAAGTAATGTCCATTACTAGAAAACACTCTATCAGTACAGAGTACAGGAAGCAAAAGAGCTAGGCATTACTATTACTGCGGATCTGTCATTTTCAACACACTTGAATCAAATAGTCAAATCAGCTTCACGTATGCTTGGATTCATTATTAGAAATTCAGATCTTTTACTAACATAGAATCATTAAAAATACTGTATATCACTTTAGTTAAAAGCTTACTTGAATATGGTTGTATCATCTAGTCTCCTTTGTAGGTTACATACAGGGTTATCCAAATTAAGTGTCCACCATTAGTAACTTTGTTATTAGTGAAAATACAAAGTTGTTTGAATTAGCAAACTAGTAGCATTTTTAACGCTGGTAAAAATGAGAAATAAAAAAAAACAATTGAGAGTCGTTATTTTGATTTTTTTGCAGTAAAATAACATTTTTTAAATGGAAACCCCTGTATATTATATTTTTTTCTGTTAAAGCATCAAATTTTAAACAAAAAAGCTTACAATAACTTTTCTCCTAGGTTACAAATTGTTGAAGTTATGGCCTCCAATCTGAAACAATTAAATTGTATCGACAAACTTTATTTTCAACATCAACTTATAATCTTACAAAATACAATAACAATTTTTTTTAAAGAAGATGCTCGAAAACACCACCTTGTTCTTCAATACATTTTTGGGCACGTTTTTCAACTGCTCGAACTGTCTTAAGTATGGTCCTACCATCTATCTGGGTTATCTTTTCCCTAACTGCAGTCTTTAACGCGTCAAGGTTATCGTACCTTCGCTTGTAAATTTGGTTCTTTAAGTAACCCCACAAGAAGTAATCAAGTGGGTTTAGATCTGGTGATCTGGGAGGCCACTGTATTGGGCCATTTGTTCCTATCCACTGATCATTAAAAGTAGTACTTAGAAAATGATAAGTACCTCTGGAGTTGTGGGCAGGTGCGCCATCTTGCTGAAAATGCAGATGATGTCTACTTATAAGATCCAATTCGTCTAAGAAATTAGTCAGAATTTCTGACATAAATTCCACATATCTTTCACCAGTTAGGGTTCCCTCATAAAAGAACGGGCCAACAATTTTTGAACCAATTATACCGCACCAAACGTTGAAACTGAAACGGACTTGTGGGCCTCTTGGATGTACTAACAAAAGATTTTCTCTTGACCAATAATGGTGGTTTTTTCTATTAAACATTCCAGAATTTGAAAAATTTGATTCATCTGTCCATAAAAGGTTACGAAAGTTATTTACATTTTGGCGACAGAAGCTAAGATACCAATGGCAAAAAACAAGTCTTCTCTCTGGATCCCCTGCCAAAAGCGTTTGAACTGGTCGGTACTTATACGGAATAAATTTGTATTTTTTTAAAATCCTTTGAACAGTACCATAACTGAAATTAGAGTCCTTGAGAATATCTGCTATTGAATTCTCACGATAAGCTTCAAAATATCCAATAACTGCCTCGCTTATTATGAATTCTTTTTTTGCCCTTGTTTTAGCAAAAACATTTTCGTTGCCCCTAAATTTTCGATAAAGTCTCAGAAAATATCGTTCATACGGTTGAATGCGAGCGGGATATAATTCACCACCATTCTCTTGCTCTCAAGGAGGATTTTCTGCACACTAAATAGCATTCTAACATATCACACTTTTCTTCATGGGAGAACATTTTTCTTTAAATTAATGACACAATAAAGCTTATAAACAAGTATTTACACTAATGTTTGACATTATTTGATTTTATCATTGTTTTCCAAAGCCTTCTAGTTGCGAGTATGTCCAGTTTAACAATTTGTCGCTTATCTTAATGCTGTCAAATCGCGAACGCCATGTTGTTTTCATAGCCGTCTTAATATTATAATACTGCAAATAATTAAAAATATTTATCGTTATTTTGACTTTATTTTTGACTTTAGCGGAAAAGTCATTATGAACTTTTTGGTTTAAAATTTGATGCTTTAACAGAAAAAAATATAATATACAGGGGTTTCCATTTAAAAAAATGTTATTTTACTGAAAAATAACGACTCTCAATTGTTTTTTTTTATTTCTCATTTTTACCAGCGTTAAAAATGCTACTAGTTTGCTAATTCAAACAACTTTGTATTTTCACTAATAACAAAGTTACTAATGGTGGACACTTAATTTGGATAACCCTGTATATATGTAAAGTCGAGAAAATCCAAACTAATTTTTTAAAATATGTGGATTTAAAACCATATGGTGCATATCCTCCATTCAACTATAATGTTTCATCTTCCAAAAGCTTGAACAAATATTATGCTAGCATCCCCTTCATACAGAATGATGTAATGCTTTAACGAGGCTAGTCATCTCTTTGACTTTGATATGAGCTAACATGTGTGGATGGAATATTACTCATAAACAAATACATTTTTAGAAAATCCATTCATGGCGTGTTATACATGACGTTTGAGGGCACATTTCTAAAATATTGGCAGGGTGTCCCAATTTTGACCTACATATCAAAGTTGTGATTTTTTAAATGGAATGCCTCATATTTTATTACATATTTGGATAAACCAATTAAAAAGAAGAAGATTGATATAACATAGTGTAGGGTTTTGGTAATTAGCTACTGAGATGTAAGGTGTTTTGTCCAGAAAAACCCACCAATTCGGCAACCCCTCAATCCTCCATTTTGAAATTTGGAGTACTGAATTGTGTATCAAAAAAAAACTTACGCACCTCAGCTTTTATCTTATTTATTACTTGTTCGAATTTTCATATTTGCTCATACAGGGTGGTCAAAAACGCGAATTGTACTTTTTCTCAAAAATTGCAAATGCATCATATTTATGCAAGTTTTGATTAAGTTTTATATAAGCTTTTTTTGGCATAAGGTTTGATTCAGATAAGTTATTAAGCTTTTAATTGAACATCACACCAAAATTGAGGAAAAAATCTCATTATCCATCGAAACAAAAGACAAACAGTGGGCTAGTTCCATATTGCCACTAAGCATACAGATTTGAGGTAAAAACTAAGAGCAATCAGAACAGTATAAATCAGTTTCAAGCGTAATAGAGAAAAACAACTATAACAACAAGATAGACAAACAGCTATTACTACTCAAGACCTAATCTACAAAAACTGTTCGAAAATATCTCCACCATACATAGCCGTAGTCTTTGTATAAATTACCGTCGCACATCCCTCAGCACATGTGCCCTTATGTTAAGAAAAGCATCCTTAATCCTTTTCTTCATATTTTCCGGGTTAGATGGTGGATATCTATAAACCTCTTGGTAAATGTAGCTCCATAGAAAGAAGTCCATCGGTGTAATGTTTGGTGATCTAGGAGGCCAAGATATAGGCCCATCACGACCGATCCAACAATTGTTACTCCAGGTGTCCAAATAGTTACGCACAAGATTATGATAATAGTAAGATGAAGAAGTACATATGCATCCGGGTTTGCAGGTTGACATCTTCCAAAATCCAATCTGTACTCTTAGTGGCACTACGGAACTAGTCCACTGTTTGTCTTTTGTTTCCATGGATGATGTGATTTTTTCCTTAATTTTGGGGTATTGTTCTATTAAAAGCTTAATAACTCAAAATCTAGTGATTTTATCTGAATCAAACCTTATACCAAGAAAAGCTTATAAAAAAACCTGCACAAATATACAGGGTGATGGATTTGAAATTTTTGAGAAAGACTACAATTTGCGTTTTTGGCCACCCTGTATGAGCAAAAATTAAAATTTGAAAAAGTAACAAATGAGACAAAAGCTGAGGTGTGTATTTTTTTTTGATACAAAATTCAGCACACAATATTTCAAAATGGCGGACTGAGGGGTAGCCGAAGTAGGGGGTGTTTCTAGACAGAATACCTTATGTCTCAGTAGCTAATTACCAAAACCCCATAGTATGTTATATCAATTTTCTTCATTTGAATTGGTTTATCGAAATATGCAATAAAATTTGAGGCATTCTATTTGAAAACTCACAACTTTGTATGTAGGTCGAAATTGGGATACCCTGTGTAATGGCCAATATTTTAGAAATGTAAATGAGTAATATTCCGTCCACAAATGAATTTATATATATATATATATATATATATATATATATACAGGGTGTCCCAGAAGTCGATGTCAAGCCGAAACCGGATGATAGGCAAAGTCATAACAGCTATCAGAAAAATATTTAACAAAATTTTATGTATGTGTTTTGAAAATTATAGGTCTTTGAAAAAGATATAGAAATTTCACACCCTACGGCAGTCTGTCAACTCCTGTTACTACAAATATTAACTTTTTTTGGATTTTATTTTTACAATGTAATGATGAATAATGCATCTTCAAACTGGTGTCTCAACCTTACTGCCAACTTTTCTCGTTCAGGAAAAATTTCCACTTAGTTCCCAATCAAGTATTGCAGAGTAAAACTTTGCTCAACTTTAACTGGCTGTACTGGAAAAAAATGTACTACAAGAGTTTGGCAAGTAACCTTAAAAGTTGGCGCATTTAATAACGATTTCAAAATGGTATAACACTTAGAAGATTACTCGTTAACTTATGCACAATTTTTATTTGAAAAAAAAACTGATGAAAATTTTTCAAAATTTCCTAATTAAACAGCGATTATGAAAACGCACAAGGACCCTTAAGGATAACTGTTTGCACAACAGTGGGCGTCAAAATGCTGCTGATGATGATTTACCTTTACAGCAAATGCTCAAACTGTTTGCCTTCAGCCGCAATACACGCTCGACATCTTCTTAAAAAAGATCGGGTTATTAAACGAGCGAATCCACGGTTATTAACAAACTCAGCTGCTTCCAATAGTCTTTGCCGTAGCTCAGCTACATTTTGAATCGGCTTGAAATACACTTTTTCTTTTACAGTTCCCCAGTAAAAAAATCTAAAGGATTCAAATCAGGTGATCGGGCAGGCCACGGTATTGTACCAGACCGCCTTATCCATCTGCCTGGAAAGTTTTGATCGAGATACTCTCTCACTGAGAGTGCATACTGCGCTGGGCAGCCATCATGCTGAAACCATATGTCCCTGTAAATACTCAGTGGCACGTCCACCAATAAATTTTGTACATGATTTTTCAAAAAATCCAAATAAACTTCAGCAGTCAAAGTCTCTGGGAACTCAAACGGACCGATTATTTTACCATTTAAAATTCCTGTCCAATAGTTTATCTTGAAGCGATATTGAGATTTATCTTCTCTCATCCAATGTGGGTTTGCTACGTGCCACTCGTGTAAGTTATGCAGGTTCATGTACCCATCTTTCTTAAATGTGGTGCTAGGAGCTGTCGAAGAAGACCCGAGTACTTCAGTGCGTGCAATAGAACTAAAAACAGGTGTGCCCAAAAGTACAGCCCATAGAATCTTGCAAAAGAACGTGCTCCATCCATACCACGTACAGCGTGTTCAAGCTCTTCTGCCTCGGGATTATGAGCCCCGAGTTGCTTTTTGTCGCACAATGTTAGAAAGACACAGGGAAGATCCACGGTTCTTTGAAAAAATTTTATGGTCAGATGAGACCACATTTAAGAAAGATGGGTACATGAACCTGCATAACTTACACGAGTGGCACGTAGCAAACCCACATTTGATGAGAGAAGATAAATCTCAATATCGCTTCAAGATAAACCAATGGACAGGAATTTTAAATGGTAAAATAATCGGTCCGTTTGAGTTCCCAGAGACTTTGACTGCTGAGGTTTATTTAGGTTTTTTGCAAAATCATTTAGAAAATTTATTGGAGGACGTGCCACTGAGTATTTACAGGGACATGTGGTTTCAGCATGATGGCTGCCCAGCGCACTATGCACTCTCAGTGAGAGAGTATCTCGATCAAAACTTTCCAGGCACATGGATAGGGCAGTCTGGTACAATACCGTGGCCAGCCCGGTCACTAGATTTGAATCCGTTAGATTTTTTTACGGGGGAACTGTAAAAGAAAAAGTGTATTTCAAGCCGATTCAAAATGTAGCTGAGCTACGGCAAATACTATTGGAAGCAGCTGAGTTTGTTAATAACCGTGGATTCGCTCGTTTAATAACCCGATCTTTTTTAAGATGTCGAGCGTGTATTGCGGCTGAAGGAAAACAGTCTGAGCATTTGCTGTAAAGGTAAATCATCATCAGCAGCATTTTGACGCCCACTGTTGTGCAAACAGTTATCCTTAAGGGTCCTTGTGCGTTTTCATAATCGCTGTTTAATTAGGAAATTTTGAAAAATTTTCATCAGTTTTTCTTCAAATCAAAATTGTGCATAAGTTAACGAGTAATCTAAGTGTTATACCATTTTGGAATCGTCATTAAATGCGCCAACTTTTAAGGTTACTTGCCAAACTCTCGTAGTACATTTTTTCCAGTACAGCCAGTTAAAGTTGAGCAAAGTTTTACTTTGGAATACTTGGTTGGGAAATAAGTGACAATTTTTCCTGAACGAGAAAAGTTGGCAGTAAGGTTGAGACACCAGTTTGAAGATGCATTATTCATCATTACATTGTAAAAATAAAATCCATTAAAAAAGTTAATATTTGTAGTAACAGGAGTTGACAGACTGCCGTAGGGTGTGAAATTTCTATATTTTTTTCAAAGACCTATAATTTTCAAAACACATACATAAAAATTTTTTAAATATTTTTCTGATAGCTGTTATGACTTTGCCTATCATCCGGTTTCGGCTTGACGTCGACTTCTGGGACACCCTGTATACACAAAATACAATTAATTGTTAATTGGGAAATTGGCAAATTTTTAGGCTTAAGTTGACTCTTTTGACGATAAAATCAAGCTTTCGGCATTCTCTATGGAGCCTTCATCAGGATTCTGAAAACACAATTGTGATGCTAGCAAAGAATACAGGACAGATTTAAATTGTCAAACAACTTACTCGTGGTTAAGGTTGCAGCCACAAGGTGTTTCAAATCGAACGTAGAGAAGATAGAACTTGTTATAAATATAAAAACAAGAGGACGGAGATATTGGGCTTGTTGATAACGACAGATATCTTCATTACATGTTAAAAATATCAATACACCCGAACATATTAAAACATATAACATGTAACGAAGGTATCTGACGTTATCAACAAGTCCAATGTCTCCGGCCTTTTGTTTTTATATTTATAACAAGTTCTATCTTCTCTACGTTCGTTTTGAAACACCTTGTAGCTGCAACCTTAACGACGAGTAAGTTGTTTGACAATTTAAATCTGTCCTGTATTCTTTGCTAGCATCACAATTGTGTTTTCAGAATCCTGATGAAGGCTCCATAGAGAATGCCGAAAGCTTGATTTTATCGTCAAAAGAGTCAACTTAAGCCTAAAAATTTGCCCAATTTCTCAATTAACAATTAATTGTATTTTGTGCCCAACTGGTCGTTGGCTTTGGCAATGACTACTGCTCATATATATACAAAAGAAAAATATTGTCATATTTAAAAACCGTTCAGTGACGTAAACTATTTTCAGATTTCCAGTACCTTTTAATCTTATTCTTTATCTATTTTAGGAGTAGAATTAACGTTCAGAAATATATTAATTTGAATGTGTTACTACTGCACTGATGGGGCCTTGTGTTGGATTTCTGATACACACACATAGGGTTTTCATCAATTCATTATATTATTTTTTCTATGTGTGTCTATTTGCTTTTCAACACTAATAACAAAAAATTGAGATAGACCTTCACCCACACCCCTACAATCCCATCTGACATATTAAAAAACGATGTTTGGGCGGTTTTTATTTATTACTTTTCTGCTTACAGATCGGCCGTCAATGGACCAACTTTCAAAAAATACAAAGCTCTTTCGTCCTTAGCATAGTAGTAACATTGTGCGAAAATTCCATCCGACTGGTACTTTCCAAGTTGTAGAGGAGTCAAAGATCACTGCACAGACAGATAGACCGACGGACCAATACACCGACGGAAACTAGCGAAATTGTTTTTCGTGATGTACATGTCATATAACAACCAACAAACATATATCATTTTCGATTTTTTTGCGATTACAATACTTTACTCGCTAAACGTATAGTTAAAAGCTTCTATCTAGAAATATTGATACGGATAAAATAATTAAGGATTCATGTGGTGGTATAAATATAACTAACCTTCAAACTATTGACAGCTAGGACAACAGAAACGGAATTGAAAATCTATTAGGTAAATTATCATACCAAGCAACATACAGATATGCATAGTACACAACTATAGACAGTATGCACAACATAGATGGAAACAGCAAGATATAGGAAAACAAATATGATCCATACCAAAAAGCTGGGGTAGATTCAAAATCGTAGTCTATGTTGCTCATGGCCACTCAGATCATCTAATCTAACTCCTGAATAAGGGCTACTGCACTCTTGCAACACTGTTCCAACATGGACCAAGCTAAACAAAAATGAAATAAATGAAAGACATTATCGGTTGAGATTATGAATTTTCGCATATCTTGAACGTGGTTACACCTTGAATTTTTATGTTTTCAAAAGGTATCGTCTTTATAAACTGTTTTCAAATAAGAGTGCATACATAGAGCAACTGAATAAAACAGGCTGTGTGTAAAGGTATTATCGAAATTCTTTCATGCTATTTTCTGTGGGAGGATTGGTAGATTGCGGCTTATTAGTACAGGGTGCAGCAGAGAGGATCGACGGTTTTAAAAAAATCATAAAATAGTTAATTTTTACTTGAAAACAAATTTATTGATGGAATCAGGTTCACAAGGAAATAGCATTTGAGACAGTCAAGTGTGGAAAATCACATCAGGCATGTGGTGGCCGAAATCGTTGATGCAGTGCTGGAGGCGTTCTTGGAAGTTCGCGTAGACTCTCTCCAACATCGCTCTCTCAACTTGGACGACTTCCACGCGAATTACGCCCTTTAATCCGTCCAGAGTTCGGGGCTTGTTCGCGTATACTCTAGCCTTGAGGTGTCCCCATAAGAAAAAATCGCATATGGATAAATCTGGGGACCGAGGAGGCCAATGAACATCGCCAAACCTGGAAATAAGGCGACCAGAAAAGAGAGGGCGAATAACGTCCATGGATGCTCGGGCTGTGTCCTGCTGGAACCACACACGTCGGATTGGAACACGTCGCCGTCGTAATTCAGGGAGAAAGAAGTTGGTGATCATGTCGACGTCAGGAGTTCGAACTGTTTGCGGCGCTCCTATTGGCCTTCTGTTGATCAGTTCACCACGCCTGCGAAGTGATTCAACCCAACGAAGAGGTGGTGTTTCGAGAGGGAACAGCTCTATTCCGATCTCACGAGTCAAACGGCACCCTCCCCACCTCTCTCGTAGACGGAGGCGAAGAGTACTACCCGTCCCAAAAACGTCCGTCCTCTCTACCGCACCCTGCAGCTTTAGAAAACCAAAATAGACTAATGGGGTTAAATCGCACGATCATGCGTTCATGCCGAATTAGTACAGGAATATGGGAACATATCAGAAACTTCTTAGGTCATTTTATAAGGGTTACTGATAATTAGCGGTATTCCTATCAGGGCATGATAGGGGACATAAAACGTAATAAATCTAACAATATATCTGTTTGGTCGTAAACAGTGTAATAGTTCGAGATTTTTTTTTAATTCTTAGCAACCACCAGAAATTGGACATTAGCGTATGAATAAGAAAATACTCACAAGAAATCATTTGGTTTTTGTAGCTTATAATTAAAATGTATTAATATTAAAATGTGCAAAAATACTACACATAATAAAATAACAACTTCTCCGAAAAATAAAATAGTTGTCCTTTGCACTTATTCTCAGAAAGAAACTCTGTCTGGCTCTAAAGACTAAAGACTGAAAACTTGTCCGTATAGTCAGCTTTCCAAAAAGGTATCAAGCGTCAGTTCGATGCTATTTAAATTTCAACAATCAATCAAACCGATTTATGTCAAATAACAATCATTCGACTCATTGATGTGTGAACAGTTTTTCTCAGTACTAGCCAAAGACGGACTTAGGATTTCGTCTAGGGAGGGGCGCAAACGATATTTGGGGCTGGAACTTCTAGAATTTATCCTATTATTGCTCCTTAAATCCATTCTGTTCTATCTGGTCAATGCTAGTTTAAAAAAAAAAACATGGAAAATGCTCAGATTATCTATGATTTGAACGAATTAGACACATATGCGGGAAGAGATGCGGGACGTGTGGTATTCACTTTGAGCATCGATCGACACATTTTCTGGACAGGCCACAGGCGCACCGCTAAGCAAATCTAATAAATGACTATTTCCAATTTAGGCGTTCATCTAACATAATGCTTCGCTGCAACACCAACCCCAAACAAAATCAGTCAAACTTTACACACTTTTCAAATTACTACTGAGCAACAAACAGAACTTTTTAAGTGCAATCTGTATAGCTAATGTATTACTCAGACTTAGATTTGACACGTCACAATACTGGTATATACATATAAATCGTAGGAATTGTGCTGTACACGTAAGTGATGTCGAAGGGGGGCAGCGTTTGGAAAACCAAATGATACCAAAAAATCGCAATGGTCAGATCCTTTAGCTATAGCTTATAGTTAGTAGGGCTCTGTCGCCATGATGTGCCAGAAAGTTACACAATGGTGTTAGATTACAAAAGCAAGTGTCAGACCTCAGACGCCCTCCGCGCGCTCCCCCTAAATCCGCCACTGGTACTAAACTGAATAAAAATTCAAGATGAGATGTAAATAATAACAGTTATCGCGTGATCTCTCGGTAACAGGTGGGGACACCGCCTCTTATTGATCAATTCGCCATTAAATTTCAAGCTGTCGCCTGGCGGAATAATGCGCGGGGCAGGGGCAGGGCAGGCAGAGTTGCACTCAGGCCACCGTCCGTCGCGTGTATCACTGCGTGCTCGTGTTTTCGTATTCACCTTGCTTGGTTGTTGCTGTTGTTGTTGTTGTTAAGTGTATTTGAGTAATTTGTTAAGTTTCTGTTAAATACTGTCATCTTTGTTTTACACCACGTTGGTGGTAGTCCATCATTCGGAGGTAGCCCTGGATGCGGCCCTGTACGCCGTCCTTGCTTTTGGCAATCACGCATCCATCCTATCTTGGGTGTAAATACACTATAGTCTCTCATTGTTATATATTATAGGTGAAAATTCTAGCAGCTGCTTTTGCCACCTTTATGTTATAAGGGTTCCGCAGCTATTTCACCTGATTAATTATGCGCTAGTTAATTATAACGAAGTTTGAAGTCCGATAACTGGCCGTGTCGGTTCTTTTGATATACAGCTTCACGAACGCAAAAAAATGCGACTTACAATGATTCGAATACGGGGATGCTGTTCTTTATGGTTTTGTAAAGTCGCTGTTTAGGTACACTGAAAATATTAACAGCGCCCTTCCACTCGCCAAACTATCTTCGTCTTTGGGTTATTAAGGAGCTACATATCGAAAACGTGTAATGCAGGCATCGTTAATGCATCAGGGAATGCCTCATACTGGTGAAATTCTTTTAGCCTAGCGTAAATGCGGTAAAACAACCGAAAGTCCCTTTTATCAGAAATGTGACAAAACCAGGAGATAGAAAGTGAAAGCAGACCTGCAACTACGAGTATAAGAGGCGCTCAATGAGAGTTGTTTTTGAAAATATCATTTAGTTGATGAACTTTTATTTTACCTTAATCGGTTTGATTAGCTTTTTCTTGAGAATTAATAGCCTTTCATAACTTTTTGAAAACTTGACTGTAGGGAACAAAAAAGCGAATGCCGATTTAAGAAACAAATATAACAGAGCAGTTTGCAATGCCGAAGGCAATGGCAGTCGGTTCTTTTGGTATCTTCTCAGAAAACTGGAAATTTCCTCATGCCTCAAAAAAAAAGATCTAAGACTGGCCCTTACAACTATAGAGCTATAGCTCTGGTTTCTGATATAAGCAAGGTGAGAGATGCATAAATCAGGGGCTTCTGGAGTATTTCAAATATCATGGCTTGATTAGCGACAGGCAGCATGGTTTTCGGTACCAGCGATAAACGGGAACCTCCTAGCTCAAGTAACGCAACTGTAGAGTACACTCATCCAGTCATATGGTGATGCTCGTGTCGTTGCCCTTGATATCACAATAGCTTTCGATCAGCTACGATATGCTGCATCCTTATGCAAACTTCCATTCTATGGCCTTCCAGAGAAAATTTGCAGATGGGCCGCAAGATATCCATAGTAATTAACAGGTTCTCCTAGTCATCTACCAAAATCAACGCTCTGCCACCGCATCCATGTTCATGCTGTTCAGCGGAAGGATGTTCGACTGACCGATGACTTCTTTAACGTCCCGAGACCCTTACTGCTCAGAGCTTTCCTCCATGATGCTGCCGCGTGATGAGCCAGACAGAGCCGCTTCACTTCGGCCTCCCATCCTAACCGTGTTGAACCTTGTACGAGCCCCTTCCCACTTCAGTTGGCCCAACTATTGAAATCTTAGTTTTTGTCTTATCAAACACAAATAATAAAAATGTAGCAGGGTGTTATAGGTTTAAAATATTAACAATGAATATTTTGATAATATATAGTAGAAAACACCAACTTTATCACTCCCTAATCAAATTTGCAGCATAAAAATAACACATGTTGCAATTACAGCATATCAACCTATTTTCATTTCAATGCAAAATACATAAGTCTATAACGCATAGGTGGCTGTGAAAAATAAAAGCCATGACAATTGTTTTTATTAATCACAGTTGTCAGAATACGCTTAAAATAGTTTTGGGTAGTTAAGGTTTTCAAAATGGGTAGAGGAAAGGTTGTTAGTGAGAAAATTCGGTTACTGATAATTAAATTTATTAATTCCGGGAAATCAAACTCAGAAATTGCAACTTTGTTAGATTTACCGCGGTATAGTCTGAGAAATATTGTTAGAAGATATAACGTAACTGGTTCAGTTAATATTAAGCCACGATATGTGAAAAACAGTAATATCACAAATGCCGACCGAAGAGCATTAAGAAGAATAATCGTGAAAAACAGGCGTGCTAATTATTTACAATTAAGTGCTCTGTGGAGTGACGCTGTTGGAAGGAGAATTTCGAGGTCCACAACTCATAGAGAGGCCCACAAACAGGGATTTAGCACTTGCAAGGTAAGTTTTCTTTTAAAAAAGTGAAGTAAAAACCCTAAATTTGCACAACTTGTTTATAGGCCAAAGAAAAGCTATTATTAACTCCACTGCAAAAGAAAAATCGGCTTAGATGGGCTAAAAAACATAGACAATGGACACCTCAACAATGATGTGCAATACAATGGAGTGATGTGGCCCGATTCGAAATTTGTGTTGGTGACAGTCGCAGTAGAGTTATTCGCAAAAAATATTAAGCATTCCATGTTGACTGTCTGAAGAGAAAAGTGAAATTTCCAGCATCCATTATGGTCTGGAGCAGTATGTCATCAAAATCAGTAGGAAAACTTTATTTTATTGATGGAAATGTGGATACAAACAAATATTTGGCAATTTTAGAAGAATCGCTTTTACCAGTGATGGAAGAATGTTTGACATCCGGCCAAGATTTTGTGTTTCAGCAAGATGGTGCAGCGTGCCATACCTCAAAAAAGGCTATAAAATGGATGGAAGAAAATAATGTACCACTTTTGAAATGGGTTTCTAGCAGTCCAGATCTGTCACCTATTGAAACTTTGTGGCACGAGATGAAAAAGGTTCTACGACAACATCCTGCTCGTACAATCATCAAACAAAAGCTTCAAGAAATATTCGATTGTTTTACACCAAATTTTTGCCAAAACTTGGTTAACACTATGCCCCAAAGAATTTCAGCCGTAATAAAAAATAAAGGTGATGTTACCCAATGGTAATCTTCCAATTGTTGCTTTGTTAACTTCGCGCATTTATTCGGACATTGTTTATTTGTTCAGATGTTCTATTAGTTATAGGTCTACGTGATTTCAAATGTGTATTTTTTACGACTAGAGTGTATCTAAAATGTTTTTGAGAAAATAAATTGTTTTAAAAGTAAATAGTTTCGTCAAGTTTAGTTTATAAAGGCATATTTTGGTGCAAATCTTGAAGTGGGCCAACTGAAGTGGGAAGGGGCTCCTATATCCAGAATTGGCCGTTATGAGCCCTCCTTTATTCCTAGGGTGTCGGGAATCCGAAACAGTCGGCCTGAGGAGGCTTTTTCAGTTCTGTTAACCTTAGCCAGTTCTAAAACCGGATGAATAGCTCCTTGTAGCAGCCGCGGTACCCTGGCATTTAGGCTCCTGTCTACGGAGCTGCTTCGGTATGAAAATAAAGTTCTTATATGTAGTGTTTTTATGATGATGCGAGCTTATTTTAATATAAAGGACGAAAATCAATCGAATGCTGGCACACTTATTACATAGTTTTTATCTTGCTTAGATTCAAATCTCCAATTTCGGGTGATTGTTAAATAATCACAAAAATTGAAAAGTTTCGAAAACTATTGATTTTCGACTAGACAAATATAGCATTAAATATGGACAATCACCAGTAAAAACGTGTTGCACGCTATAGTTTCAAATAGATAAGGTATGTCACAGTGGCCAGCCCAAATCGGGGTTGAACGGCTTGTTGGGGATGGTGAGCAAAATGTACTTTACAGTATTGCCAGCTAAATCAATCGTATCAGACAGGTAACTTAAGACGCAATAGCCAAAAGGGTAACAGACACAGGCTTGCCAGTACAACTGAAAGCTGTTGATAATTAATATCACATCCAAAATCTATACGGTTATCTATTGGAAATATAATATTAACTTTGATGTTTGGATAAACATTTAACAGGAGGATCTTAAGCTTGACAGTGCAGTAAGGTGTGGGGAAATGTGAAACTCTAAAGCAACAGCAAAATAGGGTACTGTTAGATTGATTTCGGGGTTTCTATAGCATGTGAACGTGCATTGTGGTTGTATCTACGAATTTCGTCTATATAGCACTCACTTGGCTTTCAATATACCAGCCGATATTGTGGGAAATTTGCTGAAAAGGGAAATAAACATATAAATCCATGAGAAAAGATTAGACATGTTCAAACTCGAGTGCAATACTGATAATAAATCAAGTAATAAAAAATTAAATTTTATCTGGTATTTAGGAATTGCTCGAATATTGGTAAAAAATCATTCAGAAAAATAGAATCTGAACTTATACATGGAGACTCAAAATATAGTGGAGTTTTTTTGTAATGCAGAAAGTATATCCAATGAAAGCTTTTAATATAATACTTCGCGTTGCTTCCACGTGTCTTCAAAGCAGTATCTTCATAAAAAATAGGGTTGTAAGATGTAGTTATCCAAAATGAATGCAACTGAAGTGAAATTGAAATTAAAATAGTTATTCACCAAAAATACATAACAGTTGGGTAAATAAATATAAAACAATATCCACAGGAGGTGTTGTCTGTTTCTGGTTGATACTTAACATTCCTGAGGCATGGTATACTCGTACAAAGTAAAAATATCGCATAATCAGTGGCGAAGCGTCCATGTAACCATTGTTACCATTGGTAACAGTTAAAAATCTTGAAAATAAATATGTTATGACTAAGAACTGTGAAATGATTTCATTTATATTTTTACCAACAGCAGTATGTAATAGTACTTCAGTAAATCGCAAATTAGCCGCAAGAAAATAATGCGCCCTATACTGTCTAGATTTTGCGAACACGATGAAGCTGACTCGCCTCGACTTGGTTGTCGATTGTTACCATTTTCGTTTATGGATACACTTGATAGTCCGCCGGGGACCGTCGATGCCGGCTCGTGTCTGATCGCGGTCGACAGAGTGCGTGGGCCGCTGCGACTATTATGAGGGCTATTACCACTTTTTGTTTTGGTTACTGACTTCTCACTCGTAAGTAGCCGTTTTGGTTACCGGCTGTAGTGTGCGTGCAATTAAACGGATGAATGTCGCTGCATAATCGATCAACTACTTAAAAAGTCATTCTCCTTATATACAGGTTTTGTCCGGAAAGTAATAGGACTCATTTTCTTCCGCCATGACTGTACTTCGGAGCATGCGCGCACCGACTGGATTCGGTAGAGGGCGTTCCTAGCTAACGAATGAGCGGCTGGTCAGTTGTCTCCGAGCACTTGGAGAGTCAGGACAGGCATTTTCGCGCGACGTGTTTCTGTGAGTGGTGCAAGCCGAAAATGCAGCGTTCGTTAGAGCATAGGTACGCGATTAAATTCTGTGTGAAACTCGGTAAATCTGCGACAGAGACGTTTGATATGATCAAGCAGGCTTACCCAGGTGTTGCTTTAGCAAGAAGTGGTGTGTTTTGAACTCAGACCGTCGACTAAATATTCGTTTAATTGCCCAGATGTTAAATTTACCGAAGATAGTCCCAAAAGTGCTCACTGACTACCAGAAATTGCGGCGAGTGTAAGTGTGCCAAGAAAATGTGAACATGTGTGAAAGTGACCCCCAATTTTTGAATAACGTAATCACAGGGGACGAGTCGTTGATCTTTGAGTATGATCCCGAGACAAAGAGGCAATCTTCCGAGTGGCACACGACGGCGTCTCCTCGCCCAAAAAAATGGAAAAATGAGCAAATCCAAAGTGAAAACGATGCTCATTGTCTGTTTTGACATCAAAGGCATCGTCTACCATGAATTTGTTCCTCCTGGACAAACCATCAACGTTTTACGTGGAAGTGCTTAGGAGACTCAAACGAAGGGTCAGTCGGGTCCGACAAGACATCGCAGCCGACTGGAAGTTGCACCACGACAACGCCCCGGCTCACACCGCCTTTCTTGTGAAAAGCTACCTGACCAAGGCCGGCATCCCAACGCTTCCGCAGCCGCCCTACAGCCCAGATGTGGCCCCCCGGACTTTTTTTATTTCCTCGCCTGAAAAGGCCGATGAAAGGCAAGCATTTTGAGACGACAGAGGGGATCCAAGCAGCATGCACCGCGGCTCTCAAGGCTATTCCGGAGAATGCCTTCCGTGACGCCTTCAATGCTTGGAAATCGCGCTGGCAGCGCTGCATCGACGCAGAATGAGCCTATTTTGAAAGTTTTTAAAGAATTGTAACGATTGGCTCAATAAATTTTTTCAAATCGACTCAGTCCTATTACTTTCCGGACAAACCCTGTAATTGTGAAGAAACAAAAGGAGATCATTGAAAATGAAGACCCAACACCTATTTTAGATAATTTTAAAGAGGAATAAAAAAAGTATTTCGATATTTTAAATTATATAGCTATAATATACTATATACTAATATAACTCTTGGTTATGTGGTTACAAGAAAAACAGATTGTATTGTTGGCCATGTCTTCTGTTTTCTACAAAAAAAATGTGTGGACCAGCAGCGGAGTCAACGATTTGAATAGTCTCAGGGTTCTTAAGAGGAGACATGAAATTTTTCCGTTACATGTGAGATGTGTAGCTAATTTGATTCAGTTTGGCAAAACAAGAATCGAAAGTTGTCTTGACCAAGCTTTTAGGCAGCCCTCTTATAGATGCCGTATGTTTTTTGGCCAAACAAGAATTACCATTTCGGAGTCATTTTGAACGGGATGACTCTGGCAATAGTGGAAATTACAGAGAATTGTTAACATTAATTATTGCCAAAAAAGATCAAAAATTTTCGGACATCTAGAAACGTCAACTGTTTTTTTCGGAAGGCTTGGATTAGTCATAGCATAAAAAAAGTTGAAATAAAATACCTAAAATTAGCAAAAACTTATATTTGGTAGGTTCAAAATAATAAGATCTTTCACATCTGGTTTTGGTAACAGTTTAGGAAAAGTCACGCGTCGCCACTTCGCATAATATCTACTGAGAATTTGGGTAATATACATTCCTAATCTGCAATACAATCAAGATTCAATCCTTCAATGTATATTTAAAATGTTTTCCAAATTTCAGGGCACACATTTCTGGCCGTATCTTATTGTATAATTTAGGATATAATTACAGAAATTGATGGCATTATCCTATATCTAGTATTATGGAGGTGCGTATTTGTATTAATGGAATGAATGGAAGCATTTTCCGTTCTTCCTCTGCAGGATTCAAGGTCTATTAGTTAATGCGCCTCTCGTTCAGGAAAAGACACGAAAACTTTTTGTGTATCTGTATTGGTTATATCTATTCACGGGCGTCCATTGAAGGGGTGGGGCAAATGAAATATTCTTAGTACTTCGCCCGTTTCTTGATAAAGAGTGGCGTTTCTTTTTACTCCTCAGCACAAAACTACGTAGTCATTACTTTTTATCCCACCGCTTTAAACAGTTAACTACTCTACTTCAAACAGAGTGACCTGTCCCCTCTGAAGTTTGCTCTAAGGGCGCCCATGTATGTATGATAATGTTGCTTCATACCGTGAATATAATAATTTTAATTTGATTTTGTAAATACATCTGTTACCACTGTTTTCTGCATCAGCCTGCACATGGTTTTCCCTCACTATTAGTGAAATAATTGGTCTTACCTTGGAGATGGTGGGGTTGGTGGAACAACACTTGTTCGGAATTGCCTAGACAAATACATAATTATAGTGTTAGAAAATCCTTTGAAAGAAGCATACATGAGGTTTTATAGTCTAACTCACCTAGAGGGGCCTGGTTCAGTAGCCCAAACTGGAGGGGATGAGTGTTCAAAATGTTGCGATGCTATAATCGGGCTCTGCCTATCCTCAGGGGTACTATAAAGAAAACATTTTGAAATTAAAGTTAAAAGCTCATGTCATTTTCCATCCTTTCATTTGATTGTCAACACATTCTGTATTATATGGATGGTAGGCCTTACCATGATACAGGTGGCGTAGCCCAGTTTAGTCCATTATCCATGATCAAGCCTCTTTGAGAATCCCTGAAAATGGATTTAAATCACGTGATTGAAACTACATCCTTTTATTTTTTCCATTACTGTGTAGTGAACACTACATCTTAGCATGAAAACATGATATATTGTTGCTGAAGGCACGTTTCCATCCTAACAAGCTTGTGGCACATGCTGTTGCAGCGCATGTTGTGGTAAATTTTGCGAAATGCAGCAAAGCATTTCTGTACTTTACACTTTTATTCCATCAAATGTCCGGCATAGGTATTTACGGGCACATTTTGCACCATTTTTTGTAATTTAAAGCGGTTCACACTAAAATGAAGTAGCATGATTGTATTTAATGTAGTTTAAGTCAGATACAAGAAAAATACATGCGAACCTTATTGAACCTGGTACATATTCAGATCCCATCTTGTACATCTTCAGCAACTTTATAGCAACTGGAGATAGCACAACACAGATAAGTATAGAGAAGTAACTAAACAGTGCGATTGTGTTCTGAAAAGAAGAAAACAAATACCAAGTATATAGGTATTATCGCATAACGGTTACCCCTGTACGAAACAACTTGCATTTAATGATCAAAATGATAATAATATAAATGGACATGAAAGCATTTGTTTCAAGAATTTATCTCTAGTCTTAAAGTAGTTTGAGTTCCAGTTAACTTAAAGCAAAATTGAGGCAGTTAATTTTTAAAATAAGAGTTTCTATGTTATTATACATATATTTAACTTTTAACAAAAACGCTTACCCAGGAATCTATAATAAACTTGCAAACATACAATCGTGCAGAATGATAAACTTTCCAAAGAGGTCGACATTTTCCTATTTCTTTACCTACTTTAGTAGTGACATAAGTGTGCAGCTCATGTAAATAGTTTTGTAGTCGATCTGAATAGCGCTTTCGATTCTGTGAAAGAAACATCCGTTTATTTTTGATTTTTAAACTTTGTACGTTGACAAAAAGCTGTCTAGGTAACCTGGTATTTATCGACCAGACCAATATGGAGATAGAAAGGTACATGGTGTCGCAAAATGAACAATATGGTTCGATCTTCAGAAATTCCCCCTTCTTATTTTTGAATGGGTCAAGTTAGCGAGCTCAAATTCGGAATGATATTGTTACGAAAACACCGTCTTACTATTTGAAGTCTAATTTATGACAAATTAATAGCCATTCCGACTGGACTATAACATGTTGACTCATCGGTCGAGGTCCGTTGACTGTCTGTAATTCCGACGACGCTTCATGGAAGTTATCAAGAGTCGATCCATGCTTCTCGATGACGCCGTAAACTCTACCGTGCTTGATGCACGGCGGCGTAGCTCTGGTTGCCTGCACGTCGATATTGCGAGGAGGTCTCATAGTTACTCAAGGTCCCAATTACGAGGGCGTTATAATATAGTTGACGCATGAATACTATATCTTCATATAAACAACAAGTGAAATAAAGAAAAAAAATATGAATAATTTTAACCGTATCGCTCATTTTGTGCTACCCACTGCAATAACATTTTTTCATACTTGATGCGTTACGAATTTGAGTAATATAAAAACCCTTTGGACTTATTTCTCAATTAATTGCTATAGCTCACATAATTGAGCAACTCTCAATGCTTTGACGTTAGACAATATTACCTGTTTCTCGAGTTCCCTTTCCTCATTGTCCAAGTATGACTGAATTCGTTGCAAATCTCTAAGCGATTGATTGACTTGACGGTTCAGGGGTGGCAATAAGATTTCTAGCATTGTAATCTTATACAAAACGTCGCTCCTAAATCAACAAAAGGTATGGTAAATAATCATGAGTAATTTATTGTCTCGAAAGTATAAGCTCTTTGATAAAGTACTTAAATGGCAACTAAGATGTTAATATAGTATGAACAAGCAAGAAACTATTAATTGCTATGGTGAATATTCGACCTTTCACAAGGTTGGTCAAACTCATACCCCTGTGCCGTTTGCTTTACATTTTATACAGGGTAGTTAAATTTACTTTTTAAAATAGTTTTTTTTTTAAATATTTCGAACAATATTTGATTTATAACAGTGAAAATTGGTATACAAGTGTTTTTTGGTACGACAAAACGAACCATGGGCATAGTTTTACTGTAGCCGCTAGAGGGCGCTCTCTACTGTACCTGTAGTGTATTAAAATGACCGAAATTTTTTTCTTAGTGCAATTTTTTGCTTTTTGAATAAAAAACTGATTCTTCGCACTTTTCTGTATAAAAAAGCTCTCTTGTGAGTTTTCATTATAGTTAGCCGTTTTTGAGATATTTCGATTTTTAAGGTTCGATACATTTTTAATTATGTATTTATTTGAAAATAATATTTTTTTTTACATTTTCGATTTCGGCATTACAAGTAATTAAGATGATCGTTTAGATTGTGTTTTTAAACACAGCAATAATCCCTCACTCCAAATAAACACAAAAAAACAGAATATTAATTTGTTTAACGTTCCAATATTATTTTTAACAAATTAAATTAATTATTTACAACTAAAATGCTATTGGATAGTTAGGACAAACATACAAAATCTACAGTAGTTGCTCGAAATGTAAACCCAATTGTTCAATACACAATTCACATCTACGAATGATCGAACGTGGTATAGCATTATTCAAATAAGGCCTTATTTCATCACATGCATTCCTGATCCTGTCTATTAGCATATCTCTTGTGGTTACGGGAGTCTGGTACACGTTTTCTTTTAGAAATCCCCCTGGTCCTCCACGGCCGATCCATCTTTCTGGATAATTTTCGTCCAGCCAGTTTCTAACTATTCTCGAATAATGAGCTGGACAACCATCAAGCTGGAACCAGGCCAATCTTCTTAAATCTAACATAACATCATCCCACATATTTGCATGCAAATTCCAAGAAGGTCGCAGCATTTAACCTTGCAGGCAAAAGGTAGGGTCCAAATAGTCGATTACGGTAGATACCAATCCACACGTTCACACTAAATTCATGCTGAAAATTTCTTTCCCGAACTGCATGCGGATTTTCATGCGACCAAATATGTTGATTATGAAAATTTACCACTCCACGTCTAGTGAAGCATGACTCATCGGTCCATAAAACGTTACTTAAAAACTCCCTATTATTATCAGTTCTATCAAGAATCCACTGACAAAATGTGATTCTTCGTTCTCCGTCCCCTGGCTGTAGTCCTTGCCCAGGTTGCAAATGGTAAGGACGTGTATGGTCATTTCTAAGAACACGGTGAACATGGCTTGCTGAAATTCCCAAGGCACCAGAAACTCTCCTAACACTTGTGGTCGGATCTCTATCAAACTCACGCAGAATCATACGGGTAAATCTGCCCTGACGAACATTTATGTTTTGATCCCTTTGGAGATTTCCAAAACCATTTTCAATTATTTGGCGATGCATTCTTACAAATACTGAGCGAGTTGGATATCGTCTGTTTGGAAATCTTCGTGCGTATTCTCTGGCTGCTTCTGCTGCGTTTCCATTTACAAAGCCATACACAAAATGAATATCCGCTAATTCTTGATTGGAGAATAAAAATGGCATTTTTATAAAACTTACAAAAAAACAGGTAAAAAAAACAGGTAAAATAAACTAAATTTCGTGCATTCACAATTGCAAAAAAACGTTTCAGGTTTCAACAGACAACAAAACTAACTGTCAACTAAATGACGTTTAACCTTATTCTGCTTTCAATTTCAAAAATGTTTGCAGACACAGCCTACTTCTAAAAATTATTTTAACGTTATTTTATCATAAATAATAAAAAATGCATCGAACCTTAAAAATCGAAATATCTCAAAAACGGCTAACTATAACGAAAATTCACAAGAGAGCTTTTTTATGTTGAAAAGTGCGAAGAATCAGTTTTTTTATTCAAAAAGCAAAAAATTTGACCAAAAAAAATTTCTTTTTAATGCACTACAGGTACAGTAGAGAGCGCCCTCTAGCGGCTACAGTGAAACTATGCCCATGGTTCGTTTTGTCGTACCAAAAAACCCTTGTATACCAATTTTCACTGTTATACATCAAATATTGTTCGAAATATTTGAAAAAAAACTATTTTAGAAAGTTTATACAGACTTTATGCATTAATTTTAAAAGTTCTATCGAATCTTAAAGTTATGCAACAATAAACTGAAACACCCTGTATAACTAACTAAATTGGCTGATTAATCAATTGCTTACCAAAAAGTTGTTGACCTTTCTTCGCATATCTGTCAAGGAATTTTTTAGACAATGAGAAATCAATCGTTATTTTTTTAACGCCTTTCAATTTTCTGATTGTTTTAATGACTAGATGAAAAGAAATTTAAGGAATTATCAACTATACATTTTTATTTATTCCTTAATAATTTGAGTAAACCTAAACATTTGGTATATATCTATTCTAACTTCAAAGAAATATGCAAGTAAGAACTAGAGTGTTTACGTTTTATATTTTGATATTTTATTAGTATCCTTACTTGATTTTTTTCAACTGGTGTAATTCATTGTTTATGATCTGACGTACAGAGTGCGCTATGTTGTCCATTTTTCTAGAGCTGACTGGATCAATCATCTGTCGAGCAACTGTGTTCAGCTGATCTGCAAAGGCATCTAGATCTTTCCTTGTGATAGGCTCGGAAGCTAGCAATCGGTAGCTTGTCAGGTTTGCTGTGGTCATTGTTGATAGGCTCTAACCATCAAAAGGATTTGTGTTAGTTTAAGTACCCACTACTCAGGATATTTAAAAAATAGTGGCAATATTTATAGATTAGACACTACATCCAAAAATAATATAAAGAGTTGCTGATTTTTTAATGTTTATGATCTTTGCACATTCTCCAGAAATTGTGCAATTGAGCTCAGATAATAAAAAAGTACAAGTATCCAAGAAATGTGTAAGAAATAAATGATTTTCAGTAGTTTATACTTAAATTGAGCTAGTACAGTCATAAAAGTCTCAAAAATATGAGTGTTAAATATAATAAAATACAACCTAGTCCAAAACAATTACAATTTGTTTCAGCTTTGATAGTACATTGAACATAAAAGTTTCTAAAAAACTGCCAGTATAGTCAGCTTTCCAAAAGATATAAAACTTTAATATAAAAGCGTCTAATTTGCAGTTATTATTTCTTAAATTTCTTAAATTGCTGAAATTTGATTTTCTAAATTGCAAAGTTCATTGACAACATTTGCATCACCACATATTATTGCTAATACCCTATACGTATTAATATAAAATATTTTTACCTGTAAATTGAGTCGTAATGATGGTCCCAGAATTTCCAAGCTAGTTTTCGTGAGTGTAAAATTAGCTAACAAAGCTTTTAGAGCTGTCCACTCTTCTATATTGAAAAGTTTATCAACGTTAATTTGATTGTGCAGATTAAAAGACTTATAGGCCGGTTGATCTCTCTGGCAGTTTCTAAAATTACAGTAACAGTTTATAACTATTCAGTTATAGCAAATAGGAAAACATGTCTTACTTCAAAACGTTGCTTATTGTTATTGACTCATTTGCATCTTGGTCGAACTTATGAAAAACGCCATTCTTATAAAAAAGTCCATCCTGGTCAAACAAACCGCTCAAAACAGTATAATGGGGATGGTCGAACAGCGGTTGACATACCTTAAACATATTTTTTATTATATTTTCAAATGTCATCTCATTCCGATTGAAGCATCCCTCATTAAGAAAGGCTAAAACTGTGTATAGGAACTCTTGTATTGAGTACGCAAAGTACTATTTTGTTGCTTGTAAATTACTTTTGTTTAATTATAGAAAAAAGAAATTGTACATGTATTTTAACTAAGCATCATTTGAATTTTAAGACGTCATAGGAACAAGAAAATTGATATTAATTCGGAGCACTACCACATGGTTTGAATGAGATGACAATAGTTATACTATTTAAAGGCGAAGGAAAGTACCCAAGGCGGGCCCCCATTTTGTTTGTAGTTAAAAATAAATATGAAAAAGTATGTTTTAAATGTGTACCATAGTTAAGCATCATTTAATTTACACGTTCATAAATTGTAGCTGAAAATCATTATTAAAAAGTAATTCATAGAAACCTTACATACTCCCGATTTCAAAAATTAGTGCCCAGTAGAAATTGTCAAGCATAATTAAGAATTTATACTTAGTATAGGCAAGGACACAGAATAACCAAAAACTTGCTTATCCAATAAAATTAGAAGCACAAGTCGACAATAACCAATTTCATGAGAAAGGTGAACCTACATCATGCCGTTTAAGAAAATTATTATATATATATATATATTATGTTATAGGTATAAAGGTTTACTTGCAAATACCTAGGAAAAATAATTCAAATTGAAGCACTGCGTAAAATTCTTTTCTAAAATCAAAATATGTGGAGCGATCAAGCAACATGTGGTACGAGCTGCGCGTATGCGTGGTAGATGCCTAAGCCACTTGATAGATATTGAGTTTTTAGAAAATGTAGAGACAATTAGACCAGGGGTCCGCTTCAGAGCACTTTCTTCTGCTATAATGAAACGTACCCAAGCATTGCCATGCACCCCAAGTATAAGGGCAACTGTAGCCTGTCCCCAAACAATAAGGGCAGTCAATGTAGCGAAAATAAGGGCAGCTATTAGCGTTGATGCTTCTTTTGGTGAAGGACCGCTCTCTGTACATGGAGCACCACATAATAGTAAAATCCATGTTAGACATACCAGACCTGAAATACCTAAAAAATGTAATCGCAAGTTAGTGAGAGTATTTTGAAGATATTTTAGAGAAGTATCGATGTAATATGCTGGATTATGAGCTTAGAGTTAAACATTTTTTCCACCATTCAAAGCCTAGACAGGGTCCTATCTTGACCGTCATCTATTAGCAGAAGCAACAGTCGGATGCAGTTCCAACTTGCTGTTTTACTTCCGCAGTGGTCGTAGATGGCTCTTTTTGCTGTCTTTTACTTCGATAGACCTTATATTCTGGATAGTTGCTCAACTTTCGTTCATTGCCCACGTGAGATCAGGCCAACAACACGCTGATTAGTTGCCAAAAAGCACGAAACAGCTGTCCATGGTTGGACGTCTGTGGTTGGACGGACGAAAGCTGTAAACTGGTTCTTTCCTATCTTGAATATTGCTCACATGTCTGTAAAGCTCCTGCCTTGGCTATACCGTCGCCAGCTATACTTGGGAAGGTTCAGAGAAAAGCAATGCAACTGATCAGTGATCAATAACAATAGGAGGGGTGATTCTGTACAACTGATCAGTGATCACTAACAACAGGAGGGGTGAGTCGTTTATGTAACTTTTCGTCATAAGCAAAACCGGAAACATGATATAGGTTATTATTTCTGTTGTACGAATGTTGAGCTATATTTATACGATCCTTAAAAACTGCAAAAAAGCCTACGTGTATGTTTTAGTAGTCTCACTTCTCCTGTATTCAAGCCTTGCTTTTATTGTTGTTTTGGTATAAAATAGTCACTACAGGTCAGTTTCTGCTAGACCATATGAATGGAATTTGATTATTCATATTACTACAAATTACAACTACACATGTTTTATTTACTTGGGATAGCAACTTTGATATCTGCTGGGTCAGAAAAAAATTAACTACAAATCGCACCTACTATTGCTAACCATATGAAAAAACTCCACTCTGATAGTTTTTGTGCCCCTTCTGTAGCATTATGTTCACTATCTTTCACAGACTCTGACACATATCGCATCAGCTGGTCTAAGGATGTGATCGAACTGAATACCTCAGACCTCTTCTTCCTTAAAAGAGCGTTCAAATCTAGAAAAAACAAAAAATTGTATATGCGTATTTTAATTGCTACAAAGCGTTGCTACAATGACTTCGTTTCTAATTTTTGTTCTTAACATGCTATGTGAAATTATTGATCATCGTATTCCACCAGGTGGATTAGGTTAATCAATGGTGAAATACTAAATTGCTACCTGCTGAAAATGATGAACTTTGTGAGAGCATCTGAGAAGGAAGGCTTCCAAAATGTTTACGTGGTGAATCCAAGCTATTATTAAAATCCTCTCTTGCCACTACTTTCTCTAAATCTTGTAATTTTTCTTCCTTTGTTATCTGGAAATGCGCATAAAAAAATATTTTCAGAAACAGCCCACATTAGTTAATGAATATTTTTTTAAATGTAACTTACGTTTTCTAAGGTGAACGTTACGTCGTAACCAGAATATTGTAATGTGTAGCATAGTGTTCTATCCTTCATAGTACATTGTTGCCGTACTACTGTTAGTTGCCTAGAAATATCAGATAACTGTTCCTGCAAAACTTCTCCTGCTAACTTGGTTGCTCCACAGTCAATCATTAAATCAGCTACTATTGCCGCAATTTTAGCGGCAGCTGGAACAACTCAAAAAATGGTGAATGTGCAGATCAGTTATAATGTGTATATGTGGCTCTTGCACCATTTTTGAGATACAAAATATGGACGTATAAAATCATTTCTACCTGAAGATAGCTACCTAATACTACATTCGCGCGGCCGAAAATTTATCCGAGATGAAATGAGGTACCGTAGCATCATCTCTGAGAATTTGTCACAGCTGTATATCTCCGCTCCGCAATAATTCTACTTTGAAAAGGTTAGAGTCTCATAGATGGCGTTGTACCTATATGCGCATATGTAGTTGGCCACAGCACTATCTACGAGACACTAACCTTTTCAAAGTAGATTCCTAATTATTGCGGAGAGGAGAAAGATAGTTGTGAAGAATTCAAATAGATCACGGTAGGGTATCTCACTTACCTCGGATAATTTTTTTGACGCGCGAATATAGTATTAGGTTGCTATCTTTAAGTAGCATAAATAAATAATTAGAATAATAAAATCGACAGGATTTTCGCCAATATCGATAAATAATCGGTCGATATCGATATACGAAAAACCGATAATACCGATCTATTGGACATTCATCTCCGTGGGTGAATATATGTAAATATGTAAACAAGTGAAAACACCTAGAAGGAACTGATTGACAAGATTAGGCTGTTTCGTGAACCCGATTTCATGAAGCATTATCAGGAAAGCAGTTTAATTTGGACATGCATACAAAGGACCTCTTTTCAATCAGTTACGTCTGTAGTCACATGGTGACAGTGATGCATATATTTCGGTAACACAGCGCAGCAGTATTGTGTAGATCATCAACCCGGCAGCGAAACTATCAAATACAAAAATTTCCTCTTGATATCATCAAGGCCCCTTTTTAAATTCAGTTTTCCTATAACAGCTGCGAAAAATCTTATTAGATCTAAATGAAAATCATACGTTAAGTTGAAATTATAAATTACCACTCGAAAGATGAAAACGAAGTTACAGGTAACAACTTGAAACTCTCATGAAATTACACTTCACGAAACGCTGAGTACACAATCTTGAGCTACCTGCTACAGGCGACTCCAGCTTCTTGTTTTAAGAAGCATGGTTTGGCTACACCAATTTTAATATGTATTTACAAATGTCGCAAATGCAAAAAAACTAGCGCCGGCTGTCAGAGGTAATATTTTAACAAAAATTTTAATTAAGAGAGTTAGAAAGTCGATTGCACAATGTATGTCCTAATAAGAAAACAACTCTAAAGAGGTTATCTAGAAACAATGAAAATATACTTTCATGTATTATGCCTTCCTTCATATCAATAATATTAAGCATTTGTATAGGCCGCCCTATAACGGCAGATGGGTACTCATCCTGGCTGATTCATATATTGACAGAATAGGGTGCCAGTATGCCGATATAAATATCGGTATAAGTCAATAATAATAATATTTTATGAATATGAATTACAGTTCTTTTCGCGGTTTTTGGCAGCAACAGCAATAATTCCATATGAAATAAGTCAGCAAATCGACTAACTGAACCATGTGCGGAGCTGAAGCTCCAAAGGAAAATTGCTGCTCTTACTCATATGAATTGATTATTAAAAGACCATTGCTTTTAGTTGTAATTTCAGATACTGCTGTCATAGACTACGAAGATCAGTAAGAGGTAAATTGAAAATCGTATGACCATGTCAAGCGGGTTATCAGACTGACAGTGGCAAGAATAGATTAGTAATATTCATAAGTTGGTGAGAATATTTTTTGAGCTTAAGAACGTTCCCGCACAGACGCAGACTGCATATGATTGTGCGAGGGAGATGGATGTATAAAGGTGGTGCCAGTAGTTTTACTCGTACTGTGATCCGTCAAAAACCGTGAAATGAACTATAGTTGTATACGACTCGATTAACTTACATATTTTGAGATCTTCCAGATTAAACAATACCGTATCTATACCAGTGTCCACTGATATCGCTTGCTGATATGGGACACCAAGAAGGATACTCATTGCTAAAATCAGATACGTCAACTCGTCAATTGTTATGAATTGTTGTTTAGCCCCAAAAAATCAGACAAAATCGAACCTAGATTTATCTTTATTTTGGAATCGGCACGTCCAGTACTTTAATATCCTTTGTTGCTAAATATTATATTTTTTACAACATCCTTGAATGAATCGATTTATTTTGATGCTTCTTAATAAAATTACATACCTTTCACGTTTAATTTTGAATCACTTTGTATACATACGTACCTTCTAAATCTTTACTAATCTCTTCGATCGCTATATCGGTTGACGAAGTTGCCGCAAAAGATATTTGCATATGAGTATTTTTTATAAAAGTTTGGATATCGCCGTACATTATCTCCACAGATTCCGGCAGCTTGTTCAATGCCTTCGCCATTTGTTCATTGGCTGCTAGTATAATCACTGCCGGTATGCTAAAAACATCGCATGCAAATTGTATATCCTTTAGTTGTTTTGAACTGAAATTAACGATCAATTAAAAAAGTAGACATTTCGGTTAATGTATCATCATTCGTCGAGCACATGTGTGCCTCTATAAATGATTATACGTCCAATAAGTACCACGACAAACTTAACGAGAAGGTAGGCTTTGGACTGAACTCCCAAATAACAAAAACTTACCTACTTCGAAGTTGAGTCATTTATTTTAATAGTGAGTAAATCTGACCAAAAGAAATGATTTTTTCCTTTAACATTTTTGTGGTAAAATTAAAGTAACAAAGTTATAGCCCTTTAGAAGTTTGAGTACCGCCCTGTCTCAATAATAATATTATGTGCTCGTGTTTGGCAACAACGGATATAATCCGCCTTATCGGTTCATCGCATCGGAAACAAAAAAGCGAAAAAATTTGAAACGCTTATCACGATGTTTTTACTACAATTTTATTCAGTTGTATTCAGTTAATGAGTCAGTCGGTATCGCGTGAGTGAATAGTGGTGTTTGTTGCGTGGCTCAAACGAAATAAAAAATGGCACATGTTTACGAAAATGCTGAAATTGTGGACATGATTCTTATTTACGTGGGGGGGAGTCTTTACAAAATGCTGCCGCGGCATCACGGATTTATGCGGATCGGTTTCCCAATCGAGTGCAACCAACCCCTCGTGCCTTTGTTAATGTAGTACAAAGGGCTCGTGAATCAGGTGACTTAAGACCTCACAGGGGAGGGCATGCCGGTGCTCCAAGACCGCACGATCAAATACAGGTTCCGCACTGAAATACTTGTCGGGAGGATATAAAACAAGGTAACATTTTTTTTTTATTTTTTTTTTAATTTTTACACACATATTTTGGTTTATCTTCCTTCTACAATCATTATCTGAAAATTAATGACTCAACTTCAAAGTCACCCTGAATATAAAAGTGTCACCGTTTTTGAGATTTTTTCTTAAATCTAAAAAAACGAAAGTTTTCATCTGTGGTCTTTAGCTGCATGTACAAATAAGGTTATACTTTGTTCATTTTTTCTATAAAATACTTCTAGATAGTTGCAAAATGTACTGGGATATAACTGCATTATATTGAATACTGATTTCAGAAAGGCACCATACGTACTATTTGTAATAGAAAAAACTGATAGCTGCTTTTCTACGTGACTGACACACACTACTATGTACGTAATTATTGGATTTAAATTCAAGTTGCACTGGTTACCGATCAGTGACTTGCTAAAAATAGTACAAAGCATTATTATTACCTGCTTCTGATATGATTTTATGAAACGTACTGAAATTCGGACTCGAGTCAGTAACAATACAAAAGAATTATTTTTGTAAAGGACGGGTTAGCGTGAAATAAAGCACAAATTGTTTGTGGAAAAAATGTATTCATTTATTGAACAAAATATGCTCAAATTGACAACCTCCTACTCTAATACAAGCTCGGAGTATCTTATTTGTACGTGCAGCTAAAGACCACAGATGAGAAGGTTCTCAAAAACGGTGACACTTTTATATATGTAAGTTTTTGTTATTTGAGCGGTCAGTTCAAAGCCTACCTTCTCCTTAAGTTTGTCATGGTACTTATTGGACCCTGTATATGTAGGCCCCAAGTTTCGTTCTCCGACTGTCACATGTCCTTAACATCCGGAGGATCCAAAATGTTAGACCCCAGTACCGTTTCTGGTCTCAGTCAAAGATAATCTTTCCGAGACATAGAACGTGCGCCGTTTATCTAGAAATAGACATAAATGTCTATCATTAGTACTTAGCGCAAACTAAGCTGGGTTTGACGGAGATGTCCGAAGATACTACTCTATTTTAAGGCGCATTGTATTGAAATCCACTCCTCTGTTGTTTTTCTAATTCTGCCTGGGCATACTGATACTAGATACAATACTGAATTGTCCATATCGAGACGAAAGTTATAACTTATAACTTACAGATACAGTATTGCTAACACTTGCAATAATATCTTGAAACATCTCTTTGTTTTCTCTTGACGTATATCAGAGTCGATAGACAAATTATCATCTACTCCAGCATGTTTGTCGATTTTACAACATAAATTAGTCATTATTATTATTGGTATCATTAAACAAATGACGGCCCATATTACAGTCCACGAGATCAAAGCAATATCCATTTTCAGTACCTAAAAAACCATATAATGTACAACCTTACAAATTTTCGTTCATTTGAAATTCCCGTACCTTAAACACTATAAGACCGATAGCCACAGGCGTCTGGTTTCTATAAGTTTCTATCAAAATATCTGAAGAAAGCAAAATGTGTAGTTATTATCTTTTTTATTCTAAGGAAACGACGAGTTTAAAGACAAGTAACACTCAAAAGTCTACATGTATCAGAAAAACGTAAGTACGGAGGTAACATGGTAGTGGTAAAGTTGAAGGTTATGGTTGATTAAGAATGTAAAAATGGGGTTTCATTGTGAGAAAGATATTAAGAATTTCATTATAGTTCAGTATAGTAGAAGGATCGATATCGCAGAGGTAATTGATGAAATCGACTCCGATCTTCTCTAAAGAATCGATTTCGATGTTTTGATTCCGAATACAATGATTTCGATTCCAATTCCGGGGGTACGAGCGCCTAGAACTGCACGGGTATTCCGTATCTTGTAAAGTGACATTTTGTCGGCTTTTTTGACGTAAAGTAGGTTTTTTGTGACATAACATAGGTTTTTCTACAAGATGTTAACTTAGCACTAGCTGATGAACACTTTTAAATTCGTTTTGTACTTGTATGTGTTGCCCTCAATTATCAATGTATGGTTCTTATGTGAAGTAAAGGTACAGATACACATGCTTATAAAATAGTATGCTTATGAGCATGATTGAATATGACATGCTCTTCAAACTGATAAATTTGCTTGTGTTAAGCATGTTTGTTTAGAGCAGGTTATTACATACATTATTTTTTATTTCCAGTCATTTAAATTTTATAGAAATTTAATTTGCGATGTTAATAGAAAATACAAATCAGCACTGCGTAAATATGATGTGTGATGCGTTATTCCTAACTTTTCTGCGATGTGGTTTAATCGCATACAACACGAGCGCGGTCGCGATTTCCCGTATTGCTCCTCAAAGTTTTTGAGAACACAAAAAACAGCAAAAATACGTAATTTATAACTTTGAACATAACTTGTCTTCAGAAAGAACAACATATAAATAACCCGTTGGGCACAGCTAATACATATACTTCATTGGCAGCATATTCAGTGGTAATATTCTTACATAGTAAATCACTGATTTTATACACCTGCAGACCAATATACATAATCATCTAGATGCGATCTTGCTACTCAACCAACGTTCTTTCTTTCACATCTTCTCAGAGATAATCACTACAGACTACTCGTCTTCACAAAACATAGAGCTTAGAGCTTAGAGCGCAAATGTGGAATGAACTATTTGCACCATAAAAACTACCCAGTGTGCAAGATGATATTTTGTCGTTTTTTTGGACCTTTTTTAGGTTTTTTCACATAATGCCCGTGTTGGCAGAGATATTAGGTAAAAAAATCTATATAACGTCAAAAAAACATCGCTAAAATGTCAACTTGTGCATTAGGTAGCCACTAGTGTGCCGTTAGTTCATTCCGCGCACACTACAAGTGAATGTCAGGTAGTTTAAAGATGTCAGTTTATAGGGAAACCTTCATGATGTAAAAAAAACTACATAATGTCATGAAAAATATTTAGAAGGAAGGAAGTTTAAAATCAAAATTAACAATGTTTTGTCAACAACACGTAAAAGCAGATGTTCCTCAGGGTTCGGTCTTAGGACCAATCTCTTATTCACTTTATATACATGACGTCCCTTGCCCCAGCGACTGTGAACTCTACCTCTATGCTGACGACACTGCACTAGTAGCTCAGTCGTGGTCTGGAAGTCTGGTTCACGACAGGCTGCAGAGTAAGGTGATCAAAATGAATAATTCGAAAATGCAGGTAATATATTGTCCTAAAAAACGTTTCGGATATCAGTGAATGAAACTCGTATACCATGGGAGCAATCTGTCAGCTACCTTGGAATCACCATTGACACGGGGTTGGCCTGGAAGAAGCATACTTATATACTTTGAAAACTAAATTCCAAATTATGTTTCGGCAGCTTTATCCTTTGTTGTGCAGAAATTCAAATTTAAGTTTGATCAACAAGATTCGGTTGTATAAAATGGTCATGAGACTCGCAATCTTGGTGCCAAGACACACAAGCAGAGACCGCAAGTTCTGCAAAACAGAACCCTACGCATAATCACCAATGCCCGGTGGTACGTGTCAAATGAGACCATTCACAGAGATATTGACATCCCATATCTAAGGGATTACGTAAAACAACAGGCACAGCGGCATTAGAATCAAGCGGATTCAGTATACTACACAGTCAAGCAAGTTCGCAAACATTACAGGATGCGCCTCGCACTGTGATCAAAATTAAATTGAGAATTTCAGATTAACCAAAATTAATTCTCTATACAGAACCGATCAAAATTATTTTTGTAGTTATTCGAGTAGTCAAACCAATAATGCTTAAGCGATTCCTACTTCAAATGATTTGCTTTACTTATTTGCTCTATTTCTTTCTTCCTTGCTTTCATTCTTTCCCTTTTGCCCTTGAACATGTTTGGTATCTGGGTAGCCAGACCTGACAGACTAACAGACCGACTCTTAACTAAGAGCAAACGTCCACCGGATCACTCTGACGAACAATGACGAATAGTAGTCATGAAAAGTCAATATAATGTCACTTTTCACGTAACGTAATACGGGTGCCGGTTGTATTTGAACGACAGCGCTGGGATTCGAAAATCGCTCCTACCACAATCAGGATGGATTCATGTTAAGTTGCCTTTAAGGTTAAATTTATCTGGTAGAATGAAACCGAGTGAGTAAAAATAGTATTATCCGAAGATCAGGAATAGGTGAAAAGATGGTTTGTGATATAAAACAACAGTTACCCCAAAAACCGAATGTCAAGGCAAAATTAACCCACAAGCACCATAAATAGTAGATCGTTCTTCATTTGGAGTCTTTAAAGTCAAAAGCAATATCCGAATCCTAACAACAGTGTGCATTTCAAACATTTCGTTAAAAATCAACCCGGTGGACTCGAAACCATTGAGTTTAGGTTCGGGAATTGAAAGAAACCGTGAACGAGTCTAAGGAATCAGTTCCAGAGCCGGAAACCATGGAGTCGAATCACCAAAAAAAAAAGGGTTTGAACCAGCTCTACACACGACAAGCCGGGCGACACTAATCCTGCGTTGCCAAGCTGGCTACAAAGTGACCCTCTTCTAACTTTTTATAAAACCAAGAAGAAAAAGTTGTAAATAAAAGTTATAGTCCCTGATATGAAGTTTTTATGTAATATTTTTTTATACCGATTATCTCAAACAAGTGCTGTCGAATAAATTGTATTATTTAAAATGGAACGCCCTGTATATTTTCAGTGAAAATAATACCCTCTCTTCTACTGATTCCAAATGTATATAATTTATTAAAATTTTATTTTATTACTTTAGTCATTTAATCATATTTATTCCGGCCCTAAACCAGATTGCATATAATAATAATAATAATAATAATAAAGGGTCTTTATTGCACTAAACATTTAGTACATTACGAGGGGCGAGGTTTAGCGTGAGCTATTCTTCCACCTAACCCCGTTTTGATAATTTATACGAAATTACATAGAAGTGGATGACAATAACTATGGTACATACATTTAAATCGGTTTGTTTTAAACCAACAAAACTGTGATCAAAGGGATTTTTTTTTAAAATCAACCATCATTAACCAATAAAAAAATATAAGTGGCAATTCATGTTTGCGAGAGAAGATCGGACTTCAATTTTAATTTAAAAGTTTTAATATTCGCAATATTTTTAAAATGAAAATTAATACTGTTGTAATATTTAACGGCATTGTAAATAAATGTTCTTGAATATAAAACAGTACGATGGAGTGGCAGTATAAAGAAAGACTGATGCCTTGTGTTAATATTATGCGTGCTGGATCTGGTAATAAATTTTTCAAACAGGTATGGAGGTGATGCGGATAGTAAAATACGATGCACAGAACTTATAACAGAATATTTGTATAGATTATCTATAGTTAACCAATTGAGGTCAGAATACGTATGCGATATATGATCAAATTTCCTCAAATTATTTATGTACCTACTACAGGTATTTTGTAGACGTCTTTTATTCGCAGCAGTTAGGCAGGGGTAATAAATTATTAGCCCATACGAAATCTTAGACAATACCAAGCTTTCACATAGCTGTTTTTTCAATTGCTTACCAGTGATGCAATTGTTTGCAAATAGAAGCCGGAGCGAACCGTAACATTGCCTCAAAACGTGCTGTAAGTGTTTTTCAAACCTCAGGTCTTCATCTAAATGTAAGCCCAAATTTTTGGCACATTCTGAATAAGGGATGATTTTTCCTTCGATTTGAACGTTAATTTTGCTTATAAGATTTGCTCTTATTTTGATATTGCCAAATATCAATGCTTTACACTTCGATGGGTTGAGCTTGAGGTAATGTAACTTGCAATAGCGGCTAATACTTGACAAATCTTCATTAATTTGGTCTTGGGCTTCAGAGTAGCGTGATGCTGGAAAATCATACTTTACCTGAGTGTCATCGGCAAAGAATTGCACATGACAGTGCTTGACAGTATCTTGAAGATCCGCGGTGTATAACAAAAAAAGCAATGGAGCTAATACGGAGACTTGAGGTACTCCGGACTGAACTTTATTTGGCAAAGACATCTGACCATCAACCACAGCCACTTGCGACCGATCACTTAAATATGACTTGATGAGCTTACAAGCAAGATCATCAAAGCCATAGTAATGACATTTGGCTACAAGCAGTTTGTGATTCAATGTATCAAATACTTTCGAGAAATCTAAAAGGACAAGAGCACACAAGTTTTTATTGTCAAGCGCGGAAATTATGCCATCGTTCAAGTCCACTAAAGCCGTAGTAGTGCTATGATTTTTTTTAAAACCCGATTGATGAACACTTATAATATAATTTTTGTCCAAGTACTCGTAAATCTGGATATAAGCTGCGCGTTCCAGTATTTTGTATAGAAGAGGCAAAAGACTTGTGGCTCGTAGGTCGTCAAATGACAAAGGATTCGAGGTTTTAGCGAGTGGTTTTACCATTGCTGCTTTCCACGCGCTTGGAAAATAGCCTCTCTCTAAGCATAGATTGATAATATGCAACAAATAAAGATTTATAGCGGGATAGCATAATTTTAACATTCGCAACGTAACTCCGTTATATGACTAATTATAGATGCTAAGCTTGTCAAGTCAATTAAATTGAAAGAAAACCTCTCAGAACTATGTCTGTTGTTACGATAATGAATTATTTTGTCTATACATTGTTCATCACTATTCTTAAAAATTGAGGTAAAGTAATCATTCACTTTATATGGATTGGAAAGGTGGACCGGAATGTTCGGAAGCTCTTTATTACTTTGTATGTGCATTTGTTTCAATGATCTGTAAAGAGATTTAGAGTTTTTATTTTTATGTAGATGTTTCAAATAGGCTGATTTTTCTTTGCGTAATGATAGCAAGCAGTAATTTCTGAGGCTTTTATAGCTGTTCCAGTTTTCTTCTGGTGGATCCATTTTATATTTGGAGAGAGCTTCACCCCTTTCCCTGAATAACATTTGTACGTTTGCAGTACGCCAAGGCGCTTTTGGCTTTGTGACTCGTACTGTTCGTTCAGGACAGTGCAAGTCAAAAAGTGACAATAAGTTTGATGTCAAAAACTCAACTTTGATTTCTATGTCGCTGAAGTATTTGGGTATTAGTCTGCCTGTTGTTAATTACAGCATGGGAAATTGAGCTTTTTGGAGCGCCTACTGCAGGCAATGCAGCCCTGGCAGCATATGATACATTTAATGACGATACCTTCTCTTGTAATAAGCTATTGTTGGTCTTCAATTCATTATTTAAATCAACTAATAAATTTTTCTCACGATTTAGACATTCGACTTCGTGTCGAAGGATCACAACAGCATTAGAATTCGCACTTGGGGAAGACCTGCATTTAGAGATGCAGTTTTTACATTTCCAATTCTTTCTGTCAGCAAAAAAAAGTTTGCGACATTTTCAAAACATTTAGAATGCAAAATAACACTGCAGTTATCACCTTCGCACTTCACGCAGGATTTTCTAATGCTATCGCAACATAACTCGCACTTTTTGTCGGTTTGACTTAGACCTAAGTCGGTGTCTCCCGCCATCCTGCTGAAATCTCCACCTATTTGGCAATACTGCCTAGGCCGTGGGCCGTGGCTGCGTGGTGATTATCGTGTGGTCAAAATAGCACGTTGTTGCACCTGATCCTATTCCACAAACACATCTCGCTTGACCGGAACTGATGTTCTTTATATATACGAACGAAGAACACACATGTAGTTACTAATGCACTACAATTATAAGAAATATTTCCGAGAATTAACCCAAGAAAACAGCAAAAATAACGAGCGACTGAATATAAACAACCCGTACGCCAGGTTGCTCACTATCTCTCGGAATGGAATGATATATGCAAACTGATCCGAACTCGGATACACATGAGTAAATGATACACAAACTGTAAGTGTTTGGCCAAACAAATGAAAGCAAGTATGATAAACCATATAGGTATATTTTGAATCAGAAAAAAGGCACTATCATTTTCCCTGACAATATGTACAGGGTATTCCATTAAAAAAACAACAACTTTATTTCATAGCACCTTTATGAGACAAAAAATATTATAGTGTAGTGTAATAGTAGAAAACATTTGAGTATAGGTACCCATATCCGGAAAAGTGTCACTACGGCACTACGGCCCCAAGACGCGTTAAAATTTAGAAAGACGATGAATTGCCTAGGAGGCCAAGAAACTGCTCCACCTCTGGCAATTCAATGGTGCCAAACGCGTCTTAGGGCCGTAGTGACACTTTTCCGGATATGGGTTTCTATACTCAAATGTTTTCTACTGTTACACTGAAAAACTTCTAGAAGTTTGATTCCTTAGTTCTGAAAGACCCTGTATACAAGCATCGCTTCTGGAAGGTAATATAAAACAAAAAGGGGGTCAGTTTATAGTCTCACTCACTATAATGCTTGCGTTGTATAGTACCTACTAATGATAACATACTTTTCACGGTGGTATTAGGCGTTACAACTCACCCATTGGAAACTGTGATGGTTCTAAAAAGCTGACAAGATTCGAAACAGTCTCAAAAGATAGTTGCTCTTCATCCAAATGAAGCTCATCAATTTTCATATCATCGCCTCTAGGTATATCCAAAAACTGCAGTTCAACGATATTCGACCATTCTGTGATAACTTTAAGAGCTTCTGTTTCATTTTCGTCATGTAGACGTGATCTGATGATAACCCAAGATTTGCTGTTATAAAAAAATTCACTGCCTATAAACTTGAGCTTTACAAGATACACTGCCACTAACTCTAAACATGTTATGAGCTGTAAAAGTCTCTCTGTCTGCGAAAAAGTTGAATAAGGAAGTTGTAAAACCATTTTGAGTTTTGTGACGGAGAATAACCAATAAATGGTGGTCCTTTTGCGAAACTTGCTTCCTGCTTCCACTATAATATCGTAACATACGTGTATTCGGTGTCATTATACAAACTACGAGCCCCTTCCCACTTTGTTCCACTTCAAGATTTGTACCAAAATATGCCTTTATAAACTAAACATGACCAAAACTATTTACTTCTAAAACAATTTATTTTCTCAAAAAAATTTTAGATGCACTCTAGTCGTGAAAATACATATTTGAAATCACTTAGACCTATAACTAATGGAACATCTGAACAAATAAACAATGTGCGAATAAATGCGCGAAGTTAACAAAGCAACAATTGAAAGATTACCATTGGGTAACATCAACTTTATTTTTTATTACGGCTGAAATTCTTTGGGGCATAATGTTAACCAAGTTTTGGCAAAAATTTGGTGTAAAACAATCCCATATTTCTTGAAGCTTTTGTCTCAGTTCGGTGATTGTGCCAGCAGGATGTTGTCGTAGAACCTTTTTCATCCCGTGCCACAAAGTTTCAATAGGTGACAGATCTGGACTGCTAGAAACCCATTTCAAAAGTGGTACATTATTTTCTTCCATCCATTTTATAGCCTTTTTTGAGGTATGGCACGCTGCAGCATCTTGCTGAAACACAAAATCTTGGCCGGATGTCAAACATTCTTCCATCACTGGTAAAAGCGATTCTTCAAAAATTGCCAAATATGTGTTTGTATCCACATTTCCATCAATAAAATGAAGTTTTCCTACTCCTTTTGATGAAATACTGCCCCAAACCATAATGGATGCTGAAAATTTCACTTTTCTCTTAAGACAGTCCACACGGAATGCTTCATTTTTTTTGCGAATAACTCTACTGCGACTGTCACCAACACAAACTTCGAACCGGGCCTCATCACTCCATTGTTGAGGTGTCCATTGTCTATGTTCTTTAGCCCATCTAAGCCGATTTTTCTTTTGTAGTGGAGTTAATAGTGGCTTTTCTTTGGCCTATAAACAAGTTTTGCAACTTTAGGGTTTTTACTTCACTTTTTTTTATAAGAAAACTTACCTTGCAAGAGCTAAATCCCAGTTTGTGGGCCTCTCTATGAGTTGTGGACCTCGAAATTCTCCTTCCAACAGCGTCACTCCACAGAGCACTTAATTGTAAATAATTGGCACGCCTGTTTTTCACGATTATTCTTGTTAATGTTCTTCGGTCGGCATTTGTGATATTACTTTTTTTCACATATCGTGGCTTAATATTAACTAAACCAGTTACGTTATATCTTCTAACAATATTTCTCACACTGTACCGCGATAAGTCTAACAAAGTTGCAATTTCTGAGTTTGATTTCCCAAAATTAAAAAAATGTATTATCAGTAACCGAATTTTCTCACTAATAACCTTTCCTCTACCCATTTTGAAAAGCTTAACTACCCAAAACTATTTTAAACGTATTCTGACAGCTGTGATTAATAAAAACAATTGTCATGGCTTTTATTTTTCACAGCCACCTATGCGTTATAGACTTATTTTGCATTGAAATGAAAATAGGTTGATATGCTGTAATTGCAACATGTGTTATTTTTATGCTGCAAATTTGATTAGTGAGTGATAAAGTTGGTATTTTCTACTATATATTATCAAAATATTCATTGTTAATATTTTAAACCTATAACACCCTGCTACATTTTTATTATTTGTGTTTGATAAGAAAAAAACTAAGTTGGGCCAACTAAAGTGGGAAGGGGCTGTAACCTGTAATCCAACTGCCAGTGGCGAATCTAGGATCTATGGGGCAAGACGCACAAAGTTTGTACGGGGCACCGCTGGAGCTTCCATAAACTGTGTTCAGGTGCCCCTTGAATCCCGGACTCCGACGTACAGTGCGTCATAGTTCCGTCTCTGCCAACTAGTTTACTATCAGCTTAATATAATACAGGGTGGGCATTAAGAGTGTTGGCGATTTAAATCTTAAATTTCTCGGAAACGCGGGGCGCGGGTTGGGGGGATAAGCTATCCACGCCGTTGCCTGGAAATTTAGTCGCCATGGAGCCGTACACGGGAGCGCAGCGTGCATTTTATGTCCAAGCGTATTATGAAAACAATAAGTCGGTTATTACTGCACGACGTTTGTATCGGCATGAACACGATTTACGCGATTTAAGAGAAGTTCCAAGCGCCAATGTGATACGGAAATGGATCAGAATGTTCGAAACAACCGGCTCGATAGTAGCAATAACAGCTCGTGGTCGTCCAGTTTCTGCAAGATCAGCCGACAATCTAGAGCGTGTTCGTGTTTCAGTTCAGCGAAATCCGCAACAGTCAACACGTAAGAGAAGTCAGGCTTTGGACATAAAGAAAACGAGCTTGCGGCGAATTTTGAAGCGTGATTTGCATTTGAAGGCTTATAAGATTCCGCTAGTCCAAGAATTGAAACCAGATGATGCCAATAACCGACTTAACTTTGTCAATTAGATGCTCGACCGATTCAACAGTTTTAACAACGTGATGTTTAGTGATGAGGCCAATTTTCACCTCAATAGCCATGTAAACAAACAAAATTGTCGGTTCTGGTCCGAAACTAATCCCCGACGCTTGCATGAACGTCCACCTCAAAGCCCTAAACTAGTCGTATGTGATAGAATTACACGTCAACCGGTATTATTGGACGACGAAAGAGGGCAGGCGATGACAGTTAAAGCTAACAATTATTGAAATATGATTACAGACTTTTTGGTGCCAGCTTTGCAAGAACTCCAAGGCAATACCTCTAAAATGTGGTTTCAACAAGATGGGGCCACATGTCATACCGCTAGGGTATCTATAGAGCTGCTGAAAAATGTCTTTCCCGAAAAACTCATTTAGAAAAGGGGGGATATTTAATGGCCACCACGTTGCCCCGATCTTTCTCCATGCGATTATTTGCAATGGGGCTACCTCAAATCGGTGGTCTACGAGAATAATCCAACTAATTTAGAGCAGCTGAGGAGGAATATTGTTCAGGAAAGTAACAAAATACCAAGATCAACTTTTCAACGAGTTTTCCAAAATCTGCAGCTTCGGTTTCAAGAGTGACAAGCAGCAAAAGGAAGTCATTTGAACAACATTATTTTCAGGTCTTAAAAAGACCTATCTTTCTACTTTTTAAAAATACATTTATTTTTCTTTTATATTGCGGGGTTATTTTTTCATTGAATATTGAAATTGCCGACACCTTTATGGCCCACCCTGAATATTATTATCGCACATCATTATTGTAAAAGGAAAAGCTATATCTAAAACAATATTTCGCTCACCGGATCTTGGGAATATAGTTCCACAATATTTTATCAAAACCGTAGCACACATTAACAACTATACATCACGTTGAAAAATAGCAACCAAGTGACATTTCAGATTTAAACGGGATCATATTATTGAAACTTAATAGTATAAAATCACATATTCTTGTTTCGGGAAATGTTTCATTTACATAATAGTGAAACCACTCAGAAGAAAAGTATAGATACTTACTTCGTGACATCTTCTCTAGGCGTTCTATAATCTCCATTTATATCTAATTTTCCGTCCCACAGTAGCTCATGAATGGAAGTACAATTTTCTACAAAAGCTGAGCTATTACGAGTTGATACAGGCTGAATAACCTTTACCGAGTCGCTATATCCATTTCCGAAACAATACACGATCACTATGAGCATTACAAGACCTTGGGCCATTATTGCTAAGTTTTATCCAGATTGTCTGCCGAGAGTGGAACTACTTCATGCTGTTTCGAGAATAAAGGATCTGAGTTTATTTCATTATAGGAATACGCCAGACGGCATACTATAGTAAATAGTAAGGCTTCTCATCGATTATGTATGGCATCGAAATTAGCACAGATTACGTCGCAAACCGTCCTAGATATGGCTTGAATAAGGTAAGCTACCACACAAGTACCGGATTTTTTAAGAAAAAAATATATGCAATCCGTTCCTATTTTACTTTGTAATTAAATTTTGAAATACAGGCGTAAATCGGATGAGGTGTATATGACTGGAGGGTAAAATCCCCGTTTTGTTTCAAGTAGATGAAAGTTGGTAATTTGAAGCACTGTGTTATGGTAGAAAATGGAACGTCTGGGAACCTCTATGGTAGTTACGTAGGAGCTTATGAAAAATCTGCCGCTCAAAACTCTTAAATACACTCGTTGACAAAGAAAATAGAACACCCAGTACAAATCATTTCATTTGAATGAAATTTTATATAGTTAGGATGGTCCAATAATTCCACGTTTTCTTCCGTTAAATACTGCCTTGTTTTTTGGGCTGTGTGCGAGCTTGCATTGTCTTGATGGAGGATGATTCTTCTTTCGGGATTGATTTTTCGAAGCTCCGTAATAACTTTTGGCAAACAAATGGTGGTATACCAATCCGCAGTAACAGTTCTTTGCTCATTAAGAGGAATTGTTGCAATATTGCTTTTGACACAAATGTCGCGACCATCTTTTTCGAAACACTTCGAGAACGGATGACTTTTGTTGGCTTTTCTTCACCTTGGAACACCCAAACAGCCGACTGTCGTTTATTTTCTGGTTCATAACAGTAAATCCACGATTCATCACCACTAACAATGCTGTACACATTTTTTGAGTTTCCGGAATTGAAACGGTCAAGCGTTTTTTGACACTATTTAACCCTGTCTGCTTTCTACTCTTCAGTCAACAGGTGGGGTATCCAGCGAGAAACTAATTTTCTTACTCCTAATTCTTCATGTAAAATTTTTTGAATTGAGGTCTTTGAGATCTTCAAGGACGCCTCAATCTCGCGATATGTTACATATACATATGTATATCTTCAATGATGAGTTTGCGCACAGCATCGACGTTTTCCTGGGTGACTGCCGTTTTTGGTGCACCCACCCTGGGATCGTCGCTAAGACTCACCCGTCCACGTTTGAATTCTCCATACCAACTGAAAATTGTCGACTGATGTGGCGCTTCGTTGCCGAAAACAGACAGTAACTCGGCAAGGCATTCTTGTTGCGATAATTGTCTTTGAAAGTTGTAATAAATTATGGCGCAAAAATGTTCTCGGTTGAGTTCCATTTTTCTAATGACTTGGTGACACTTAAAAAAAACTTTGAATTTACTTACGTTTACTAAAGAGTGCGGTTAAGATTCAGTACTTGCGATCCGCGCGGCCTACTATGTTTCTATATGCAAATCTTAAAAGACATCTCTCGTAAGTAATTTATTTTGAAATCCCACTACAAATAACGTCAGGAAAAAAATTAAAACGATTTTATCCGTCTCTCTTCGGAAGCACTTTGAATTTCGAAACTTTCTAAGCTACATTTTGTTAGTTATCTTAATACGCATCAGCTTTGTCCCTATTTAAGCAATTTCATATCTCTTACCGTTTCCGAGATAAGAAAGATCAGTCTCGAATTTCAAACACCTGGTACATCAAGTTCCAACAAGGCACTGCTAGACTTGCGATGAGCTACCTCAATAATGATCAAGTCAGTCCAATTCCTCAGCCTCCTAGATCGCCACGCCTTCCGGCTACTGAGCATATGTGGGGAATACAAAGGCGGGTCTAGCCTTTGTGTCAGGGGAAGATCACACGAAGGTCTTCGTCTTGGGGGACGGCTGGAGGGTGCTCAGATTGATATTTGAAGGAGAGCGGGGGAGAGCTTCTGAGAGGGAATGTCTTTATAGTGATAGGAAAGCGGAGGGTCGATTGAACATTGAACAGCGGTAGGAGGGGTTGGGGCCGCCTGGCTTGATTCGCATAAGGGGGAGGGTCGATACCTATATGATCTACCTCGGATCAGCCTTTTAGTGGGATATGACGGGAAGAAGGGACGCCTCTTTACCTCATAGTACACAAACGCTAGCAGATCTTCGGAATCAAGTACGCTAGTTCAGCTATACTACAACTATTTAAAACTGTAATGACTCATACCCGTGATAAACACGTGATCAGAGCTCGATCCCGGCTTCCTTCCAGTACAGCCGTATAGCGTACGACATATGTCGTTTCTGTGGCTTTGCGGTGGTCAACAGCACAGACAGAGATGGAAATAATGGCTGATTGTTCTCCGCCGGTAGAACCAATGAAATCAAAGACGCGCCTCGACCGGCAGACTCATAGGCGTCGGCAACGCATTGGAACGTGTTTCGTTGAGCGATCGCATATTGTGTGTTTTTATAAGAATTGTTGTATGATTGTTATTGTTGTGGTTTCTGTGGTTACTGTTTTGGTTATACTTAACCATGGAGAGTACAAATGGCACTAGTGGAAGTACTGAAAGCCAGGGAACAAGTAGACGGCTTCGTAAAGCACTGAAGAGGGACGCGAAAGAAATCGTGCTCAATGTGTTCAATTATCTGAACAGAACTATGTCGCAGGGAGATGCACTCGCGCGTTGTGAAAGTATGACAGGCGTTTCAGAGTGGACCATTCGCAGGGTGGTGCATGAAAAGAAGAAAACTGGAGCTACTACTGATCCAAAGTTTAATTTGAAGGGACTAAAGGCCATTAAATTGGATGACGATAGGAAAATGAAATTATACCCCAAATGAGCGTCGAGGTAATGAGGAAATCCCTGCACGAAATTAATTTTCGTTACGAAACGCGTAATCGGAAGTCAGTATTGATAGAGAGACCTGAAATAGTCGCCTGGCGTCGAAAATACTTACGCGAAATGATTGAATATAGGCGACAAAGCAGAAAAATCTATTATTTGGACGAGACATGGGTAAATGCGGGTCACACAGTTAAAAAAACCTGGATAGACAAAAACGTAGTGAGTAACCGACAAGCAAGCATTGAAGGTTTGTCAACAGGTCTTCGTGGACCGTCAGAGAAAGGTCAAAGATTGATCGTAACTCATATTGGTAGCGATAGTGGCTTTTTAGAAGAGTGTGACTTGATTTTCGTCTCTAAGAAAGGAGGTGATTACCATGACGAAATGAATGCCAGCTGCTTCGAGAGCTGGTTTCAAGGGGTGCTTCAGCGAGTTGAGCCCAACTCTGTGATCGTCATGGATAATGCTTCCTACCATAGTCGTCGAGCCGAACGTGTACCGACTATGGGATCTCGAAAAAGTGACATGCAGCAATGGTTGCGCGAAAAAGGAATCTCGTTTGACGATTCATGTGTGAAAGCGGAATTGTATGAAAAAATTAAACAGCACAAACCTGCGAACATTAGTTACGTGACTGATGAGATGGCCCGTCAATGTGGTATCACTGTGCTTCGGTTACCGCCCTACCACTGTGAACTGAACCCAATAGAGCTCATCTGGGCTCAAGTGAAGGGTTATATTGCGCGCCATAACACAACCTTCAAATTACCAGACGTTAAGGTTTTACTTGAGACTTCCATACAGCTAGTAACGCCCGAAGCTTGGCAGAATGTTATCCGTCATGTTGTGAAGGAAGAAACAAAAATGTGGCAGCTTGACCATCACATCGACACCATCATAGAGCCAGTTATAGTCAATTTCAACGAGGAAAGCGATAGCGACAGTTTATTACTGTCAGATTTAAGTGGAAGCGACAATGAATAAAGGTAATTCCCAAATTTTTTACTTACAATATGTTTCAAACCACTCTTTATTAAGCATGTGACAAATCTAGTTCACCCATGTTAAACATTCATACCCCGCCTATGAACAGCCGACTACTGGTAGTTAAGTGATGTTCACGTGAACATCGATGAGTCGTTACAGTTTTAGATAGTTATAGTATAGTTTGGGATGAGATAACTCAAGATATAAATCGCCTCCTAAATTCGCCAGTGAATCGCTAAAGCGAGCGCTTAACAGAGCCGCTCACGTCGAGCAAATCGTGCTCCAATTGACTGTCGATTTTTTGACGAATCCCGTTGATGGCTACATTACAAGTCAATACTGTTGGCGACTAGTTCGACTGTGAGCACGGCCTTTACAGTCTTCTTATTTTATTAGTTGAAATAGAACTCTGTGAACACACGTTATTAATAGAGGAGAAAACTTTATTTTTTATTGATTCATATCGTACTAAAAGTTTACTATGGGATCCGCAACATGCTGAATATTATAACAGAATCAAGAAGCATGACGCGTGGCAACAGCTCTTCTAGGTCTGATATTTCGACACAGACTGGAGCAGAAAAATGTGGAGCACTGTTGAGCCGAACATTCCAAGTGAACATTCGCTGGACTCAAATCACGAGCTTCGTAATGTAACGCTCGATGTGAGCATTAAATTACAGCGATCGGCTTCAGTCAGGCGCCGCCTCAAGGAATATACCTCGACAACTGGACGAGTGTATACAACATCGGGGTTGGACCCAGTGGGGAAGTTCACTTTATGATTTAAGAAAAAATACAAACTTAATGAAAAGAAAATATTTATTACCATCAACGTATTCGTAAATTCGGTGGGTTTTATTTCTTAAATATCATTCCGTCCAAATGTTTGCCATCCATTTGGACAAGTATGGGCAGTGGCCCGATATCTTGTTGAAACCATATATTTCTATTAAATCGACGGTCTGTTCTTATAATAGGAGTAAAAAAGTATCAATCATGTCCTTGTATCGCTCGGAATTGACTGTCAATCCATGACCGTTTTCATCTTCAAAGAAATACGGCCCAATAATACCTACCGTTAGAGAATATCGCGCAACAGACAGTGATCTTTGGACTATGTAGCTGTTATTTTGGGTTCGTTGGTGCCCAATATCTGCAATTTTGCATGTTCACATAATCGTCTAAGTGAAAATGGGCCTCGACACTGAAAACAACGTTCTCGAATCTATGCTGGGTAGGAAACAGATTCAACATCCGTTCAGCTCAAGATTTCCGTAATACGTAATCACTTTCCTTTAAAGCATAGACTGATTGGATTTTATAAGGATGAAAACTCATTTTTTTCCGAGGATTTGCAATGACCGAATCACTTACTCGACGCACATCTTCGGTTGATACACTTTTTCAATAGGCTCTTACTTGGGGCATCTCTTGATCGGCGAATGTTGTGTCGTGTACAAAATTTCCGAAGGGCAGCTGAGTATGAATCACCACTCTTAAAGTAAGCCTCGATAGCAAAAGCACGTTGAGCTCCGGTCCAACGTTCCGTTGTGACTATACCCTATTTCACACTTTGATGTCTACTGAGGTCAACAGCTGATCAGCAAGTGACATTCTTATGTTACTCTGCAACGTTGGCAAAAATGAATCGGGTACAAATCTAGCAAAGCTTGTTTGTGGCGTTTTGTTTTTCGTATGCAAATGAACAAACAAAACAAATAGGGCTCTGAATACCTGAAGTTGACGGATCCGTCAGAATTATGTGTTCTGTGCCGATATGGGGAATTTTCAGATATTACTAGATAATCAGCTGTCATTCTACCGTGATGGACACTCGTGAAATAGGGTATATTTAACCCACACGCCGAACGCGTCGATCATGGCCTCTCCCCACTTCCTCGCGTATATAATGAGATCAAGCAATTGGTTTCACTTCAAAATTTCCTCTTGCTTATGTCTAACTGTATATAGAATTTAATTTGAATAAAATCATGTATACCGGGTTTTCTTTGTCACTGAATATAAGACTTTGTAGGGGCAAATCTCACTTAGGTAAGTTGGGCCGCTGAACACGAATATGACAATAAAAAGGTTTTAGTGTCACGAGGCTGAATTTGAGGTAAGGAATATGCCGCTTGCGAACTCCCGTGTATCTTAGCGTTCAAGTGATGATGAATTCTTTAATAGGAAGCCCCGAAATATATGATTTGATAAAGCAAAATGAGTCACAGACCAGGAATACTGGTAAGAAATTAACAAGAGATGCGAAATCTACGCGGTCGATTTACCCAAGAAACAAGTTTTAGTCCAGATTGCACGTACGTAAGGGTTTCCAAAGATTCGCTCACAGGAAACCTCAATGGATTAGTTCTAGGACTCTATAGTTTAACATAAAAGCTAAACCAGTATCATAAATAAAACATAAATTGATATAAACATTTTATTGGACTGAAAAAGAAATTTATTCACAATAAAAAAAATACAACAAAACCGGATCTTCATTTTAATCCATGGCAATACTAAAAGGGAATCATGAACATTTTGTTCTTATCACTTATAATGTCCTTATTATCTACATAATTTCACAGTACACTTCACCGTCAAATAACGCTCATTCAAATATATTTATTTTACACTTAAAAATATTTTCCAAATAACGCAAAACACACACGGAGGGAACTGTACAGGTAAGCTTGCAGATGACTGCAACTCAAGAATTCATAAAATCTAATTAATAATAAGGATCATTTCTCACAGAAAAGAAACTGCTCATCGTGAATAAACGTAAAACGAAAAAACTAAAACAACAAAATGTTGCGAAACGAGTAAAATATTAAACAGGATTTTTTAAATATGTTCTCGTTATCTCATGGCACTTCCTTGCCGGGGTGTCATGGCGATGGAGGTCGCCAGCATAGTAGCTGAACTAACTTGAAATATACGGCAGCTCCTTGACATGTCATCGCCTTGGAGACACCGAAAAAATCGTCACCACTAGTCACCACGTCAAAACGGTGCCATATGGGTGACTCCGAGTAAATTTCCCTTTTCGAACGCGCCCTGTACAACCGCCTTAACAGTGGTGGAGGAAGTGCGGATTGTCAGTAAACATGGAGCAGAGATTGAACGAGCAACGTGCGTTTATGGTAGCGGCGTTCTTTAAATCTAACGATTCCTATGTCGCGGTACTGCGAGTTTTTTGCAACCGTTACAATATTCGGCGTGTACGTGATGCTCCGTCGAAAAATATAGTAAAATCCTGGATTAAAAGATTTCAACAAACAGGTACAGTGGCGCCCAGGGAAACAGAAATCCATCAGAACGCCAGAGAATATTCAGCCTTGCATATTCATCGCACAAGTGTTCAACGGATTTCAACCAAAACCTACAGTTTCGTCCGTACAAAATTCAATTGGTACAGTTTTTAAAACCTACGGGCCACGAAATCCGAAAAATCATTGTGAGACAATGTTTAATATGTTTTGGGATGAAGGAGGCTTGGGCCACATTCTATTCAGCGATGAGGCTCGCTGTCGGTACTCTTGTGATAACAACTCAAAAGAAAAACATCAAAAACAACTGCATTCCAAGAAGGTTACAGTGGAATAATTGGGCGCTACTTTTTAGAAGATGCCCGGGGCTGCTCTATAACTGTGACAAGCCAAAGGTACACAGCAATGCTTCAGAAATTTTTGACTCCTGTTTTTCAAAACTTTCCTGGCTATGGCCCAAACGAGACCTGGTTTCAAGAGGATGGAGCGACGTGAACTGTTTCCAAGAACTGTTAATTTGAAATTTGGAGACACCACTTTCCAGCTAAGATCGCCAGATCTTACGCCCCTCGATTTTTTTTGTGGGGATATTTAAGTATCGTCTACACCGATCGTTCAGCCACTACGGAGCAGTTAAAAGATAACATTCGTCAGAAAATTAACAACATTCCTATTGAAATGTGTCAGCGGAGACCAACATTTAAGAGCATCATTGGAGGAGTGCTATGAGCAGGATGGATAACATTTGGACAATATTGTGTTTAAGAACTGAAATCCGCATCCCTGTACTTCCAAAATTTATGATTAAGATTATCGCAACACTTTTAATTTCGTTTTTATACCATGTTAAAAAGGGAAATTTACGATGAGTCACCCTGTATTTCAAAAGGCCATTGAGTCCTGATGAAGGAGGACCCTAACAGAAAAATAAAATAAATCTTGAATATTGTAGTTAACTAAACTGAGTAAATAGATTATCAGAACACAGCTATCAGAACACATCATTATCACTTAATTAGGCCATACTGCCATAGCCATTTGTTATTCTGTTTAATCATCAGTTTACACTTTTTGAATATTTCATTTATTTGTGCTAATGTACACACCTTTCACATAGTCAGCTTTATCAAACGTTCTTGATGGAAATTATTTGATTCCAACACCAAAAATTGACGCCTGTTAAGCTGAAGCACAACTTCGATAACAGTCAGCTATGAAACTCTCCTGTCAGTGTCTAATACGGGCCACTTCGGCGGAGAAAATCGCATGTAAATTCGTCTAGTACAATGATGAAAGCGGTTTTAGTGCTCAGCAGCAGCCGGTATTGCCACGCACTATACCAGCGACCGCAGGTATTATTTCCAATCTTAATCGATTTTGATACGATCTAGTGTAATTTGTGTGAATCACTAAGAAAAAGCAGTATGTTTGTTCAAAAAGAGGCGACGGAGCACTGGTGACTATTTATCTATGAAAAAGCTCTAGAATAAATTTGTGATTACAGTATCTACAATAAACGCAAAATTATTTACTTTAGCCATGAATTCTTCGATTCTTGTGAATTCAGGGTGAGTTTTTAATGAGTCAGCGGTCGGTAGTTCCGATATTTTAAATACCTAAAAAGTTAGTTATGAAAATTATGCGCACCTATGATACGCAGCTTACTTGGAAAATATGCCGTTCTTCTCAGGGTTACATAATTACATGACAACACAAACATACATTTTTTTAAATGGAATATCCTTTCCTTATTCTTCGCTCATTCTAATCAAAAACTATACACATACCAAAAATCAGAACGGTCAACCTTAGAGAGCATTTATCAAAGACCCTTTTTGTTTAGAATGAGCGAAGAATAAGACAATATACGTGCGTAACGGTTTAGTTTTATTGATTGATAATATCGCATGATAATATTTTTCAAATTTCTGAAGCCTTTTCATAAATGGTCATCAATTCTCGGACGCCTCTTTTTGGACAAACATACTTCTTTTATCATTGATTCACTGGCTGAACCCCCTTCATCGTCGTGCTAGGGGAATTTATATGCGATTTTCTTCGCCGAAATGGCGGCCGTTTTTGACACTGACAGGAGAGTTTCATAGCTAGTTGTTATCTAAGCTGTGGCTGAAGTATACGTTAATCAATGTAGGCTAATCATATTAGCAACTTCCCCCGAAATAATTGTAAAGTCTAGTATTTTTGATGCAAGTTGTTCAACGGGCTATTTAAAACATGGACGCATAAAATGGGAACGCCAATTTTTGTGGGAAAACCTTTCATGTGACAACAAAGAATGGGAAAACGTGTTTTTGGGATTTAATCGAAGGTGAAGTCAGGAACCAAAAAACTCTAAATAAGGTTTTTACGTATTAATGAGACCACTCGTAAAAAGATCCGACTAATAGTAAAAAAGTTATGGCCGATAACCGAGGCAAAATGCAGGTTATGGCTCTTGTTGCTAATGCGACGATAACTTCACGCAGCTACTTGAAATTCTTCAAATCGGTAGGCTTCATACTTCTTAATAACCACATCAAAATTGTAGTCGATTGGTGAAGTAGTATTTGAGAATGTCTAATTGTTTATCTCAAAACACCTGTCTTCCGGCCATCACTACTAGTTTACTGAGCATGGTTCGTTCAAAGGGCATTTTATAGAGAAATACACGATTTTACCTTGCCGACATGAATCACAAACCATTCCGAAACATAATTGTTATTTTCATGCAAAAAACTGAGGGGTTAAACAATTAGAAATTCTCAAACATCGACTCGAATTTTGTTGTCGTTATTTAGAAGTATGAAGCATACAAATTTGAAGAATTTCATGTATCTACGTAAAACTATCGTCGCATTACCAACAAGTGCGAAAACCTGTATCTTGTCTCGGTTTTCGGCCAAAACTTTTTTACTATTAGTCGGATCTTTTTACGTGTAGTCTCATTCTGCGGGTCTCATAAATTGTTTGTAAAGTTTTTTCGTTCCTGCCAACACTTTCGATTGAATCCCAAAACACAAGTTTACTCATTCTTTGTTGTCGAATAAAAAGTTTTCCCACAAAAATCGGTGTACCCATTTTATGCGTCCATGATTTAAATACCCCCTCGAGCAACTTGCATCAATAATACCAGACTTTACAATTATTTCGCAAACCATGGTATTTTCGTCTAATATGATTAGACTAATGGTTATCAAGTTATCTGTGAAAATTCAGGAAACAAATTACGTTGCAGCACTTAGTTCCAGATCAATCTGATATCAAATCAGATTAGATCTCAATTGGACACTGACAAATCAAATTTGATACCGAATTGACACTGAAATAAGTATATGACCCCTTTCTTTTCCTGAACACGCTCAATGTTATTTTGTGACTGACGATTAATCAAGAAGTTTTATTTGATCAAGCTTAATTTCAAAATATTTATACTAAAACGGTAAGTAATGTAAGATTGTACATATTATTAAACAAATATCAGTAATGAAATTTCAAGTACGTCCAAATATCCTGAATATTTGTGTAGGCCAACTATATCATAACAAGTTCAAGGAAGACATTATGCTTGTTAGGGTTGTGACATCACTTCGAGAGTGCCGGAAATTGATTATTTTGGTATTAACTGTTTATTATGTGTATGTGTATAAACAATTTTTTGGATTCTCCAAACAGGAATATCAGCTTGTCAAAATAAACTTTTCACAAACATGTGATGCAAATGGCGAAGTCGCATGTTCTGGAATGCTTCTAGCCTCTACAAACGTTCAACGATATCGACTATGTACGAGGTGCGTGTAACGATTTTTGCGTAACAATCGAGAATCCCCACTAATCAGATCCACAATTGCGCAGTCATCAAATCGATTATATTACATAGCTGGGGGCAGTAATAAAATGCAACGTGTTGGAGATCTGACTGCTGAGATCGACAGAGAAGCCCAGCGAGCCTGAATCGTTCTTGATCCCGCCAAACATGATTAATTCTGAATTGCCTTCCACGAGAGTGTACAACATGGCCTCCTCGGGGCCGTTCTTCAAGTTGTTCGGTGGCAACCAGGTGACTATCGGTCTGTCGCTCAGAACGTTCGAGATATCCAAAAGATACATGCCGAGGTAGTGAGTCTTCTTTTCTCTCTTGTAAGCGCCTTTCGTGAGGTTCTCTTCGACTTTCAACAGCCTGGCCAGGCGTTTCTCGCGCATCTTCTCGGATTCTTGTTGGCGAGAGAAGTCGGGACCGTTGAATGCTGCCATGTTCATTCCCGAGGAATTGTTCAGACCCTTGATCTGGAAAAGATTGGCGTTATGCGACAAAACTGTCTCCATGCTATTTAATTTAATTTTATCTAATTAATGGTCAGGTTAAATGAAGAAATTCGTTCATAGAAGTGCTGGTTGTAATCAAGTTCCGGGAATTTAGTGTTAAGACTGAACAAACAACACTGTTCTGGAATGGGGAATTGTCTTTTGAGTTTTAGTCCAAGGTTGAAGTCGATAGAATAGTTGGTTATTGGTTCATGATTTAAGCGTATTTTCACGTACCGTTTTATAGTGGCACCGTGAAAAGAATTAACTTACATTAAGCGCAATGTATTTTTAGTGAAATTTGGCAAATAACCTCCGAAAAGTGCAAGTGCTATATGGGGACGACTGCATGTCAAAAACGATATACGAGTACAAAGGGTACTATAAAAGTTTTGCAATACAGCTTTATTTATTGACTTCGTGCAAAGTAATTTCCACCACATTCAATACACTTTTTCATCCGCCAAAACCAGTCCTTAAACCAGCTCTGCCAAGTTTCACCCTGGAGTGCGACACACTCGTTGTCCCAAGCCCTCATAAGGTCCTCATCGCTAGAAAACTGTATTCCATTTAGCTTCATTTTAACATGCGGAAACAGTGCAAAGTTGCAGGGAGCAAGATCTGGACTGAAAGGATGCTTAATGTACTATGAATAGTGCAGCCTAAACTTGTTTGTTCCTGTAGATATCTGTACGATTTGGTTAAATTGAATAGCTCGCGGCGACAGTTTGCGGGTGGATCTCGTACAGTACGGAGTAATTTTGCGAATTGTGCAATATTTTGTATGTGAAATCAGTTTTTGTATATTGGAAAATAGAAGATGAATGAATATGGCGTGCGCTTTGCAAAGTAAGTAGGTTTTTTACGACACAAAAACTAGTTTATTTTTATGAAAATATTATTTCCTTAGTTGCGGCTTCTAGATTTTATGATGTGTTTCATTTATGCTTTGTTTGTAAGGTTATGATAAAGTTAGGTTTACTATATTTAGTACATCAAGAAAAAGGGGTCTACGAATATGTTCATAGTCAAAACAAAAATAAAATGGTTTTAGGTAAATTATTTTTGAATAAGTAATTATTTTGAGAAGGAACATTTGTTTCAGGGGTTTTTCTTTGCATGAGGCGCTAGCAATAATATAAGATGACAACATTGAAGCTGAGTCTATCACTTTGTTACCACCCACTAATGCATGCGGTAAGATAACAGACGAGGATTCTGGAGACGAAGAAAGACTGGATATCAACAACTTGCCAGGAAGCTTAATGCAAGCTGAGGACGAAGTAAATACGAATCAAAACGAGGATATGTGGAGTTCAGAAGATGAAATACCACTCAGTGAAATCAGGGCTAATAATCGGAAGGAAGTGAAAAAGAAGAAAACATATAATTACGTAAAAGAAGATTTGCCAAGAAATGAGTATGCGTTTCCAATAAACAACGAAAATCAAAATGAACAAGAGCAGTCCCCAACCGAGATATTTTTTAGTTTTTTTGATGACGAAATTTTGAACATAATAGTTGAGGAGACAAATCGGTATGCTCAAAAGAAAAACAGGAATATTATGGTTACCAAATCTTAAATCAAATGTTTTCTAGGCATATTATTGTTGAGTAGCTACAGTAGTGTATCTCGCAGAAGGATGTATTGGGAAAAATCCAGTGATTCACACAACTCACTTGTTTCTGAAGCTATTTCTCGCGATAAATTTGAATTTATAATGTCTCACATTCACTTCCTAAACAATGAAGCCCTGGATGCAAATGAAAAATTTGCTAAACTAAGGCGTCTTGTCAATCACCTGAATAAAATTTTTTTGGAATACGCAGTACCAGAAGAGCATCATAGTATTGATGAGGCAATGGTTCCATACAACGGGCGACATGGTTGTAAACAGTATATCCACGGGAAACCAATACGTTATGGGTTCAAATTTTGGGTTGACGCTACTACTCTTGGTTACATCTTATGGTTTGAACCTTATCAGGGTGCTTCGACGAATGTGAACGCGGCTTACAAATCTTTAGGTGTTGGCGCATCAGTTGTATTGAGCTATGCTGATAGGCTAAAAAGCAAATGGGCAAATCTTAGGTTTCATTTTGTATTTGGTAATTTCTTTCGTCGCCAGCTTTGTTTGAAAGCTTGAATGAAAAAGGCATATGTGGTACAGGAACAATTCGTGAAAATCGTATACCCATGTCTTCATTGAAAAATTCAAAACTTAAGAAAAAGTAACAACGTGGTAAAAGATAAAAACTTAATTTTCGTAAAATGGAATGACAACAATATTGTAACTTTTGGGTCTACAGCGATTGGAATTGAACCAGTAAATTCAGTAAAGCGGTATTCTCAAAAAGAAAAAAAGTTTGTGTATGTAGATCAGCCCCAAGTTGTCAAGCTGTATAATAAATGTATGGGTGGATAGGTCAGACCAGAATATAGCTCAATACAGAGTACAAATCCGCGGCAAAAAATGGTATTTCACGTTGATCTCTCAATGTGTAGATATGGCCCTGCCAAACGCCTGGCATATTTATAAAAAGAGAGGAAATAACGTGAATCAATTACAAATTAAAAGAAGTGTAGCTACAACTATCTTGACACAAAATAAGAAGACTTATACGAACCAGCAAGGTAAATCAAGAAATTTTGGTGACAAGGTATGATCGCTTAGATCATTTAGTCATTACACAAGGCAAACAAACAAGGTGTGCACACTGTCATGAGCGCACGACTACTAGATGTAGAAAATGTGATGTCGGCCTTCACGTGAAATGTTTTGTTCGATATCATAACTCTTTAAAATTTGCAATATTGATGTGTTTCAAAATATTTGTACTATTTTCAAAAAAATTTTTATTATTATTCTTATAGCTACCTTTATTCCTTTACATCCTAAAAAACTAACTGTTTATGTATTTTTTTAGAATAAATTGAAAATACGTCCAAAGTGTCGTCTTTTAATAAGGCATAAATGGGTTAATAAGTTTCAGTCCAGTAGTGGTCAAATTCTCGGTGCAGGCTCTGGTGCGATGAGCTGGAGCGTTGTCAAGGTGGAGGTACCAAGGTCCATTCTTGACTTCGGCCGCTGGTTTTTCATAGACTCCATGACCTTAGACAGGCATTGTTCCGTGTACCACTCAGATGTGACTGTCTTCTGTGTGTCCAAAACGACACGCTCCACAATTCCGCTCGATTTGAAAAATACAGCTATCATGGGGAATTTCTGACAGCTGCTGGAGTGCCCTCATCATCAAAGACCCAAACATTATTTTGAGCCTTGGTCGGCTCATCGTAATAATAAAGCTAAGTCTCGACACATGTCACGATGTTGTTCACATACCGAGATTGCCCCTTATCAAACATTTTCAGCATCTTTCGGCACCAACTCGTACGACGAGTCTTCTGTACTTCCGTCACACTAGGCGGTACCCAGAGAGAACAAAGTTTCCTTACGTGTAAATGGTCATGCAGAATTGAATGAACTGCTGGTGCATGAAGGTGTAAGGTCTCCTCTAGCTGTTGGTATGTCACTCTCCGGTCTTCGTCAAGCATTTTCCTCACAGCAGTAATATTTTCCTCTGTTATTGATGTTCGCGGCCTTCCTTCCCTCTCAGCGTCCTCCAGAATTGGAATTCTCTGTACCACTTGAATATAGTCGTACGATGAGGACAAGCATTCTTTAATGCAAGTGTCATTTTTTCTAAGCACTGGTCTATGCTTAAACCACGCATAAAGTTATACCGTAGAACAATCCATATTTCACTACGAGACCACGATGCCATAGTCCGCATTTTACACGTCAATACAAATGAACAACTAAATCAGCAGATGTGCTGCTGTTGGCACATGCACTCATGTACATGTCTCAACATGCAGACAGTGGTGGTGAACGAGATAACTTTTGAGGATTATTAAGGGTGCTTCCAACCGTGAAGGCAACGTCAGAATCATTTCGCAAACTATTGTAAAGAAGGATAATAAAATTAAAAACTTATCTGCTTATTGTCAAATTTACTAAACTTAATTTTAACACCACATATGACAATGAACGACATGAGTCATAAATTGTAAGCTCCTTCGCAAGACCTTTGGCGAATAAATGTTGCAGTGTTGTTTAGAAAATGAAATTAGTTTGGAGCACAATTCGGTTCACCTATCAAAATAATAAATACGCGGGATTTCAGAGTTGGGTGTCTTAAGACATAATAATTTATAAACAAAAAAAAACACTAAGTATAAGTAAGTTAGATGAAGTCATGGGGGGTGTTTGCAGTGGCTTTGGTGGTTATATATCAATACCATGCTATATAAGTAAACAGTTCGATTGTATTATGGGTGAAACTTAATTTTCCCAACTAATTGAATTAGTTCACTGCACAAACAGAGAGCGCACTTCTATGACAAGTGTGACAGTGACACATATAGTTTAAGGAAACCCAAATGTTAAGAATTATTTTTTGAGGCGGTGCAGTGAGACCAAACTAATAAACATAATATGCCTGTGACTTTACATAAACAAACGTCCACAGTCAAACATAAAGTGCATGTGGATGTTTCATTGGTGTGTTGATAACTGGATTCTTCCTCCTGCTGCTGCGTTAAGCACCACCTTCTTAACATCCCACTTCTCTCGTTGATATTCACGTCTGTCAATGTGATAATTTTACCGACAACCCCTCAATAATAGTTAGCTCACATTAATGACTTCACTACAACCTACTTCGGCCTTCCTCCTACTACGCCTGTTGAGGTGTCCATCGCCTCCTCAACGCCCTCTTTCTCCCGATGACATTCTCGTCTACGTCCAGTCGTCTTTGCGCTATGTCGATGTGTACTGTCCAGCCATATACGAGATCTGTAATTAAGTGATGAGGCTGCCAACGTAGCGTTCGATCTTGCAACAATGGAGGCGCCGGGCTTGGAAGAGTATAAGTTTGAACTCGTTCGAGTCATTTGGTTGTCCGTAGCGATTTTTTTTAGTGAAACCTATTTTCCTATTGTTCTAAAAATGAATGACGTCAACTTCGAGAAACGGTGTGCTTTTAACTTGGGCGCAGTGCAACGAAAACTTTTGCTAAGCTTCAGGTTTTTCAGTGGTTTAAGGCAGAAGGGAGAGAGTCGATTGAAGACGAACCACGAAGCGGAAGGCCTTCAACTTCAATAATCGATGAAAATATCGACATAATCCAGAATCTTGTGCATTCAGAACATCGGTTGACAGTTAGAATGATCAGAGAAGAGTTAAATTTGACTCACACCACTGTTTAACATATCAAGAACAACTGAGTGTTGCACCACGATAATGCTCCTTGTCATACAGCAATGTCAATAAACGAGTTTTTGGCCAGTAAAAACATTCACCTCAGACTCCTTATTTGCCTTACTTGAATCCTTGTGACGCCTTTCTCTTTCAGATGTTGAAAAATCACCTCAACAGAACTCATTTTGGAACAGTCGAAAACATTCAAATGGCTGTAACCAACCAGCTGAAGTATTGGAGTTTCAGCACTGCTATGAGGAGTGGAAGAACCGTCTCCAGCGCTGTGCGGCTTCAGAAAGAAAGTTATTTTGAGGGCGGTAATAAAAAATTATAATTATATTTAATAAAAATTTCTATAAAATCGGCCTCATCACCTAATTTACAGACCTTGTATTAATTCACCTAATCTTACTACCAACCCCTGAAATATACTGAGCTCACCTTAACACCCTCACTACTCCTACTCCTGCCTTCCTCTCCCTCCTCCTGTTGAGGTGCCCATCGCCTCCTTAGCGTCCCCCTTCTCCCGTTGACATTCTCGTCTACGTCCGGCCGCCTTTGCGCCATGTCGATGCGTGCCGTCCGTCGATCTTCCGCAGCTGCAGCCGCAGGTTGTCTGCCTCCACCACCGCCCCCTTCACCCCACGTCGTTTTAGGGTAGTAGGCTATGGGCCTGCCGCCATCGCTGTTGCGGATGCGGTTCAGCACCATCACCTTATCGCCTATCTGGAATTATCGATAGTTTAAAATTTCACACACATTTTTGTTCTAATCAAGGTAACGGTTTGTACCGTGATAAAGGACAGATAACTACACTATTTTAAGTTGCAAGCCCACTGAAAGAAAGCGACTCAAAGAGGCGCTCAAACTACTTCAGGTTAATTTGATTTATAGACCTTCCTTGAGGCTTCCTTGGAAACTATGAATCTCTCCTTAGAAACAGCGCAACAATGACGCTTCCCTGAGCAACGTTCAAGGAAGAATTTATATTTTCATTTCTCAGTAGACAGTAGCAGTTGTCATCGGAAGCTGTCATCGTTGCCAGAAATAGTTTTCTTTGCAGGCTGTATCTATTTAGCATTTGGATGATGAAATGGGACGATTTGTTTTATTTTTGATAAAAAAAATTAATAACTAATGCAAAATAATGTTTGCACCTTCGAATTATAGCGCAAACATAGAGAAGTAAAAAACAGAATATAAGCAACCAGTTGCACCGAACTGCTCTGTTGGTTGCGGATTGTAGATTACGCCTGTCGGATTCAACTACTGGAGTATTTTACAAAAAAAAACATATTTCAGACCCAAATTTTATATTATTATAAATGATAATGCGTGACTATGGAAACAAAAGTTCAGCGATGAGAAGATGTATTTGATCGAGATGCTATACAAATGTAATGGGTTGACTGACAATAAAAACAGATAGCAGCAGCGTGGCACCGTGCAACTGGTTGCCTATATTCAGTTTTTTACTTCTATAGGGTGGGCCATTCGTTGGTTTCTTTTATAAATTGGTATTCAAACTACACTCTTCAATAATATGTAACACTCGATACTTTATTCAAAAGAGTACACCTTCCGATTATTTATGAAAAACAATTTCAGTTAAATGGCTGCTGGGGCTGACCAGGCAAGTAGTACATCCTCTTAACCCAATTTTGAAGCACATTTTCGATAGTTCGGGGGTCTATTCCATCGGTAGCTCGACGGATATTTTCCTTAAGAACATCAATTGTTTCAGTATCGTTAGTGTAACAGCGGTCCTTAACAGGACTCCATAGGAAGTAATCCATGGGCGTCAAATCACAGCTGCGGGCTGGACAGTGAACGTCTCCAAAACGGCTGATGACGCGATGACCGAACTTAGTGTGTAAAAGATCGATTGTTTCACGGCTGGTGTGGCAGGTTGCGCCATCCTGCTGGAACCAGCGATTGTGCAAGTGCATGTCGTCTAAAAGTGGCCACAAAAAACTCCTCAAAATATCTCTATAGCGTTCCGTTTACCGTCACGCTGTTACCATCTTCATCTTGAAAAAAGTAGGGACCAATAATCCCAACAAACAGTTACTCTTTTTTGATGAATTGGTGACATGTGGATTTTCAGAATCCCAAATCCTACCGTTCTGCTTGTTAACGTAACCTCCCAGGTGAAAATGGGCTTCGTCCGAAAAGATGATTTGGCGACCAAAATTGAGGTCCATTTCCAATTGATTTAGAGCCCACACAGAGAAACGATATCGAAGCAGATAGTCATTTTGTTTCAACTCTTGAACAAGTGCACCTTGTAAGGAAATAATCCCAGGTCGTTATGCAATATGATCCGCACAGAAGTGCGGCTGATGCCCACTTGTTGTGCTCTGTGACGAGATGACATTCTTACGTTTTCACGAACACTCTGGAAAACAGCAGCAATGTTTTCGGCTGTACGTACGGGTCGAACACGCGCATACCTTCTGTTATTCATAAGTAGGCCAGTTTAACGAACCTTCTTCCCGAATTTTCGTATACCAGTCACCGATGGAGCTTCATTCCCACCAAATAGTCTTCTCAATTTTCGCAGTTTCTGCATCACAGCACTCACTTTGAAAATAGTTTTTCAATATTTCCCAGCTTTGTTCAAGATTAAAACGATCCATTGCTTACAGTGGAAGTTTGAAACAATATATATGTCAATATGTTGAGCATGGAAGTGTTACCAACTGTCAAAATAATACCAACTTAATAAAACCAACTGATGGCCCACCCTATATAAGCGCTGTAATCCGAGGAAGCAAACATATCATTACTTTCCATTGTTTATCAATATTTAGCACAAATAAACCAAATTGTCACAATTTTATTATCAAAATGCTGAATTGATACAGCCAGTAATGAAAAATCTGTCTGACATCGCTGGCAGCTAGTGAAATGAGAATTTAAATCCTCCTTTGAACGTTCCTCAAGGAAGATCCATTGTTTCCAAGAAGATCTATAAATCTAACTCGTAATAATTCGAATGAAAAAGTTCTTGACTCCAGGTATTAAAAATCCTGGGATGATTCCTAGTATATATTTGTACTACGCCCACATGTGGATAGCGGAATTGGATTAATTATACCATATTCCCTGTAAAGTAGACGGAGCGGCGATACCAAATGCGAATGTCTGCGCTATGTTTCCGGTATTACGAACAAAAATGAAATCGCAATGAATTGTAACCGAAATCTGCAACGGAAGCAATGTCGAATGCGAATGCCAGCGCTGTGTTTCCGGTATTTCGTACAGAAATAAAACGCAATCGGAAGATTTGTAACCGAAATCTACCAAAACGGAAGCGTTATCGATATCGAATGCCTGTGTTGTGCTGTCGGTAGACGTCACGTGCTGTAGACAAATTAAATCGGAGTCGAATTACTTTGTAACCGAATTCTATTTTCTTTTGAAAGCTCTTCATGCATTTACGACATAATCAAGCGTGTATTATCATAACTGTGAAAAGACAGAAACCGCGATCTGATCGCACAAAATTGTCGCTTTCATTGACTCCATATTCACTTGTAGTTGCTGCGTGTGTTGCCTAACCGTAAATATACCCGAGCTATGTGATGTGGCTCTCAGTAAATAGTTGCTCACATAAAATATAGTAAAAAAATGCAGAAAACCAAATGAGACACAACCTTTACTGAAAAATCTTTCCTTACCTTGCATCCAGGATTACTCCATATATTTCTTGGTTCATGATTTTTTCCTTCTATCTCAACTTTTTTCCACTTCCATACATCGCCATTCATATTGAGTAACCATGCATCACAGTAATGTAGAGTAGGACCTCCCGAACCACCTAATATCAACAAGTTCTTTTCATCAACCACCACTTGAGTTTGACCAAATCTAACACTAGGTTTCGGACCATCTGGAACAGAACAAAGATTGAAGTGAGAGAAAATCAAAATGAAGAAAAGTGCGACGCATTTAGGGTCCGTATAACATGGTTCCTAAAGTATGTTTCCATTTAAACAAGTTCCAGGCACATGTGCCGCAACATGTTACATTCATTGCAAAGACGCCAGGTGACTCTCAGGAGTTTTGCTCAGTTAAAATAATTTTTCTTAAAGATGATTATCATTTTATACAAAAAATACTGATTCAGTGCAATAATTTCCTTAATTGGAATGTGTGCATATTACTAAAGACCATATGTCATACCCCCTTCCGGGTATCTCTTAGAGCACTACAAAATTTTATTCCTGGCTAAAATGGGCTAAAGAACCTCTTACATGGTCAAATCATACAGATATTATTTCGTGTAAACTAATGACACATTGCTATAAATTATGACAGTTGAAATTATGTCAGCACAGGTGTCTTGTTAATGTATTGGTTTATCTATGTACATTATTCTGCTTCTACATCATCTGTTAGGGAAACTGAAAAAGAGAATCTTAAGAACGATATTTTTAAAAAATAAGAGATTTTCATGTTGCACATTATTCAAGGACAATGGTATTATGTCAGGTTTTCCCTTTAAATTTACAATCGTTGTTTATGTTAAGATAAATATTAACATATTCAAACAGACAGACATCATGTACATACAATTTGTGCTAAAACCTGAATTTGCCCTCACGTCAAACTTTTGAAATTGTACAAAGCGCTGCCCATGTATGTAAATCGACGAACATATTTATAGAAAACCCTTTTTACTCTGTAGAGGGATATTTTACCTATATCTTTTATTTGTTTTCATTTGTTAGGTATGCGTTATTCCAAATTGTTTTATACTTTGTTGATGGATATTTTCCAGTACAGCTTTGTAGTCAAATGAAAATAAAGTTTAAAAAAAGAACGTATGGGTTACTTGACTTTCACCGTGAGACAAGGGAGAAAATCAGCTTGGCAACCATTGGTATATAGAGTATACTCCCGCATAATGTTTTCAAGTTTTTCAAAAGATCATACACACGTATGCTTCTCGTTTCTGTCCATGACTAGATCTAACACATATACCGCACAAATTAGTTGCTAATGAGCACAAAACAGCGATGTCTGCGGTTGGTCATGCTTACAGAAGACAGAAAGCAAACATGTACATTTCAGCACCTCATGTCAAAATCCATCGAGCCGTTTAAGATGTAGCCTGTGAAATAGGAATTTCAAGGTTGATTTTTTACTAAAATCTGACATGTATTTATAAAATTTTAATACAGGCAGTCTTTCGCGCACAGGCAGAAAGACTCCAACGACACACATGTCACAATCCATCAAGACGTTTAGCTTGTAGCACGTGAAAAATGTTTTTTTTATACATATCCTCGCGCGAAAAACATATCTCCCCTTCTGAGGTAGTCCGGTAAACTACCTAGAGTAAAATATTGCGAATGTCTTTTAATCCAGCATATTTTCAAAAATAAATTGACTTACCTTCAACTGGCTGCTTATGCCACGTCCAATCCCGCATATGAAGCTTCCACACGTCGTTGGTGCGTTCCGTATGCACCGCCTGCGCCGTCTTCTGCAGCCCGCCCATCACGATCATCCAATCACCGATCACGGATGCGGAGTGACCGGCTGTAGGAGGCGGGGTATGTGCAGTCACCACGCACCGCCATCGGTTCTCAGGGATGTCGTACACGTGCAACTCGTCGAACAGGTGCCAGCTTTGGTATAAGGGGTAGGACGGAGGGTACGCCCAACCGCCGAAAAGTACTGCCGACAAAAAAAACATGGTTACATATAACACGAAAAATTAAACCATCAGTTCCTATAAAAAATGCTCACTTTCGTTAAGTAGCTTTTGAACGACTCTGCATAATCCAACAAAATCTTGAGAGCAGAGAATTGTCCATAGACAACAACTACGGCATTCAGATAGCGCCAACCCTTCATGGTCTACCATTGACTCAGTCAAGAGGTGGTGCTGGATAGTAAGTTGTCATCGAAACAGCATATCAACTACATCCAGACGAAGTCGTTAGCGAACATGTGGCAGTTGCGTCAAGTGGTCGGCAGGACGTGTGGTCTAAGACCAACGATCCTGCTTGGCTTTACACGACTGTCAAAAGAACTAAAATACGGTCTGGATGCGTGGTATGGATGCCTAGTATCGAGAACAGCTCGGTTATACGAAGCTCGCCAAGTTCCAACGACTGGCAGCGCTGGGATTACTGGTATGATGAGAACAACCCCTTCAGCCGCCCCTTGTTGTTTTGGGGCTGCCTCCATTGGAGGCCTGAATAAAGCGGGGAGCTATGCCGGCATACCCAACAATGCGCGATGAGGCACGTGAATATGACGGAGAAGAATCTCCCCATATATAAAATCAGACTCGAGAGAACCTAGAACACCATAAGGACATATTTAGAATTCTCACTCATCATCCCTGCAAGGGAAGAATAAGTAGATGGAAAGATTGAATTTCCACCTCAGAGTCTGGTTAGACCAACGGATCTTTTTCCAATGAAACCCAGTCAGGCGGGAATATATCTGGAAGGCCCAGACCTACACAATGGTCTTTCAGGCAGAGATACATATATGGCATCTAAATGGTGGCATATTCAGGCGAGTTGCAACACTGCAGTGAGCAGAGCATATTTATAGGTTCCGTTAGCCAGGCAGCCCTGAAGGCGGTAGCATCTCCGAGGACCAGATAGCCATTAGTCCAGGAATGCACCACTGCTCTTCAGATCTTAGCCAGACTTAAAGAAATGACCCTGCTTTGGGTCCCCGCACACAGTACCGGTGCTGATAGAAGCCCTTGTATCTATCCCGAGTCTAGGCTAAGTATAAGCTGGCGACAGGTCAACGTCGCATTGAACGTATCAGCGTATACCGACCTGGCGAGAGATGAGTTCCTATAGGCCATAACATTCGTAGCGGGCAGCGAAAAAAATCGTATGCGCTGGCTACTGGACAGAAGTAGAGTATAACTCAGTCTTTTGGTGGGGGGTCACTTTAGATTAAACTGGCACCTATCCCTACTAGATCAAAGGGTAAAAGGAGACCCTATATGCGCCTATATGAAACAGTGGTCCACTGCATAGCCTTTTCGAGGTATTCAGAGCTGTCTAGTTTAATATTAAAGTCGGACAGTCAGCAAAGGTGTCGGGCATACTGCCTTTCATTAGGAGATCAGGAAGGTCCGACAACAAAAGGATAAGCATGTGGAGTAGAGTGTTGGTGCACACGGAGTCGGCAAAAAAGTCGTATTTTTTAAAAGCAATCAATCTGAAAAAATTCTCATTTTGTCAGAATTATATGTCCTTTGTCAATATGGGGAATTTTGAAATACTACTAGATAATCAGCTGTCATTCTACCATAATGGATTCTTGTAAAAAATACATTAGTTACTATGTTATCAAAACTTTATATGCCACAAAAAGAAAATATCCTTGTATTTGGATATCATGCTAACACATAACATACATATAACATAGCAGTTATAATAAACTGACAGGACTAAAGAAAAAAAACTATATGATAGTATGATATGTACATTAATTTTGGATCGTAGACTAGGAATGAAGAAAATATATATGTTAGTTCTCAATAATATATATATATGATATAATTTTGGACCTAAGTATATAAAAGATTTCAACATTATTTCTTGTTTTGGTATTACAATAATTATTTGTTTATTTTTATTTCTAGTATCATATTCATAATTTTTATAACTGATCGAATGTTTGTTTTTATGGAATTCTAGTATAACATTATAAATAAATTTTTTATATCTAAAAGTTTTGGTTCTTTAAACAGCGAGGGATATAGTAAAGGTTTGTTATGAATTGTTTTTATTAATAATTTTTGTATTATTTGTATTTGTAAAGAATTTAGATGGTTATTATTTGTGGATCCTCAGATAATAATTCCATAGGTTATCTGGCATTCAACTAATGTTTGATATAAATTTTTAATTGAGTTTCATTGAAAATTTGTCTGTAATATCTGAATTTATATAATAGACATCTAAGTTTCTTTTTAATGAATTGGATATGTTCATCCCAATGAAGATGGCAGTCTAAAATAATTTTGAGATATTTATGATTTAGTTTATGTGATATATAATAATTTTGGAAATTTGTTTTCTTTACATTAGCTGTAATTTATTTATGTAAGAGGTGAAAGGAATAAAGTAGGTTTTTTATAATTAATACTTAATAATTGATTATCAAATCAGTCTGTTATCTGTACTGTCTTTTTCAATTTTTTTTTGATGTCGCAAGATCTGGCTTTATGATTGATAGTGGCGTCATCCGCAAATCCTATTCTTTCACTTTTTGTTGATAGATTATATAGTATTGTTCCTTGTGGAACTCCATACAGTACAGTTATTTCTTCATTAGTTATATTTTCAATTTTAACCTTATGTTTTCATTTAAAATTTGTCTGTAATATCTGAATTTATATAATAGACATCTAAGTTTCTTTTTAATGAATTGGTTATGTTCATCCCAGTGAAGATGGCAGTCTAAAACAATTTTGAGATATTTACAATTTAGTTTATGATATATATTAATTTTGGAAATCTGTTTTCCTTACATTAACTGTTATTTATTTATGTAAGCGGTGAAGGGAATAAAGTAGTTTTTTTATAATTAATACTTAATAATTGATTATCGAATCAGTCTGTTATCTGTACTGAATTTTTCAATTTTTTCTTTTGATGATGTCCAAGTTCTGGTTTTATGAATGATAGTGGTGCCATCCGCAAATCCTATTTTTTCACTTATTATTGATAGATTACATATCCTTGTGGAACTCCATACAGTACAGTCATTTCTTCATTAGTTATATTTTCAATTTTAGTCTTATGTTTTCTGTTATGCAAATAATTTTGAAATAATTTAATTGGCATACCTTAAATTCCAATATATTGGTATATTAGAAAAATATTCATCTTTTATCAAGTTTATTGTGGTATCTTTCTTTTTTGCTTCCTTTTGTTCAAGGCATTCCATAGTGATGTAGAATTGTTTCCATTTTCACTTATGTTTTTTTGGATATAATCTTTTTTGGCTTTTTTATATTTTCAGTTAGTTTATTTCTAGTTTTTTATACTTATTTATGTTTTCTATTGTAGGTTATTAAGCATTGTTTTATAGTGTTTGTCTTTCTGTTCAATTTCTTTCAGAAAGTCATTGTTGTTCTATTTTTTTCTTTTAATACTGCACCTCTTTAATTTAATTGTATTGGTGCTTATATTAGCATAACACTGATTTTTTTATATGAAGACCTTGGTAGCTATATCTATGTTTTCAGCATTTAATATATCGAACCATTTTTCGTTAGTCATGTTGTTTATTAGTTTTGTTGTATTTTTGCATGTAATTTCTGATATAGTAGAGAAATGATCAGTTTTGTTACTTTCTAAATTAATTGGTTTATAACTGAATTTTTCTTTCAAGTCTCTGATAAAGATATGATCAATACAATATTATAGTTATGCTAAAATGGAGAGCAGCCTGGAAAGCTAGAAATAGATAGTACTAGATATGTTGGCATCAGCTTAAGGCAAGGTTCTCAGGGTATTTGAGAAGAGACAATTGTCAGTTTAATACTTAACTTTTTCCTAACTTCAAATACCTCACAAACCTCACTTTAATATATCAAATCTCTTTCTTTCCTATCTCCTTTTGATAGTTTGACCTTCAACCATACTAGTGCTGCCAAATGGGAGCAGATTTGGACATTCTTGCCATTGCTCCATGGCTAAAACCACCCAACTGATCTTCAGCAAAATCACTCATCCTTCACTATCACTCATTATTATTATACCTACCTAGGGAGTCCTTATATCTAACAAGTGAACTGCAGGCCTTAGGTGAAGGATAGGTTCCTTTAGCCAGTGGGCGTACCCACTGTCTTGTGGACAAATCTAAGCGCCACAGATCATTGAATGTAGTCATATGACAGGTGCATCCTCCAAATACGAACATTGAATTCTCATGGACTACAGCTGTATGTGAATATCTCTTTGTTATCGAAGATTGATTGGCACTGCTTTGCTCCCATTTGATGTCAAAGTCATTTATGGCTTTGTATAGATTCCTTTGTTTGGTGCGTACCACGTCTGAAAACATGTAATTTATTGAGTAGGAGTTTTCATTCAAAGATATTTTTATAAATGCAAGGTAAATGCTCTATCAGAATGACAAAGACGCGACTATGTTTAGAATGATGCGCAGGAAATAGGTAATGTACTTACTGAGAACGCACCGCCTCCACCTCTTGGATACGAGCATACAATGATGTAAATCTTTATAAGGCGGTATAAGAGAAAGGATATACTCGAGGACCTCATCTGGAAGGGCATCTATGAAAGCTTCTTCACTCATCTTTCAATCACAACGCTTTACTATATTTCTCTTAGAGCAGTTGAACAAAGTCTTTTACGTCTGCTCCCCGCGACACGACATTAGAAACTGATTAAAAAGCTGTTGAACTGCTATACTGTTAACTTATTATTTACGTTATTTATGTAGTTGCTGCGCTTGAAAATGACAAAAGTCAGCTCATATGATTCAAATGTTTGTCAAATGAATGTCAAAAATCACAGAACAATAACTTAGGGATGGAAACACCAGCAATGCCAACCCTTTACGTGAATGCAAAAATAGTTGTTTCGGACAGCGACACAAAAAAAGGATGTTCAGACGTTTAGAGCCGTTTTACACACAAGAGAATTACTCCGAAAATTATGGTCATAATTATGCCGAAAATTTTTGCAGTCGTATTACACGTAAAAGAATTCTTGTGAAAATTTTCATGGTAAAAATATAAAACCCGTTCTATATTATATGCGCGAGAATCGGCGCAGAGGGTTATTTCCGTGCATGTCAATATCAAATGTCAACGACAACAACAACAACATAACCTCACTTAACCTTTGTGGGAGTGGTCCTGTTCGAGTCGTACGAAGGAGCGTTTATTGTTATTGTTTATTCATAATGTCGTGGAATCGGGAAGAATTTACAATGTTGTTGGAGGAGTACCAAAAATGGCCAAACCTGTACAAGGTGAAGTCACCCAATTACAAAAACAGAAATTTGCGGCATCAGGGGCTGGATGCGATAGTCCAAGCATTGAGAAGTTTTATAATATTAACCAAGATCTCGATTTCAAAAATAAATTTAAATTATCGACGTCTGTTGTCTTTCCGATTATATTGGACGTCATACCCGTTAAGGTTATGTCCATTTGAAAATATAACTCTAATGCGCAGGCGTATCATATGAATTACTCCGAAATTTTGTTTGCTTGTGTCATACAGGTTGTGGAGAAAATCTTCAATATTTTTTCCATGCAAATTTTCAGCATAATTATGACCATAATTTTCGGAGTAATTCTCTTGTGTGTAAAACGGCTCTATACACGCTCTCTTCAAATCAGAAATCAGACGTTATCAAACCACAGAGTCCTCAGAAAATAGTGCTGGTTATGCCTCTTTCAAAGAAGAATATATTTTTTAGATTGGTGGGCGTTTACGTATATACATTAATTGTCTACGTCTCGATGTATACAATGCGTATAAAATGAATACAATGTATACATTGAGTATACAATGTATACAATGATGAAGACAATAATCAAATCCAAGCGAATAACCAAAATTTCTGTGTTATGTGCCGCGGTTATGATATGGTCCAAGATGGGTTGATGACGTCAGTTACACGAATCGCTTGAACGCGTTGGTTTTAACCGCGGTTTTGTTGCAAGTTGTTTATTTTAGAAAAGCGCGTATATAATCTCTGATTATTTTTATTATCATTTAATAATCGGTGCTTTTTCGTCTACAACTGTATATGGAAAGTTTAAATAAGAAACCTTTCATAATATTCATGAGAGAAATGTTTTTTTCAGATTTTTTTTTAATGATGGAACCATGGCTTTGTAGCTATGATAACTTTCAATTCTATAAATTTATCCGCATGTCAAAGAAAACATTTATTGATTCAGTAGAAATGATGAAAAAAGAAATTAGCAAAACCGTATACAGGTGGATATCATCTAGTGAGTTTATATGGCCATATTTTAATATTCTTGTGGTATATGGCTACACAGGATACTTTGTTAAGCATAGGAACTACATTTAAAGTGTCCCCAACAACCGTAATGAGTATAACTAATAAGGTGCTCCACTTTATGGTAAAACTGAAGTCAGCCTGTATCATTTTTCTCAAAAATGAAGCTGAAGTACAATAATAATATCCAATACCCGGCAAAATTCTAACTTGTCACATTTCAAATGATAACCAGAAATATAAAACTACTCTTGAGTTGGGTAAATACCACAATTTCGCGGTGATAACTATGACATATAACAGCTGATTCGTGACGTCACGGATCTTATAACCAAACTGATAACTACACTCGCTTGAACGGATTGGTAAATACCAACCCAAAATGGTAAATACCATTTCCATTTGGTTATCCGCTTGAATTTGATTAATGTATAGAATAGCATAAGTGAGGTTAGGTTTATTCGCAAACCTCAGAAAGTTTGTAAACAGTGAACCGACAACTTAAAAAAAATATAGTTGGATGCTCCAAGAACAAAGAAATCGATGAACTAGGGTTAATTTGTTGTTCTTATTTTATTTAAAACTGAATCTTTCTATACGTAGATAAATAAATATTATATATACTTTCATTATTTATAAACTGCTTCCACAATCAAACCAATAATGCAATGTTGCAGAATTTGTATCTATCCTGAACTTTCAGTTCCACCTGAAATCGGAGAACCATTAGGATCGATCTGGAATTGATCCTAAACAAATTCGACAGAAATGTGTATTTGAGCGTAGAAAACAAGGCGTTGCAGCAAGTTACAGTTGTGTTCTGTGGCCTTCATGACTGTCACATAATGTGATGACTGTTGTGCCAGGCAACGTGGTGTGTGTAGCATTGTGCGGTTGCCGGCAATTTAAATCCAAGGCAATATTAGGGATAATATTGCCCAAAAGTGGCAACTTAGGGCAACTTTATGTTTAAAGCTGAAAATCAATTAAATGCTGTACTGTTGTATATAATTAATCGTATAAGAAAAAAAACGAATAAAGTAATACATAGTTTATTATAATATATAAGACACAAATCAACAAAAATATAATATTAAAATAAAAACGAGTTCCTCTCATAATTACAAAACTTATCAAAAACCTTTAAATTATGAGATTATGATATATCGTGTAATTCGTGCTCGTGCATGGTTATTTTGAACCCGGGAACTAAGTCTCAGATCCTGCTTCCGATTCCGACCCTGATGTATAGGAGCATGATGAAGGCGATGTAGTAGAAGTGTTGTCATTATCAACAGTTTCCAAGATACTAGTGTATTCTAAGGTTCTTGTCGATGACTGAGACTCTGTATTTTTTGCATGATGTGGTTGAGACGTTGACTCAGTATTATTACCAGTTGTGATTTTGGTTGACTTATTGATACCTGGTGGCTTCCTTCTGTGCATAACTTTCCAGTTATGGGCAATGTAGCACAGTTTTACTGCTCTGTTGGTATCCAGTTTTTGTCGCTTCTTATCATGTACAAATGACAGATGTTAGGGCACATTTAAAATTCAACCTTTCCTAAGCCAGTATTTTGATAAAAGGTTTTCCACCATAACAAAGCACTTATGCTTTCATTTTCAGCAGTCTTCCAAATAAACTCCTTTCTCCAAATTCCCTCTCTCGATCTGTACATAGCAAGTTCTACCATAAGATTTTCATCATCAATGTATGTTCCGTCCGATTTGACATATTCTTTCACAACTATTAATTTGCTATTGTGCTGTCATTATTAATCCCTGGCTTCTGGGATGCCAAATGAATAGGCTTTAAGACATGTAACTTTCTGTCTTCAAACTTCTGCCCAATTAACTCTGCTGCTTTTGTGGAATACTTCAAGGCCTGAGGCAATAAGTCGTCCAGCTTTTTTTCTATTTCAAAAAATGCCGACCACACTACGTGAATACTGTTGCAGTCACCCTCCAAATATGTGATCCAGTGCACAACTGGTTGCAAAAGGCTACGAAGGTTCTCCAAATGTGACTAAAACTGGTCATCAAGTAAACTCTGTTCATGCTTTTTGGTCAACGTTTTTGTGGAGTCTTGGTTTATTGCTGTCGTCCGCGCACCGGCGCGGCGGCGACGCAACAGCCCCGACATATTGTATCGATCCGGTGGGAGAGAGCTGATTGCGCCAATCGGACGCAGCTAATAAAGTGTGGGCAAGATTGCTAAAAATGTTGCTGTAATTGTGGAAATATTCCCAAATTTCCGGCAATATTGCCGCTTTATAAATTCCCAAATTTTGACAACTTAAACAGACCTTGGCAACTTTCTGGGACTATTTCCAACATGGGAATATTGCCATTTGGCAATATTGCCGTCGGCACATCGCTAGGTGTGTGGCGCACTCTTTCTACACAAGTGGGGCCCGCTTCTCTCCCTCTCTCTCTTCCTCGTACACATGTAAATCTAAAATGGAAAGGGACTTTCGCCAGCACTGTATGTAAGTAGTTGAACTATGATTTGCTATTGTATACATTATATACATTTTATACATCGTATACGTGAATATCGCGACGTATATATTTACCATTGTATACGCGTATACATGGTGTATACAATGCGCCCATCATTGATTAAGAATCGGGCTTTACTTTTGGACCATTAATACATGTTGTAAAAAAGCAGTATTGCTCGTGGTCCCGAAAATGCCAACCGTAGTCCGAGAATGCGAAGACTCTCCCAGGACCGGTATTCTCGTTCTTTGGCGTGAAAGCGATACGTTTTCAAAACGCTTAGCGCCTCATGTCGTACGGCAAAGCGCTAAGCCTTCGGTTTTGGTATTCACGTTGCTGTGCGAACGCTTCGGGTTCAAAACGCTTGGCACATATTGGCAACGGTGGTTGTTCCAGTGTTACCAACATATTTGTCTCGAATGTCACCAATGTTATATAACCACAGTACTAAAAAAGTTTCTATTTCTGGCATTATGATGGTTGTCACTTGTCAGATGCGTTTTGTCAGTGTCACTCGAGTTTCGAAATGTCTCGTAAACAAATTTCCATTTTACAAAAAACTATGCTAATTGATTTCCTGGAAGACCACCCGGAATTGGTGTCTCAAAAACAAACAAACCAATACACCAGCGCAGACGCCCGCAAGTTATGGGTGGAGTTGAGCTAAAAGTTAAATGCAATTCCTGGGGCCACTAAGCAATGGACTGAATGGAGAAAGGTACATGTAACATATTTGCAACTTTGTATTGAATTAATATGCTATTGACGGACATAGATCCATAGTTAGGAATGGTACTTCTGTTGTAATAACGAATTCACTAGAATACTAGGATCTATCGTTAAAACACGGCAATAGAGACTCGAGTCAGTTTGATTGTTACTCAGAATATTTGTTGTATATGAAGAGGGTCGGTTTTTAATACTCCAGTTTTCCTTTTCTAGACCTGGACAGATATGAAAACCAGAGCAAAAAGGAAGAAGTCAGAAAATAAAAAGGAAGCTAGCCAGACCGGAGGTGGACCAAGCTCGGCAGAGAGCTTGAATGAAATCGATGACAAAGTCTTGGAAATAATGGGTATGGTCATAATTCTTATATGGGTGACTAATATTTTAGTCATTCGTTAAATGTTTTTATTAGATGAGTTTTTTTCTTAATATTGATACTCAAAGTATGGATCTACTGTGATTTAAGTGTTGATGAGATTTATTATTCATTTAAACAATGTAAATGATCTACATAGTTGTGCCTATCTTGCTCCATTGTAGTATCACCATTACTTTCAGTAAATGTAAAAGCTCTTTTGTATTCTAGGGGGAGAAATCTTAATTGAAGGGCTCCAAGTGCCAGAATTAGGATTATTATACACCTTACCGAAAGAAGCTGAGGTTGGCGAAGTGCCTGTATGCAAAAGTTATCCTGTACATGATAATGATGACAAGGACAAGGAAAACCTGTGTCCAAATAATATTAAAGAAAAGAACCTTAAACGCGTGAGACCACCACATGGCACTAAAAGGTGTAGGCAGACAAATTCAATACCATCATCAGTCCAGGCCGCAAACGATTTAGTTGCAGCACAACTGCAACTAAATCAAATAAAGGAAAATTATTATAAAAAAAAAATTGAAGTTTTAGAAAGAATTGCTTCTAGTTCAGAAACAATTGCTAAAAAATATGCATCATAGCTTCTTTTGTTTGTTTTTGTCTGTATTTTTATTTTATATATTTTTTATGATCAGAGTATAAGGTTTTGTTGTGATGAGATGTGTGGTATAGTTAAAAATAAAGTTATCTTTTTTCTAGACTACTCTTTTATTGTGATAAATATACTATAGTGTATCCATTCAGTTATTTCAAAAATAAGTTCTCGCTAGGAAATTTCGTATGTGTCGACCCCTCTCCAAAAAATTATTATGTGGCAAGTTGCCCCTCTCTTCTGCCAAGGCATCACTGAAGTTGTTACCATCACCTACATCTTCCTGATCATTATATAATGGAATATTATTTTCTAAGCATAAGTTGTGCAAGACGGCACAACTGTTTACGATTTTTGCACAAGTTTCTGGTGCATAATGTAAAACTCTATCTTTCAGTAGACACCTAAATCTGTTTTTTAATAACCCAAAGCATTGTTCTATGGAAACCCGGATATGCTTAATTTTTTTATTGAATCTTGATTCTGGAGTGTCTTGAGGTGGTTCTGGTAGGTAAGGGGTTATCAACCAGGGGCGTAGAGGGTATCCAGAGTCACCTTAAAAGAAAATACTATCTTTTAGTAGATCCAAGGGTACAACATATAGACATATTTCACCTAGTAAGTAGAAGCTGCCCATATATTCTTCAGACAATGTTCTCAAAAATTCCCCAACTCGTGACTGACTCCATATAAAACTATCATGGGTGCTGCCAGGAAAGCGACTGTTTACGTTCATTATTTTCAAATTTTCATCACATATCTGCAATAAACAAGTGTCAAGTATGCAGGTTGACTTTGGTGCAAAATTTCAGTTGTAATCTATGCAGAGTCAGAGAAAATTTGATTAGGGGTTGACGCTTTGTGCATTGAAAGTTTCTTTATATGAGAAATTAAAATTATTCCATGCATTTATGGATGTAAGGGTAGCTTACCATCTGTACATTGAGGGAATGGTAATGTTTCCTATTGATATATATATGTTCATTTTCGATTGGGCACACAATACCTATGTGAGTGCAATCAATACAGCCTATAATTCCAGGTACCTGGTACTTTGCGAAAAATCTAGACAAAATAAAATCAATATAGGTACAGCTTGACCATCAAATTTTGATCATCTTATTGAATAGCTTTGAAGAAACATAGTGTAGGACAACATCATGATAGTTCCTCATATATATTTATAATTCTAAATTGAAATATACCTTTCTCTGGTGTTGGTTAACTCTTGAATTGTGTTTGGAAAATGGACATATCTATTCAATATTTCTGGAGTGTTGAATGCTCCCAACACCTCATGTAAAGTTCTAGAAATCGATGGCTGGCTGAGAGTTACTGTATGATTTCTGCCTACATCCAGCTGGTAGCTTCCACTTGCAAAGAAACGCAAGGCAGACAGTATCTAAAACATTAATGTACACTAGGTTGTTATAATGCAAATATCACTATTTTATCAATCGTATATATAAGATTTTTTGTCAATCTTGGAAGTACAAGTACTTCATTATTATTGTTACTTACCTTCGTGCGATTACTTATCGCGTGCGATCTAGGATGTACTGGTAAAAATGGCTGTAACATTTCTTCCAAATTTTGCACGTCCTGTTTTCGCAGACGATATAATTTCACAAAATTAAAGTCAGAGAATTCGAACGGATCATCGGCATTGAATCTTTGCCTCTCCACATGCTCAATAATCCGGATTAAATTAACCCCAGCAAACTGATATGCCATTACTAGGTATACTTTGGATATAATTATCTAAATATGAGGGCCACAGTAGCCTCAATTACAACAAAAATCACGATCTAAATAAGAATTCTGACAGCAGTGTCAGTACTCATAACGAAAGCGATAAGCAAAACACCGACCACTTGGTAGTCGTTTTGAAAGCGACAAGCGCTTTTCAAAAAGCTGAGCGTTCGGGCAACGGGAATACCATATTTTGGCAGGTGCTTCGAAAGCAAGTGCAAATGACGTCATATTCGCTGAGCGACTGGAAAACGCTTAGCGTTTTGGGGAACGAGAATACCGGTCCAGAACTGTCGATGAGCGAGGGTGACGTGTGTCTGGTACATCCAAAATTACAGATAACCTCATGCTTGTTTGTGACTTTGGAGGAGGAAGCTGGACGTCTTTTGGAAGCAGAAATATCTACCCCAGCCGGTTCTGGGCTTTGTCGGGTTCTTAAAATTATTATATCGACGTGGTACAGGACCGTCCAAGCTGTTGTCGCAGCACAATGTAAAGTAGCGAAGCAAAGAAAAAACAATTGAACTGTCTCCTCTGGATGACAGATAAAAATAAAATACTACAGGGAAAACCAAATTTATCGGACAGCTTGTCATTGTAATTAATGTATACTTTGAAAAAGACCACAGTGGTGGGCGAAAAATACGTAAAAAGTAATTCAAATATGTGCAGTGGAGAAGGCCATTATTGGCGGAACACTTTTTTATCATGAGGCGCAATGCACTTAGGGATATATGCAGAAACTATTCTAGTTGGTAATCTCAGGTGTCTTTGGAAATGTTGTTCTTGAAATCTCATCTTGTTGTTCTATGTCATCTGGCATCGGGCATTGGAAAATTCCGGGCTGCCAGTGTTATTAGTCACATTAGTTTTGTTATTTTTTTTGCCTACAAGCTAGAAGATATGTCATCTCAAAATTCTGAAGGTAATAACGGAATTATTGATTAACCTTTCGTAAATAATGCGTATTTTCAGAAAAACCTGCCGAGGAACCAGCTACTACAGATAAAGATAATACAGAAACACCGTCGACTTCATCTAGTACAGTAGGAACAGAGAGTCCTAAACTGGGCCAAAGTTTGACTATGGAGCAGTTGCGTAGATATTTGGCTGAAAAATTAGGTTTTCACGATGACAGCTCGGATGAGAGGGAGAAGGTTAAGGTACAATGCAAAATGGACTTAGGTTATGTTGACGTTTATTTATGAACAAGATGTATTATCGTATACGGAATTCCATAAAGAAATCATTACTCGATCTTTTGCAGATTCTAGATAATGTGAACTTGGATGGTATTGTGGAATACATTAGAAAGAATAATTGTAAAAACATAATTACGATGGCTGGAGCTGGAATCTCAACTTGTAAGTGTTACCACTGATTAATAACACAAACAGAGCTATCTTAACTAATACGAGAAGTAGTTGTAAATATTTCCACATTTATGCATACTTGGTAGCAGGTAATATCGCACATAACAGATTAATGATGATTGCATTCCCTATCACTCAGTGGCTTAAATGTGGCATCATGCACTGGTCTGGGTAGCTCTCTGCTGAGAAGTTAGTGCATCAAGCTGCTAATCAATCGAATCGAGGGTCGCGGACTCCAAATCCTCGCCAGAGAAGGTAATTCACAGCCATGAATGAGTCGTCCATATATTGTGCACCAGACTTGTGCAAGATTTTTCATTTTTTAAAGTTTTTTTATACTGAAGCAGCCACGCAAGCAGAGCCCTAAATGCCGGGACATGGCGGCTGCTATGAAACAACTCTGTTCCCTTGAGGTATAGAAGTACTGTTTAATGTATTCCAGATCCTTGCATAATGAACATGCTTTAGTGGCCTAAAATTGCATGACAGTCAATTGGTACGTTGTTACAACAGTTCTAGGTGGGTTTTCGCGTTCTCGCAGGATTTTTAGCTATGATTATATTATCGGAGGGCTATTGCTTGGTCTCAAATTTTATTGCTGCTCTTAACCCTTCCACTCATGCTTTAGTTATAGCCCACAAACTTTTCTGAGAATGCTGTCATGGTCTTGTTAGAACTTGAAGCCCTCAAGCAAATGCCACAGGGTGCATATTCATGGAGCTGTCGCATGCCAAATATTTGATCAGTAGTTGATTATTCCTTGTGAAAGGGTTAAGGGTTCAACCAAAATATTAGTGAATATTTTGTATGAGGCTGATAACAAAGAGATACTTTTACTGATACTGATGTTTAAACCAATGTGTCTTTAGCCTAACCATGTGCAACAAATGGCATCATCAATAAAATGCTTGGAACATACTGGACCAATCTATAATAGATGATTTTTAGCGGCTGGGATACCTGATTTTCGCTCTCCAGGAACGGGGCTATATGACAACCTACAAAAATACAACTTACCTCATCCCCAAGCCATATTTGAATTGGATTTCTTCCATGAAAATCCAAAACCATTTTTTGTCCTGGCCAAAGAATTGTACCCAGGAAGTTTCAAACCAACTGTATGCCACTACTTCATCAAAATGCTTGCAGAGAAAGACCTGCTGCTCAGACATTATACCCAAAACATAGATACTTTGGAGAGAGTAGCTGGTATCCCCGATGATAAAATTGTTGAAGCTCATGGGACATTTTATACTGGCCACTGCTTGGGTTGTCGCTACAAATATTCACTTGACTGGATGAAAGGTGAGACTAGTTTTGTTTTTGGCATTTTACATACCTAATGGTCGCTAATTTAATATTTCAGAAAGAATATTTAAAGACGAAATTCCAGTGTGCGAAAAATGTCCTGGCGTTGTTAAACCTGACATAGTATTCTTCGGGGAAAATTTACCAGATAGGTTCCATATTCTTATTGGAAAAGACTTTCCAAAATGTGACTTATTGATAGTTTTGGGGTCGTCGTTGATTGTACAACCGTTTGCCTCACTTATTGATAGGTTGGTATCATCAGTTTTTCAACTATTTTGTTCTGCCATATAGAAAGGGACCATAGTTGAATACATATCTTTTACAGAGTTGAGCCTAAAGTTCCCCGGTTATTGATAAATCACGAGAAAGCTGGCCACCAGTCAGGAATAATGTCATTGCTTGGCATGTCTTCCGGAATGGACTTTGACTCAAAGGACAACACACGTGATGTCTTCTGGTGTGGCGACTGTGATGAAGGATGCCAATTGCTGGCAGATAAACTGGGTTGGGGAGTAAGTATTGAGTCAACTGTACACACAATGTTCTCATTTGTCACCAAAGGTCAAAGTTCTCTCAACAGCACCTTCCCCACTGGGTGAATCTAATTTGATCACTAATATTTTTTGCAAATATATAATGGATATAGACGGGTAAAAAATACCAGATTTGTTGAAAAATCACCACACCTGGCAATCTTGATTAATTTGTAAGCACATCGATTATGGCGCCGAATTAAGAGGATTGCATAAGTCTGGTTGCCTATACGTTCAACTTGACGCAAATATAAATAAAATAGTGATTCTGCATTTCTGGGCTTGGTAACACTGCTATGATTAAGGTTGTTAATTGAACATTTGGACAAGAATATAAGTAAAAACCTCTTCGCGTGCGCTCTGATAAAAATAGAGGTAGTTGCACTGATTCTATGCTTTTATTTTAGGATGAATTAAGGGAAATGGTTAAAAGAGAGCACGAATCCATCGACCAATCTACGTGTGAATCAAAGCAGACAGATAAAAAGATAAGTGATACAAAAAACAAAGATGAACCCAAAGACAAGGAGGAGGCCGGACCACCTCCACAAAATGAAGACTCTAAAAAACCTTAATAAGTCACTGTTACAATTACTCTCATATTTTTTATTGGTCTGACTGCTGTGCAAACAACAGCAGATTAATGATTATTGGTATGTTTTGTCATTTTGACATTACATTTGTTAAAACTGGGTCTGTTGTTTATGCTCTCATTATTTCATATCAAATATGTATCCATTAGAAATATTGTACAATGTTCTGTGTTGCATTAGAACGTGCAATGAAGTCAAGCTGTTATAAAAAATAATTTATTAGGTGTATAAGAATGTATATTCATGTACTCAAAAAATAAAAAGTGAAATCATTAATAATACCTTCGTTACTATAAATGTCAGTCTTAACCCCAATCATAAGATTGATATAACAAAATCATATGAACAAGTAATACAGAATGTGTATAAATAAAGAGAAACATGGGTATATATTCTGTACTACTTGATCACATAAATTAAGAGTTTATAAGTATATGATGATCATAACAATCAAATTATATATAGAAATGTAGAGATATAAAATATTCCAAAGGTATTCATAAATATATTTAAAAAACTGAAACCAAACTTCAAAATGAACACTAGCACATAAAAACCGACTTCATGGTGTAATTTTAGTATAGATTTTATAAGAAATGAATGAATATGTTTGCTGTAAAACCACCTGAAGGTTGCAGCTACATACTTTGTTCAGCTTTTTGTTAGAAATCTATTGGAGTACAGAGTATTTTTGCTTATAAGATTCTGTTTGATGTGGATATATAGTTATGAGGCACGTGCTGCAGCTGTATTGTAGGTGGTGGTACTTGGTATGACATACAATAGTTTGGTGGCATCTGTATGTGATTTATCTGATTCCCATGCTGGAATGGAACATTATGCCCCAGTCTCTGATTTGGCAGGTATATGGATGACCCTTGTATGTTATCACTATTTTGATTTGAGGCAGTGAGAACTGGTGGAGTTACATTTGTTGAAACTGGAGGTTTTGATGCATTCTTTAATAATGGTTCCTTCAACGTTTCAACCAGCACAATCTTGTTGGTATTTTTATCTTTTTCATAGTAAAAGCCCATATCTCCTAGTAAACGTCTCAGGGTTGTTAATGATAGCAATGGTAGCTGTTCATTGGCCCTGATGTTTTTCAGTAGTGTATTCAAGCTAGGATTTATGTTTTTGAATTTTAAACTGTATATGATGTTCCTTATTATTTGTCTGACATCATCATTATATTTAACTGATCTGTTATTTATATTCATCCCTTTTCGTATCCTAGTCTTGGGTGGATTTTTGAAACCTTCCTTACTAGTCTCTTCTTTGCGAAACTGAAATATACTTTTCTCACTACATCCTGTTGCTTTAGAAGCTTGTCTTATATTCTCTGTTACGCATTTACCAGGATACATTTTTTGGAAGTATTTGAACACATTTAGAATTATCGTTTTTTCTTTTTTTGTGTATGACATACCCTGTTTCATTTTAACTACTTCTTGAGCCATGACTTCTCGGATTAGCGTTGTATAACTCTTGTTCACTGATTCTACGAACTCTGTTGCACGTCTGTAGGCACTCTGTAGGAAATCACTTTTTGCTCTGTTTCCACATTATGACAGATGCGGTAGCTGCAAATGCGTTGTCATAGCAACTGCGTCCTGCGTCAAGAATGGGCAGAATGTTTTACGGAAGTGACTGGACAATAAGTCATCAATCAGCAAAAAGGACGCCGGTCACGTGGAACAGATCACTAGTGAAACCACGCCTCACTTCTAGTCCTCCACTATTGGAACGTTAGTGTTCTGTGACTGTATGACAATAATATGACATATTTGCTGTGCATATTAGGTTCTATGTGGATATAAAAAAATAGAAAAATATTTTTGAATGCTTGGGTTTAAAAATTATAATCATTCAATCGCAGAAGTAACTGCCGAAAAGTGAGTTCAGGAATTCAGCGCTGCGTCTAAATGGTTCAACGTAACTAAGTACACATGGCTGCAAAAGGTAAATAAACTTTGTTCTCATTTTTGATTCCTTAGGAAATATGACACCCCTTTTTTAAAATTATATTTTTTTGCTGTTTATAGAATACATTTGCAACTTGATCATTAAGTTTGTACGAAAGTAACATTATTTATATATTCTTTAAAAAGTAGAAGCACTGTATTTATAGGATGTTGATAATCTTAGGCCTATTTCCTTGTGTGGGTGTGATCTGTAGGTGTTGTACTGATGTTGACCTTTCACAGAGATGTGTGTGATGATGATCAAGGAATTCTTTGAGCCAGCGCTCAAACTCGCCTTGTGTACAAAGGACTAAATGGAGAAAGTCTAATGTAAAAATGTTTGTATACATACAGGGTGCTAATAAAGTGTGTAGACAAACTTTAACCATCGAATCCTTGGTCAATTTTAAGACGAAATTTTCATATGAACATGGGTCTGCAACAGCTTTGTTTTCAAGCTAGAGCATATTAGCACTAAAAGAAATGATGATATTGTTCTAAAAAATTATAAAAGAATGGAACATATTTCAATTAAGTATGCCTTGTGGTGAATAACACATGATTTACAGTTGTTTTCAGACCCTCCATGTACGTAGATACAGATAATGTTAACCAGTATTTTTTAAAAAAATAGCATGACATTGATCTGTTTTGATCGCACTGCTTTTAATATTAGTCATGTTTGACTATATAAAATTCTCTGGGTATTTTCAAGAGAGTTCATCAGTCAATGTGTAACAGACTAGACACCTGTATTGAAGTTGAAGGTGGCCACTTTGATCATTTATTATAAAAAAAACTATTCGATATTTTCTATTGTTGTCATTCTATTCAAATGTTCCTGTTCAAAAGTATTGACCTTCTAAATAAATTTTTTTTCCAAAAATACAGGATAGTACTATTTTCATCCACGTTCATATTGAGCCTCAGCAAGTTGGAAAACACGCAAAATTTATCATAGGTTATACCAACTGCTCAATAAATACGTTTCATTATTCATAGAAATATTTGGAACATTACTCGCATTTCTTTAGTGATAGTGCTTTCTGCTCTAGCTTGAAAAGAAAGCTGTTATGGACCCATGTTCACGTGAACAAATTGACGAAGGATTCGATGGTTAAAGTTTGTCTACATACTTTATTAACACCCTGTATATATATGGACTTTCTAAAGATGTCAAAGGTTTTGAAAGTAGATTAAAAAAGTACCCTGAGGTGACCCTCAATTCGAACTAATACCACAATTTTGAATTTTTCATCAACAGGCCTCATAATTAGTTTTCTAGATCAATTTAAAGTTTCTGAATCCTAGTAACAATGCTAAGGCACAACTCCAACTAATGCACCTCCTGCATCTTTTTCCTGTCTTTTAGACTTCAACCAGAAATAAAAGTCCTATGCACTTCTCTAATAGACAGTGATGAGCAGAGACCACATAAAGAATTGATTGGGAATTGACATTGTAGAGAGGCCAAAAATATATTACCAGTACAGTACAAATGTTGTAATTAAAACCTCAAAAATTATATAATGTATTATGTTATAGTATGCACTTAATATGGACCATCAAAAAAATGTAATATCATGAATTATTTTTATGTAATATCAGTATACTTGAAGTTATCTTTCCTGAATTAAATCTACATCAAGAAATCATTTTGAAGGTTCTGAACTGAATTTACATTCTTTAGTTTTCTTAAGGGATGAATAGGTGGTTTATTTATTTATCCATTAAGAATGATTTTTTTGTGAACTCAGGCATACAGTTGGAGTTGCAGTTGATTAATGAGGATATATTTGTCTCAACACAGCAGGAGTACATATATTGACTAGACAGTAATTGCAAAAGGTGGTTTTAGTGACATGCCTATTCTCCTGCACTCGATTAATTAAAATGTGGAAGAAATTCATGCATTATACTGCTCTCCCCACAGATTGCTCTTCTCCTGGAGCCATACTTTGCCGCTGTTGACAATTCAAGGATATTAGGAGCATAATATTTCTCAAGCTACAATTTTTCTCTGCCCTGAGGTCCTTGGTGCTATGTTTTGGGCCCTTTGAGGCAGGAACCCTGATGAGGTACCCTAGCTATCTCTAGCTCTGGCATTGTGCTCCAGTCAATTTTCTTTTAACCTCACACCTGTGTATGGTACTGGTACAAATAAGTTGGTTACTCTGATAAACCAGAGACTAGAAGCTTTTAGAGTCTATATTTATTGTATTTGGGCAAACAGCATTCCCAAAACCTCAAGGTGGTTTAAAATTATCTGTCGTACTGAAATGCCTGAAATCGTTAATGGCATAGTTTTGACTTTCCAGTTTAGCACTTTAGTTTATAGACTTAATAGCGATTTTTTCATTTTGTCCATTTTGCCATTGCTAGCTTGCTCTGCGAATACCATTTGACTGTCGATTGTAATGGTTTGGTGCGACATCTCTGTGCCTAGTGCAGAACGTCGAGCGGTTGTGGGCCAGAGAACGTAAGGGTAACTATGTCGTCTTCATCTGATGAGGATGAAAATCATCTTGACAAACCATTGGAAGGTGGTGATCGTCAGATTTTTACCTACTTGCGCACAACGTTTTGCGTTTTTCAAAAGACCATCATCTATTTGCTTCCTATCTCGTCTGTCTCCACGACTAGACCTAAGACCTATTCTGCGGTAACGAGTTGATAATGAGTATGAATCAGCACTGTCTGCGGTTGGCACCAAACATGTCAATTTCTGCCTTTCACAGAGATGTGTGTGATGATGATCAAGGAATTCTTTGAGCCAGCGCTCAAACTCTCCTTGTGTACAAAGGACTAAATGGAGAAAGTCTAATGTAAAAATGTTTGTATATATACAGGGTGCTAATAAAGTGTGTAGACAAACTTTAACCATCGAATCCTTGGTCAATTTTAAAACGAAATTTCCATATGAACATGGGTCTGCAGCAGCTTTGTTTTCAAGCTAGCACTAAAAGAAATGATGATATTGTTCTAAAAAATTACGACTAGACCTAAGACCTATTCTGCGGTGACGAGTTGATAATGAGCATGAATCAGCACTGTCTGCGGTTGGTCACCAAACATGTCAACTTCTGCCCATTAGATTTTTCCTGGTGGTGTTTTATGAAGTCTTTTTAACAGTAAGACGCAATACATCGATTCCCTCATAGTCAGTATAATCCAAATCGTCATTCAAAGTCAACAACTGCCTTTTGGATCCATCCCACTGTGTGAAGCTGCGGCGCCGATGCTATAAAACTATAACTATTACCAGAGGCGTAGCGTGCATGGATGCGAGTGATGCGTCGCATCCCTTAACCAAACTCTACATTTCATAATACGTAATTTTAATACATTCATCATTTTAATAAGTTCTCTACATAATTATTCTAACCTACATTCAGTACATTCCCATTACATATTCAATAATTCCGAAGGACCGCGCGCTCGTTTCACCAAAACCACAGCGTCATCCGGCGGTGATGCGACTACACTCAACGCATCTCATCGAATACAGAAACATCGGGATTAATCGGGTAATAATTGCAAGTGGTGATGCCGGTGGGGTTAATAACCCCCCACCTTTCTGTAGCGGGCGTTTAGTACTCGATGATGTGATTTGGTTATCGCATCCTTTTGTTGTTTTTTGCGCCGTTGGCTTAATTTAATAGGATTTTCATTAGTCTACTATGACGACGGCAGCGACTTCTAGTAACGTATGTGAATGCGGATTAGAAAAAGTATTTCGTACAGGTTTTAGTAGTTTATCTTACACAGATAAATTAAAAATTATTGAAAATGCACCACCGCGTCATAAATTAAACATAACCACAAAATTAAAATCGTGTGTTAGACATTTTAGTGACAATATATACGAAAGTGAACATTGGCTTTGTGGGTGCAAAGTTTTGAACAAACTGTTTTGCTGGACATGTGTATTGTCCTCCACCGAGAAAAGTTTGGAAAAAATCAAAGAATTGAATTCGCTCTGAGTACCCAATATAAACTTAGCGTTGAAAAACACAATGAGTTGGTGAGGCAAAACAGGCAAATTTTGGGACAGCTTATACGCGTGACTTGCCTACTCGGGAAACAGGGCCTTTCTTTTAGAGGTCATGATGAGAGCAACCAATCAAAAATAGGGGCAATTTCGTCGAGTTTGTATATGAAATTGCAAGAAATGACAATCTACTTAAAACACATTTATAGAACTCTACTGTTTCGTGGTCTTTCACCTGATATTCGGAATGAATTAATTGTTTCTGTGGGCGAAATAATTACAAAAAAAAATTAAAGAAGAAATCTCCAATGCTCCTTTTGTAGCCCTAATTTTGGACGAGGCATCTGATATAAGTATGAAATCACAATTGTCAGCAACTTTGAGATACGTATCGCAGGATGGAAATGTCCAGGAAAGATTCATTAATTTTACTGACGTGAGTGCTGACAGGACAGCAAGTGCTCTTTTGGAACACACCTTACAAATATTAGAAGACTTTATGTGCTAAAAAGTTAGTGGCTCAAACATATGATGGCGCGGCAGTAATGGCTGGGGAACATAATGGTCTGCAGGCGAAACTTCGTGAACATTGTTAAACAGCTACATTTATTCATTGTTACGCCCACAAACTAAACCTAGTTTTAAGTCAGTAAGCTAGTTTTTTAAAGAAGTTAAGGTATTCTTTACCAACCTCTCAAGTTTTTCTGTGTTTTTATATTATCAAATTTGCACAAAAAAGAGCGTGGCCCTAAACAAATTTATTCCTGCGGCGCTATGCCTGCCGCGCAATACAGTATTCTCCCTAATCACATCCCTTACTTATTGAACCACGCTACGCCACTGACTATTACCCATAACTGCAAAATATAGTATTACTGCGTATGACGCCTGAGTAAATTAATTTGACCACATTTATCGATTTAGTATTATTGCATTCCAACTGTGATGCAAAAAAAATCAGATTTATGTTTTGCGGGTGCTATAAACCCCTTATCGACACCCGTGGTAGCGCGTCACGACGTGTGCGCCATTTTAAAAACTACCCTCAGCCTGTGTGCGCCGCAAGCCATCCGCCACTGGCCGATTTTCCAGCGACTCCTAGGGAAAATCAATAGGGAGTTCGTCGAGGCGCGGCAGAGCGAGGCAGGAGGGAGAATTTCTTCGAACTCTCTACGACGCGCTCGTACGGGCTCTGTCCACTACTCCCGGAAAATTTACACTATTTCAAGTCAGTATACCATAAAAACGTTCACTGCGTTTTGTCTTGGTTGTACTGATCGTCGTTGGTACGTTCTAGTGATCAATGTGGAATCTCTACATGATCGGTGAGTATTGAACAGCAGACATCTTTTTAAAGTTTTTTTGAGTGCCTTCTTTGATTGTATAACTGACCAGCCCTCACACGATTAGGATTCCATTTTCCAGTTCATTTCGTGATACTGGAGTATAAACATCAGGAAAAGGAGTTACGTTTGCAATGCTACGTTTTATTATGATTCGTATGAAAATTGTTAGTATATCGGGCCCTCGGCTTCCTGTAAGAATTTCAAATGGCTTTCAATAAACAATTCCAATGTTTGTTTTATGAAGTGGCGTTATGATGTAGATGTAGACAATGCCATACTTATACATCTTATTTGTTCATTAGAATTAAGATAATTCCAAAACTCATGGAAAACCAATAAGGATCAAAAATTGTCCGATCGACCTCTATTTGGTATAATCCACTTAAATATTTTAGGAGATTTCTTTTTTGACAGATCAGTAGCTACTGGAATGGCAATTTGATGAAATTGTATTTGTGGCCGCTTTTGCTTAATTTCGTTGTGGTTTTTTAATTGATACACGTTTCTACGAAAGTAAAAAGTCAACTGTGGATTCCTTTGTGATCTATTGATGTTGATTATTGTTTCTTTGATTGTTTGACCCATTTTTTGTTCAGAAAAATGTGATGAACAATGCAGGATTATTGCTATTATCATTAGATATCAACAGTGATCCTAAGTATATTGATAATATGAATCAGCCATTGATTCATAATTCATAGCTTTTCAAAAGGCTTCTTCATATGTGGGATATATGATTTTCTCGTATCAATGAGAGGTGTAGATCCTATTAACGAAGTGTCACGTCTTTGACCTGGTTATAGGTTTCAGACATTTTTAGGGTGTAATAAACCCATATCAGAGTATCCTGAGGGTTTATGATACAAACTGTGATGTCATCAAATATAAAATACTTTGAGGACTGCCATTACTTAAGTGGTACATACAAGGCTCTACTAGAATTTTGTGCCATGCCCGTACGGGCTACTCCCGGAAAATTCACACTGTTTCAACATCATATTCGATAATGCGTTCATTGCATTGTCTGTAATGTACTGAAAGTACTGAATAGCAGACATGTTTTGAACTTTTGCATTCCTTCTTTGGTTGCATAACTGACCTGCCCTCACACGATTAGGGTTCCATTTTCCAGTTCATTTCGTGATGCTGGAGTATAAACATCAGGAAAAGGAGTTACGTTTGCAATGCTACGTTTTATTATGATTCGTATGAAAATTGTTAGTATATCGGGCCCTCGGCTTCCTGTAGGAATTTCAAATGGCTTTCAATAAACAATTCAAATGTTTGTTTTATGAAGTGGCGTTATGATGTAGACAATGCCATACTTATACATCTTATTTGTTAATTAGAATTAAGATAATTCCAAAACTCATGGAAAACCAATAAGGATAAAAAAAATTGTCCGATCGACCTCTATTTGGTATAATCCACTTAAATATTTTAGGAGATAACTTTTTTTACAGATCAGTAGCTACTGGAATGGCAATTTGATGAAATTGTATTTGTGGCCGCTTTTGCTTAATTTCGTTGTGGTTTTTTAATTGATACACGTTTCTACGAAAGTAAAAAGTCAACTTTTTGAATACGTCCTGTGGATTCCTTTATGATCTATTGTTGTTGATTATTGTTTCTTTGATTGTTTGACCCATTTTTTGTTCAGAAAAATGTGATGAACAATGCAGGATCATTGCTAATATCATTAGATATCAACAGTGATCCTAAGTATATTGATAATATGAATCAGCCATTGATTCATATTAAATCATAGCTTTTCAAAAGGCTTCCTCATATGGGATATATGATTTTCTCGTATCAATGAGAGGTGTAGATCCTATTAATGAAGTGTCACGTCTTTGACCTGGTTATAGGTTTCAGACATTTTTAGGGTGTAATAACCCCATATCAGAGTATCCTGAGGGTTTATGATACAAACTGTGATGTCATCAAATATAAAATACTTTGAGGACTGCCATTACTTAAGTGGTACATACAGGCTCTACTAGAATTTTGTGCCATGCCCGTACGGGCTACTCCCGGAAAATTCACACTGTTTCAACCTCATATTCGATAATGCGTTCATTGCATTGTCTGTAATGTACTGAAAGTACTGAATAGCAGACATGTTTTGAACTTTTGCATTCCTTCTTTGGTTGCATAACTGACCTGCCCTCACACGATTCAGTTTCCATTTTCGTTTCGTGACATTCCGATATAACACTCACAAAATGAGTTATGCTTCTGCTTCTTGCTACGATTCATATGATTCGCATGAAAATTGTGAGAATATCTGATACTCAGCTTCGTGGATTTTAAACCGCTTACATTCACAATTTAATAATAATATTAATAACAATCTTTATTCTTATGGGGTACACCCAATCACAGGAACAATATAATATATCAAAGACATCGGACATATATGTGGGTGGTAGGTATAAAACGCAATAAGGTGAAGACAAAAAAATGGAGACAAAATATAATAAAACGTTGAATATGGTTACAAAGTTACTATATAAAACATAGATAAGGAAGGTAGAATATAGTAAAACATAAACTGTTACATAGTTACTACACAAAACAGAAATAAGGAAAAACGAATAAATACCAGTTACAGATCAGAAAAGAATCATCCTGCAATGTGCACCTTCAGCATCTCTAAACAGCATAATTACGTCTAAGAGTGGTCAGGATTACATCAATATCATCACAATACAATACAACCGCATATTCAACACCTGGAATAGTTTACCTGAAAGTGTGGTTGGTGCTACTTCAGTTAATAGCTTCAAAGTGCAGTATGATAACTGGAGGAGTGTACAAACTTTATAGCTATGAACTGTCTTTTTTTATTTTTTCTATTTGATGTATTTGTGTTACGTGTCCGTACACTATATTTACTGCATGAGCTTATAGTACTGTGTACTCTGCTCATCTCAATTATCATAATAATAATAATAATTAATCGCAGCCCATGTACAATTCATTAAAAATACTGCACATTCTGCTTATAGGTACCATATAGTTAAGACAATTTGAAAATTAATGGAAAATCAGTAGCTATGATAAGAATAATTGACTTCTATGTGATATAATCCTCTCAAATATTTCAGGAGCACTTACCATTTGACTGATCAGTATAGTTACTGGATTGGGTAAGATGATATCCTTTAGTTTAATGTTATAGTTGCAATTTTTCAAGAGGAACGAGTAGTAACACACCTTCATAAAACGCAAAATCCTTAAAAGCAGCCGCGCAGGCAGAAGCCTACATGCCAGGACACCGCGGTTGTTATGAGTGCTTAAAGAAACTTTGTTAATCGGATTTTGGAACTTACTACGCTTAATATAACTGGGAAAAGCCTTCTCATGTAAATTGTTCCACACAATTTCGGCACCCTAGCGACAAAGGCGCGGTCGTATCGGCCAGTTCTGGACGTACGAAGTTCGACACGGTTAGGATGGGAGACCGAAGCCTGGCGGGTCTGTCTGTCTTCTGATTAGTCAAATTGTTTATTTTGTTATTATCGATTGAAAAAAAAACTATTGATACTAATCACTCCAAAGCTGAAGTAGGAATGAAATGAAGCTCTTTCTCGTTTTAAACGAACGCACCAACCCGGTCATCGAGACTATTATAAACAATTAAGAAACCTGACCACTTCTGCTATTAGAGCCGAAAAAAAGGCATATCTAAATTTAAGGTTTCAGAATTTCCCAGAAAAGGAAAAAACTAAAATAACTTAATATACGAGGGATGTCTTTTAAGTTTTGCATATGGAAATAAAACAACACGGTAGGTCGCTTTAAATGAATTTATTGTTTTTCGAGGTATTCTCCACGAAGATTAATACACATGTGACACTCGTTTGCTGGCAGATCCAAAACGGCATTTGTGAATGCGTCAACTGCTTCTTCTGGTGACTGGAACCTTTGACCACGCAGTTTGTTTTTAATTTTCGGAAAAGTAAAGAAATCGTTGGGACTTAGATCGGGACTATATGAAGGATGGTCCAATAATTCCACGTTTTCTTCTGTTAAATACTGCCTTGTTTTTTGGGCTGTGTGCGAGCTTGCATTGTCTTGGTGGAGGATGATTCTTCTTTCGGGGTTGATTTTTCGAAGCTCGGTGATGACTTTTGGCAAACAAATGGTGGTATACCAATCCGCAGTAACAGTTATTTGCTCATTAAGAGGAATTGTTGCAATATGACCCGGTTTTGACACAAATGTCACGATCATCTTTTTCGAAAAACTTCGAGAACGGATGACTTTTGTTGGCTTTTTCTTCACCTTGGAACACCCAAACAGCCGACTGTCGTGTATTTTCTGGTTCATAACAGTAGATCCACGATTCATCACCACTAACAATGCTGTACACATTTTTTGAGTTTCCGGAATTGAAACGGTCAAGCGTTTTTTGACAAAAATTAACCCTGGCTGCTTTCTGCTCGTTAGTCAACAGGTGGGGTATCCAACGAGAAACTAATTTTCTTACTCCTAATTCTTCATGTAAAATTTTTTGAATTGAGATCTTTGAGATCTTCAACGACGCCTCAATCTCGCGATATGTCACATGACTTTGCGCACAGCATCGACGTTTTCCTGGGTGACTGCCGTTTTTGGTGCACCCACCCTGGGATCGTCGCTAAGACTCACCCATCCACATTTGAAATCTTCATACCAACGGGAAATTGTCGACTGATGTGGCGCTTCGTTGCCGAAAACAGACAGTCACTCAGTAAGGCATTCTTGTTGCGATAATTGTCTCTGAAAGTTGTAATAAATTATGGCGCGAAAATGTTCTCGGTTGAGTTCCATTTTTCTAATGACTTGGTGACACTTAAAAATTCACTGTAGTGAGAACACTGCACGTATTGTTGTGAAACTTTGAATTTAAGTTTACTAAAGAGTGAGGTTAAGATTCAGTACTGACGTTCAATACGCGCGGTCTACTATGTTTCTATATGCAAAACTTAAAA